CCCATAATTTGGGTTCTGGCATCCCTGTCACTATCTCTATGAGCAGTCTCAGTATATTCCCTTAGGCAAAATAAGAGGGGGGGGGGGATAATCAGAAAAGGAGATATTGATGATAGTGAATTATCATGGCATAGGTAGAGTGTGAACTTGTGCTCACGAGGAAAAAGTTTCTTTTCTGTGAAAAAAGAAAAATAACAGGCACGCTGACCGGTGAACTCTGATTTATTTGTTCTTCTTGCAATCTTCAAGACCATAAAGATTATTGTGAACTTTCTGTGTAGTGAAATAGTGGACTTTGTGACCTCTTAAGTGTTAGATAACGCTCTACCAAAGTGTTCCCACTTATGTGCTTATAACACCTCGGGTAATTCAAAGTTCTGTTTCAATTTTGAGAAGTTCCCACCGACTTAATTAGTGGAGACTCTTCTTAATTTAGTCTGTTGCAGAGATTTATGAACCATAGTAATTAGGGTTTTTTTCTTCCTATTTCAATCCATGTTTGTCAGTTGAGGTCACAGTCAAGAACAAGCATACAAAGAAAAAAAAGGGGGGGGGGAAGTCAAGCTTTTGTGAGGCTCGAAAATAGATAATGAGAAGGAAGGACTCACTGGAGAAGAGCCTGATGCTGGGAAAGATGGAGGGCAAGAGAAGAAGGACGACAGAATGAGATGGCTGGATGGAGTCACTGAAGCAGTAGGCGTGAGCTTAAATCAGTGGTGGCGAACTGATGGCACGAGTGCCAGAGGCGGCACTCAGAGCCCTCTCTGTGGGCACACGTGCTGTTGCCCCAGCCTCGCCTCCCCTATGACCCTCTCCTCACCAGCAGCCCCCCTGGAGGAGAGTCGCCACCAAGCGTGGCCCATGCGGCCATGCAGTGCAGCCAAGGACATGGCAGCCAGGCAGTGTAGACAAGACTCTGCCCTCACGCCCCATCACGCACAGTTGATACTGCAGGGTGCGGGCAGAGGGCGTGACCGCCATGGCGCTGCTAGGTGATCTGCAGCGGGCCCTGGAGGCGGTGAGTGGCCCTGCGGGCAGGCGGCTGGGGGCAGAGCGGGGACGGGCCAGGGGCTGGAGCGGGGCCAGTTTTTGGGCACTTGGTCTCTAAAAGGTTCGCCATCACTGGCTTAAATGGACTCCAGAAAATGGTAGAGGACAGGAAGGCCTGGAGGAACGTTGTCCATGGGGTCGCGATGGGTCGGACACGACTTCGCAACTAACAACAGCAACAAAAATAGATATCTTGGCTGATCTCATAAAATCTAAACAAAGCTAACTAGCCCTGGAATAATAAATCTCCTGGGATATATCAGTGCTGTAGACTAGAGTGGGAAGTCAATAAATTCGGATGAGCTCAGTGGAAAAAGCTTTCTTCTTGCTGCCAAGAAATCAAGAAATATGCTTGATCTTTTCCATGACATCTCCCTCCCTTCCCCCAATTTTTTATTTTTTTTTTGACATTCTCTTGGAGGAATACATTTTTCCAAGGAGTTAGAAGAGTGCAAGAAATTATCACCGTGTTGTTCAACTGTCGTGAATGCCAGTGCTGTTTAGCACAACTGATAAATAGCCATAGAAACCTGAAAGGAGTCTGGGTAGCACCTTTTCCAATTAACAGGTTTTATTAAAAAGCATCCTCTCAATTCCTGGCAAATAGATGGGGAAGAAATGGAGGTAGTGACAGATTTTATTTTTCTGGGCTCCAAGATCACCTCAGATGGGGACTGCAGCCAAGAAATTAAAAGACGCTTGCTCCTGGGGAGGAAAGCTACAGCAAATCTAGACAGCATACTAAAAAGCAGAGACATCACCCTGCCAACAAAAGTGCGTATAGCCCAGGCCATGGTTTTCCCAGTTGCAATGTATGGCTGTGAAAGTTGGACCATAAGAAAGGCTGAGCGCAAAAGAATGGAGGCCTTTGACCTATGGTGCTGGAGAAGACTCCTGCGAGTCCCTTGGACTGCAAGGCGTTCAAACCGGTCAGTCCTAGAAGAGATCAACCCCGACTGCTCTTTAGAAGGCCAGATCCTGAAGTTGAAACTCAAATACTTTGGCCACCTAATGAGAAGGAAGGACTCACTGGAGAAGGGCCTAATGCTGGGAAAGATTGAGGGCAATAGAAGAAGGGGACGACAGAGAATGAGATGGCTGGATGGAGTCACTGAAGCAGTAGGTGTGAACTTAAATGGACTCCAGAAGATGGTAAAGGACAGGAAGACCTGGAGGAACGTTGTCCATGGGGTCACGATGGGTCGGACACGACTTCGCAATTAACAACAATAACAATTAAAAAGCATAAGCTTTTGTGCAGCTCACAGATGCTCAGGTCTGTTAGTAAAAGGTACCAATAAAGGAGAATATTTGCAGCTCAGGGTTGAACTGTGGGGTCTTTGGTGCTCTCTGAGCTTGGCTGTATTCTTGCAGACGTTTCATTACCCAAACTAGGTAACATTATCAGTGTTAGTAAGGAGTGTGGTTTGTTAATGTGCTAGCACAGGAGTGGGCAACCTTGGCTCTTTTATGACTTGTGGACTTCAACTCCCAGAATTCCTGAGCCAGCCATGCTGAGGGGAAAGGGAGAGGTTTCCATGTTGAGCCATGCTGGCTCAGGAATTCTGAGAGTTGAAGTCCACGAGTTATAAAAGAACCAGTGTTGCCTACCCCTGTGCTAGTCAAAAAAGGTGGTACCAGATTCCTGACTTTTTTGCTACCCTAGAGGACAGACATATAATTAACATTTATAGCAAAGGTCTTTCAAATTAGGCTGAAAATTGTTCTGAAACAAGAAGGCCCCATTGTATTTAAAAATGAAAGCCAACTCTTGGTTTTTCCCCCCCTTTGCATTATCTACCTGGAGCAGACACGTAAAATATTCTCTTCAAATCATTCAGAGCAATCCGGTCTCATGCAAACCTAGGAATATGTTTTAGAAATGCTTGCAGGGGGACTAAGTAGCATTAATACACAAATTTAACTAACAAATGTCTCATCTGTCTCATCCAAGGTTTGAATCAGAGGCCATTGCAGGTAGTCCTTGACTTAGAGCCACAATTGGGACTGGAATCTCAGTCATTGAGTGAAGCAGTCCTCAAGTGAGATGCCAATGTGACTGGTTCAATCAGTGAGTGCAATCCCAGAACTCCTGATTGCGGTTGTTAAGCGATCTCACAGATTGTTTAGTGCAGAGGTCTCCAACCTTTCCGGGTTCACGGACCGGAGGGAAGGAGAGCAGCTTTAAAATTGGTGCACAGGCATGTATGTGCGCACACAGGGCCACACACTCTGGCACAGCACTAGCAGTCCCATTTGCGCATGCGGCATGCGTTGGCACTATGTGCAAGCATGAACAACTCTGCCCCCCCGTGGTGGCTAGTGGCCCGTTCACGCATATGCAAATGGGCCGCGCAACCCACCTGGGCTAGCGGCCCCTTCATGCATGCGCAAATGGGCCGCGGACATTTGCCCCGTGCTAGCATCCCCGTTTCTGCCTGCATACATGCTCAAATGAGGCCGCGGGCACTAGCATAAGTGGGGGGGGGAAATGCGCGCCACGTGTATGCGCACTGGCCAGCCATTTCCGTGGCCATTGGCTAAGAGCCCGAGGCCTGGGCCACGGCCCATAGCTTGGGGACCCCTGGTTTAGTGCACGGGTGTCAAACTTGCCACGTCACATGACGTGTCGCAGTGTATTGTGACTTTTTTCGTATTGAGCTAGGGTGGGTGCGGCGTCCAAATAATGCAACCGGCCTGCGGGCCAGGAGTTTGACACCCTTGGTTTAGTGGATAGATCAAAAAGGTTGCCTGCCAAAGGATTCAGGTCCTCATGGAGCTGAAGTCATCTGGACAGGCAGCTCTTTGAGAATAAAAGGGCTGCCTGCACGAAGATTTCAGCTCTGTGTGGAAATGAAATCCTCCTTTTATGCAGCCTTTTTGCTCTGAAATGTTCCTGTAGCCCGCTGAAGGATTTCTGTTTCACTTTGTTCACAGAGGAGAAAGGTTTTGGGAGCCTGCAGGAATGGAGCTGAAATGTTCAGGATTTCAGCTCTCTTCTTGTGGCTTGCCAAAGAGTTTCCCCTCTCCTTTTGATTTCCTGATTTAAATCCTTTCAGAGGCTGTAGAAACGGAACTGAAATCCTGAACAATCCTTCAGCCTGGGAAGGATTCAGCTCTTCTCCATTTCCTCCACTTGCAATCTTTCCTGCTGGCTTCCCCATTGATTTTTTGGGGAAGCCAGCAGAGAAGTTTGCAGATGGTAATCACATGATTGTGAGATTTTTTATTTATTTATTTATGAGACTTATATACCGCTTTAAGTGCAAGCACTCTCTAAGCGGTGTACACCAGTAAGCAATGTGTGTGTGTGTGTGTGTGTGTGTGTGTGTATATGTGTGTGTGTATATATACATATACATATACATATACATATACATATACATATACATATACATATACATATACATATATATATATATATTTATATTTATATTTATATTTATATTTATTTATTTATTTACATTGCCCCCAACAATCTGGGTCCTCATTTTACCTACCCCGGAAGGATGGAAGGCTGAGTCAACCTTGAGCCGGTGAGATTTGAACCGCTGACCTGCTAAACACAGTCAGCTAAAGTGGCCTGCAGTACTGCACTCTTAACTGCTGCGCCACACTCGTAAATGTAAAACAGAGAGAAAGCACCTGCAGCCCCCAACACATTGTATTCTGAAAGCAAGGAAGGAATCCCATTCCATCATATTTTTGCCACGGGTTGATGCCTCTAAAGAGCTTGCAGGTAATTTTAACTTTAGCTGTTTGTTTCCCGGGGTCCTTTGAGATGGAGCCTTCCTGGCAACGTTGCTCATCCATCAATTAGCCAATCAGTTTGGAAGTACTAGGGGTTGGACCCGAATGCCTTGTGATATTTAGGATTCAAGTAAGATCTCGGGGACACAGCAAGCTTTTTCGTTAATACCTGAGGTTTTAACGCTGCACTTTCTGTCAAGCAGGTGGACTGCCAAGATGCCTTGGAGACAGCTGCCCGGGCGGAAGGCCTACCTTTGGAGAGCTCCGCAGAGTCTCACCGACGAGTGCTGGATGAAGAGCATCCCAAAGGGAAATACCACTATGGCCTCAATCTGATGAAACCCATCCGGACTACTTCCAAGTATGGCTTTCTTTAAGCGAGCTGCAAGAGGCAGCTGGTTTTTAACCGGGAATGCCTAGCTCAGCGGTGGCGAACCTATGGCATGCGTGCCAGAGGCGGCACTCGGAGCCCTCTCTGTGGGCACACCTGCCGTTGCCCCAGCCTTGCCTCCTCCCATGACCCCCTCCTCACCAGCAGCCCCCCTGGAGGAGAGTCGCCCCCGAGCATGGCCCACACAGAGCAGTCCAGCCAAGGACATGGCAGCCAGGCAGCGTAGACAAGACTGTGCCCTCACACACCATCGCGCACAGTTGATGCTGCAGGGCGCGGGCAGAGAGCATAGCCGCAGTGATGCTGCTGGGCTCCCTGGGCGATCTGTGGTGGGCTCTGGAGGCGGTGAGTGGCCCTGAGAGCAGGCGGGGTGGGGGCGGGGCAGGGGGCGGAGCCAGTTTTGGGGCACTCGGTCTCTAAAAGGTTCGCCATCACTGGCCTAGCTGAATGGAAGTCTGTGTGAAAACAATGGAATCTTTCTTTCAGAATACAGGCAGTCCTCAATTTATAACAATTCATTTAGCGACCGTTCAGACTTAACAACGGCACTGAAAAAAAGTGACTTGTGGCCATTTTTACACGTAACGACCGCTGCAGCATCCCCAGGGTCACGTGATCAAAATTCAGAGGCTTGGTAATGGACTCATATTTATGACGGTTGCAGTGTCCTGGGGTCATGTGATCCCTCTTTGCAACCTTCTGATCAGCAAACTCAGTTGGGAAGCCAGATTGACTTAACAACCGTGTCACTAACTTAACAATTGCAGTGATTCACTTTGCAATTGTGGCAAGTAAGGTTGTAAAACGGGGCAGGACTCGCTTAACAACTGTCTCGCTTAGCAAAAGAAATGTTGGGCTCAAATGTGGTCATAAGTCCAGGACTACCTGTATAGGGTCATGGGCAAGGACTTAGAACAACTCCATGAGCAGGGTGAAAGTACTTTATTGTTGTTCTCCTATTTTACAAGAATCTTGCCGGATCGACTACGTTCTCTTGGGAACAGACAAAGATCCCGAAGGTGCTTTTCCAAAACGCAATTAGACTTTCTTAAGTTTCGCTTCTCATCCAAGAAACTTCTTCAGTTCTTGGATGAGAAGCAGAACGTTTTCAAGGGAAAAAACCCAAGAAAGTCCAGTTGCCATTTGGAAAAGCACCTTTGGGACAACCCATCACCTGGATGATTGACAGTCTCCATAGACAGTGTTATGGTTCTGACAGATGAAACTGTTCAAAGAACTTCGAGGCATTGTTTACCTTAAAGAATCTTTATTTGAGGAGCATAGCATCGGCACTAAGACAATCGAAGCCAAAAACTGGATTTCCCCCCCTCCCCTGAGTACATAGTATCAAAGCATAATTCCCTCTTCCAATTAACAGTCATAAATCACATTCTCCAATTAATTTGATATGCAGGCTTCCCCTCCAGTTCTCCAGCCCAACCAATTCTTATCATCTCTTATTTCAATAACCTTGGTTCACACACTAGGTTCAGTCATGTTATGTCTAGCTAAACTCTCGTGCACATTCCTCCCCCTCCAGCATCATCTAACCCAGTGATTCTCAACCTTTCTAATGCCGTGACCCCATAATACAGTTCCCCATGTTGTGGTGACCCCCAAGTGGGTGTGGCCACCAATAAGAGGGAGTAGGACAGCTAGGGAAAAGGGAAAAAATGGCAGACAGCGTGGTTTGGTGACCCCCGTGAAATGGTCATTCGACCCCAAATGGGGTCCCGACCCACAGGTTGAGAACCACTGATCTAACCCTAACTCTAAGAGTAAAAGCATAAGAAGAAAATGGTTGCATCTCCATCTGTTGTCAAAGCAAGAACATCTGATGTTAGCAGTGTTGACAGACAGACAAAAACTTGGTCTAGCCTGTGTCACTTCCTCCTACGGACTGACTCTTAGCTCCCGTCTCTATTTGAGCTGAAAATTCCACCACATATAGGCCAGGTTCCATATAATAATAATAACAACAACAACAACAACAACAATAATAAATTTGGAAGGGACCTTGGAGGTCATCGAGTCCAACCCCCTGCTCAGGCAGGAAACCCTACACCATTTCAGGCAAATGGCTGTCCAGTCTCTTCTTAAAAACTTCCAGTGTTGGAGCATTTATCACTTCTGGAGGCAGGTTGTTCCACTGGTTAATTGTTCTCACTGTCAGGAAGTTTCTCCTTAGTTCTAGGTTGTTTCTCTCCTTGATTAGTTTCCATCCGTTGCTTCTTGTCCTGCCTTCAGGCGCTTTGGAGAATAGCTTGACTCCCTCTTCTTTGGGGCAGCCCCTGAGATACTGGAACACTGCTATCCTGTCCCCCTTTGTCCTTCTCTTCATTAAACTGGACATACCCAATTCCAGCAGCCGTTCCTTATATGTTTTAGCCTCCAGTCCCCTAATCATCTTTGTTGCTCTTCTCTGTACTCTAGTTCTAGAGTCTCAACCTCTTTTTTATATCGTGGTGACCAAAACTGGATGCAGGATTCCAAGTGTGTATGGTTTATGGGCTAAACCACTACAGCTTATCTTCTACAGTCATAAATGGCAAAAAGCTCTGTATTGTGCCTCCAAACAAAAATAATTTGATGCATATAAAGCACTAAGCAAAAAAAAATAAAGCAGCTGCTTTCTGATTTTGTTCAGCGTATACAAAACTATAAAAGCTACGTATATAAAACTGGTTCATACATCATGTTAAGCTATAGTCCTCAACTTACAACCACAACTGAACCCAAAATTTATGCTGCTAAGTGAGAAATTTGTTAAGGGCGTGTTGCCCCCCTTTTACAACTTTTCTTGCCACATTTGTTAAGTGAATCACTGCAGCTGTTAAATTAGTCACACGGTTGTTAAGTGAATCTGGTTTCCCCATTGACTTTGCTTGTCAGAAGGTTGCAAAGGGGGATCACATGACCCCCAGGACACAGCGTCATAAATGTGAGTCAGTTGTCAAGTATCCAAATCACACGACCGTGGGGGTGTTGCAACGGTCATAAGTGTGAAAAAATCATTGTAAGTCACTTTTTTCAACGCTGTTGTAACTTCGAACGGTCGCTAAGCGAAGTGTTGCACGTCGAGGACTACCTGTATTCCTTTCCTGTGTAAAAGGATATCACCCAATGGGCCAAGGGTACCCATTGTGTATGTATTTGTGATGAGCTGTGGGGAAGGTGGGCTGTAGCCCTGGAAGACCCCTTCCACTCTTTCATGAATCAGACTAACTTGCCTTTGATGATTTCAACAGAAATGGAAGGATATTTCGATTCCCACTATGGATGAATGGCTACAAAAGTTGATGGAGTTAGCAGAGATGGCTAAATTGACTGTTTTGTTGTAAGTCGAGGATTACCTGTACACCGTGGCCACTTTTAAGATGTGTGGACTTCAACTCCCAGGATTCCCGAGCCAGCATGGCTGACTGGGAAATTCTGGGTGTTTGAAGACCACACATCTTAAAGTGGACATAGTTGAGGAGCATTGATATAGTTCAGGGGTCTTCAGACTTGGCCCTTTTATGACTGAGCACGCCTGGCTCAGGAATTCTGGGAGTTGAAGTCCAGAAGTCACAAAAGAGCCAAGTTTGAAGATCCCTGATATAGTTTTAACTCAGACATCAGCTCTGACAAAATGCACACTTCAGCCTTTAATGTTTCCTCTTTCTTCCTGTTCTTTTAGGCATCAGCACCCAATTGACAATGCTGGTTTGTTTTCCTACATGACATTTTCTTGGCTTTCTCCTTTGGCAAGACTAGCCTACAAGAAAGGAGAACTGCTGACTCAAGATGCGTGGTCTTTGTCGACTCACGAGTCTTCCGGGGTTAATTGTAGAAGGTATGGAATTAATCTCTTCCCCAAGGACCACTTCATATTGGCTCAGAGACTTGTATACGGGAACTCCCATAATTAAATTCCATTTTTTTCCTTCATAAATCTGGGCAGTGTTGACATGCAGGCTTCATTGTTTCCCCAGGATTTCAACACCTGCATTTCTACTTGTCTGCATTCAGCTCCTGCCTGAATTTGCTGAGTCCAACCAGCATTTCCTGTTGCTTTCTTAATCCATGTTGCCATTTTGTTAGGTTTAACATCCTCGGCATATACATTCCTTAGCAAGGATTTGATCGACAGTAACTGTATCTGCTTCTTCCTTCCGTCCCAGGCCCTCCATCCAAAAATACTGGTAGTCCTTGACTTAACAACAGTTAGTTTAGTGACTGTTCAAAGTTACGACGACATTGGAAAAAGTGACACAGGGCCATTTTTCACAAATACGGCATTGCAGCATCCCTAGGATCCAAATTGAGATATTTGGCAACTGATTCATATTTATGACGGTTGCAGTGTCCCGGGGTCATGTGATCCCTTTTTGCAAAGTCAACAGGGACACCAGATTAAAGCTAGCCGGCCTGCTATGGATGTTATCCTCATGAGGTTGAAATCAAATAATTGTGTTTGAACAGTAAAAAAAAAAAACCCTGGTTCTTCATTTACTCAGTGCCTCCATAAGAACAACTCATTGTTTCCAGTAAAAGGCACTGATTCTTTGGAATTATAAAGCTCATGTACATATATTAATATTAATCACCTTAGTCTTAGAGAAAATCCTTTTTTTAAAAAAAGAACATTTGATAAAGAGATTTAAAAAAAGAAAAAGAAAAATACTTATTTCCTGGCTTCTAGGTAGGTAGAAAGATTGCTTGGATGTACTGTATGTGGTTTTATGTTCTTCCAGATTGGAAAGACTTTGGCACCAAGAGTTACATGACTGTGGACCAGACGATGCCTCCCTTTGCAGAGTCGTGTGGAACTTCTGTCGCACTAGGCTCATCATTTCCATTATGTGTTTAATGGTCACACAACTCGCTGGCTTCTGTGGACCAGTAAGTACAATCCATCCTTTATCTTACATCCAGACTGGCCTCTATCCCGCAGCCAGTGCTAATGTCTTCAGGATACGTTGTGGAGAATCTTTTAGATGTTGTGATTAGTTAGAAATTTGCCTTGCAGCTTGCAGAGAAGAAATAGGTCTTCCAGCTGCAAGAATCCTAAGACTTTCAAGCTTACCTTTCCTTCCTTCCTTCCTTCCTTCCTTCCTTCCTTCCTTCCTTCCTTCCTTCCTTCCTTCATTCCTCCCTCCCTCCCTCCCTCCCTCCTTTCTCTTTTTCTTGCTTTTTGTGTGCCTATAGTTTTATTGCTTGTTTTCAGTGGCTATAGCTGGAGAAGAGTGGGCAAGGAACTTTCCTGGGCTAAATCTACAGTTATCTACGAATAAAGTCCTAAGTTATTTGTTTGGCTCTCTTTTTCGAAGAAGTGGAACTGAAATGGTGGTGACAACGTTACGTTTTAAGAGGAACCAGGGTTCATAGGAGTCGATAGAGCTAGCGTTGTTCAACTTAAGTGAAAATGCAGTTGGGCAGGTACCAGTGGCATAATTAGATTTGCTTCTAGCAGTGTTGGTTGATGAAGAAAAGCGTGTAACCTAAGTTTTCATATTCACAGCAATTTTTTTTTGTCCCCCGCCTGTTTGTTGCACCTGCCGTGCCAAATTTACTCTTTGACATCTTGACTAAATCTATTCTCTACACATTTCCCTTGAGGAGTAGGAGCAGTGTTATTGCTTTGTAGTACACATTTCATTGTGGTGATAAACGGGAAGGTTCAATGCTCTGGGTAAGTACAGCTGAGGTTCATGTTGAAACAGTTTTGTCTTCTGTCTCTTAAAAATAAAAATAAAAAAAAAACCCCAACCCAATCCTATCCCATCCTTAAATCTGAAAAGTTTGCTTGCATTTCTTATTAAGAAGGAAATAAATCGTGTTTCTTGGTCTTTGTTAAACTGTTGTTGTAATGGGAACAAAAGCTCTCACGAGCCGTTTTCGCTGGATATGCTTTTTGATAAGAATGAGGTTTAACTGAACTGGTTCCTCCAAGAAGAGCTTCTGTCATTGTTTCACTACAGAGTCCCGTGGATGCTCCCAACGCCTAGCAGAGGGTGAGCAGGCAACTCAATTGTTACCTTTGTTTTACACAGTTTCTACCCATCTGAAATACAGGAGAAGAAGGAAGAAGTAGCAGGCAGTCTGCCCTGAATTGGGATATACGCAGTTATTTGTATGCATCCTCCATTGTCCAGGAATTTTACATAACTTGAAAGACCGCCCAGATTAATTCGGAGTACGAAGGGGAATTTCTTACCTTTACCCTTTGGCGCTGACAGAAATTTCTGTGGGTTGGTTCGCTTTGCTTTTTGATCCAAGCATATATTTTCACGTCCAACAGATGCCTGGGGAAAAAAAAAACCCTCAGCTTTCCCCCTTTGCATTGCTAAATAAAAGTGAATTTGGGGTTTTGTTTTTTTATTTTTTATATTTTTTATTTTGCAAACGACCATTCACATCTTCAGGTCCGGAAACCTAGAGCTCTAGCAGGAAACAGCTGACTGGGCTCGTCGAAATTCTTGGGGTTAGTAATGCCTAAAAACAAAACAAAAAGTGCTGCTGTTCCTAAGCTCCTTGGGTATCCAGACTTGCAAAAAAAAAAAAAAAAAGTAGCATCAGGAATTTCTGCTCTGCTATCTGGTTTGTCCCACAGCCTACCGAGACATCTTAGATTCTTTTAACGGCCCTCCGAATCAGCACGACATTCTTATTTATTTATTTATTTTTTTAAAAAGGAGTCTCCTGTACATTTGCTGCTGAACAGGTCACCTTTTTCAAACTCCACGGGGACGTGGACTTTTTCCTTGGAAAGCATTGTGCAAAGGGTCCCCCTTTGCAGAGGGCGTTGTGGAATGGGGGAGGGGGGGGAAGGGGCCGGACCGGTGGGGGAGAGCTGTTTTTAAGGTAAGCCTCCCGTTCTTCCACGTTCATTCCAGCCACCGCTTGTTTTTTCGGCTCTAAAAGGCTGGAGGTGAGTCGGGAGAGTGTCCTCTGTAGTGGAGCCAATGACAGAAGCTGTTCTTTAGCATTTCCAGGATGGCTGTATTCTGCGATCAGAATGAGACAGTCAAGCTGGGCAGAATCCCAAGCGCCAAGACGGAAGGTAAGGTGACGTTTATTTGTGGGAATGTTTACGACAGCCAGGGCAGCTTAGGGCAGCTACTATACCATGAGTGGTTTTCAGGAATAGCCTTCAGGGGTGTAATTTCCTACTCTTCTGCTAGTTTTGGGTTACTGTTATGTTTTTAAACGGAAACCGTATGCTGGTTGTTCCCCTCACGATTTTAACCAGAACAGTGTTTTTTTTAAGATTGCATATATTGTTTCTTTTTCCTTTTTTAATCTTTCTGCCCTTGCTTTCTTTAACTCTGTAACAACAAGAACAAAAAATCCCCAAACAACCCTTAAGCCTCCTTGTTGTTCTTCCCTGGAGAGCTCTTACTTTCTAGTTATTATGGTAGAAGAGAGTTCCTGCTGATGTTGCAAATATTATCCCTATTTCTTCCTGTACCGAGTTGGTTTGTGAAAAAATGTTGGCAGCCCTTGTCAGCGTGTGGGGTCGTAGGTTGTGAAAGTAGAGCACCAAAGGGTTATTCACGCTGCCAGTGACTTAATTTCAGCGGATGGATTGGATCCCAGACCACAATCTTGTTGCTGAATAGTGTCAACCAGCCAATATAAGCCAATGGTGGCTCGGATGGAGAGAAAGTAAAGTCAAGCAATGGAGGAACAAACTGGCACAGTGTAACCTTGGAATCTGCGCTCCTGTACTGTGATCGGAAATTTGCTTGAGGTTCTCTCTCTGTCGTTCTCTTTTTTTTGGCTCGTTTTGTCCGTTTTTGGACCCCTTTGGGCACATGGTGGATGTTCAGCTGTTGACAGGTGCCCATGAAAACTCAGGGGAGGAATCCTACCGCCGAGTGAATTCAGAATCCGCCACCTTGGGACTTGCTCGTGGTCCTTCTTCACTTTTTAACTTGGTCCTGAGCCTCCGCTGCTCACTTGAGAAGCCTGGGGTGCACCCGTTGTTGCCTAGAACATTGATTTACAAAGCCAGTTGTAGCCGTGGGGACTTCCTATAGACTCTGGAAATTCACCCCAAGCGTCTCCAGCCTTTTGCATTTTTCTGATGATTAAAGAACCTTTAAGCTCCAGAATTTGTAGATGTCCTTATTGTTGGAAACGCGTCGTGCAAAAATCGTCCCGTCTAGCCAAGCTGTATTAAACCAAAAAGGGGAAACACATCTGGCCACGGAGATCATTAGCCACCAATGTATCCCTCCTCTTTGGACTTTGTGAACCAATACTCGTCCTGCTTTCTTCCCTGTAACATTTAATTTTTTTGTGTCTTTGCCAAATGTGAGCTCGATTTTGTGTTGGACGCTCGAGTTGGATTCAGGCTTTGTGTAACCTTTAGTTGTGCATGCTGATTGTACGTTCTTCCACGGTACCTTTCTTTTCTTTCATACAAGTGTTTGTGACATGCTACTGCTCACTTTTCATAAGATGCTACTGGTTTTTTTTTTTTTTTTTTTACAAATAAAAAGTTTCCTGCTTCCTTTTTATTAGTACTTAATATTGCTCATGAATCTGAGTTGTAACAGACCGCACTGTCCTTTCGGCCAATGCACGTGAGTGGGGGAATTTGTGGCCTGGGGCCTGTTTTTCTCTTTTTGCAGGTGGTGTTTTGAAATTGTGATTCCTGAGGTAAAATTGTTTTTGTCTTTAAAAGGAGGGAGGCTGGGATGGGAGATGAGGGTTGAGGGCTGGTGTTTGTTTGTTTGTTTTTTAAAAAAATGGTATCGCCTGATTTGATTTCTTTTTTCTTTTCCTGCTTGTCCTTTTCTTTACTTTTAAACTGCTGATGTTTAATTTTCAGGAATGTTTTGCAAAATGTCCTTCTCACACTCCTCTTCCCCAGTTCAACTGTAGGTACATTTGTTCCTTTTTCTCAAATAAGCACGTTTGAAAGAAAGAATTAAAAAAAAAAAAAGGTCTGATGTTTGTAATACGCTCAAGTTTTTGCATAAAGTACACCTTATTGTAAAATTGACAGCGATGATGAATTGTTTCCGCTAACCTCTCTCAGGCTTATGTTAAGTTAGACAATGTATGAAGGAGCAGCAACGGGGGTGGCATAAAGAATTGGACGATTTCAAATTATTCCGCATTGCCTGATAACGCTTGATTCCCTTTGGGAGATTCAGCAGGCTGCAATAACTGCAGCTCTTCCCTCTCGGAAGCCTTCCGATGAATGATAAAAATTCCTACCTGAAAGTCAAACAGCTCCTTTTTTCTAACTTAACATAAAAAAAAAAATAATTGAATGGTTCCTCTGACACGCTAGGATGTTCATGCAGTGTTGCCTTTCTCCCTGTAGGCGTTTATGGTGAAACAGCTCCTTGAATACACTCAGCAAACGGAACCCAACCTGCAATACAGCCTGTTGTTACTTTTTGGCCTCTTAATAACGGAAATAGTGCGTTCCTGGTCTTTGGCGCTAACGTGGGCTTTAAACTATCGCACTGGGGTCAGGCTGCGTGGAGCTATCCTTACAATGGCTTTCAAGAAAATACTCCGACTGAAAAATATCAAGGAGAAATCTTTGGGCGAAGTAAGTGGACAGGGTGGGAGGTGTAGAACAGGGGCGCCAAACTCAATTTCATTGAGGGCCGCATCAGCATTGCGGTTGCCCTCAGGGGGCCGGGTGGGTGTGGCCAGGATGGGTGCAGCCTACTGGGTGGGCATGGATGGAGTGGGTGTGGCCTATTGGATGGGTGTGGCCAGCTCTACAACGTTCGTGTCAAGGTTGCCTGTGGGGGCCTGGGCAGGAGTGAGACAGATCTGAGGGTCTCTGGCGGGGTGGGGGGTGGGACCAGGGCAAGTGCCAAGGCATGGTCCACTGGAGGAGCCTCACTGTTCCTCTCAGGCCATGCAGGGGGTGGGGGCTTATGGAGCTAAGACTGAATACGTTTCAGCATAGATGACCACCACAAAATTGTACATTGGCTCCTGGCCAGGGCCAAGGCAGAGGGAGGCCGTTCCCTCACTGTTTCCAGGATGGCTTCGCAGGCCACGTGAAACCACTTCGTGGGCCGCATCCGCCCCCTCCCCGGGCCTTGTGTTTGACATGTCTGGTGTAGAAGGACAGACTGAAGTGGAAGGTGGGGTTAAACATGTCATCGCTTTGGAATCCTTGTGTTGCCATAAGAGACCTCATTAGTTGGCCTCCAACCTCTTGGGCGCCAGGGACCGATTCTGTGGAGGAAGGTTTTTCCACGGACCGGAAGGGGCGTGGTTTTGCATGCTGCCTGCATCCCGTGGATGGGGCTTCACTTGTTTCTGCAGCCTGGTTGCTGGCATGTTGCTGCCTGGTGCTGGTCCATGGACCAGGGATTGGGGACCCTGGTCTAAACAATATAGCAAATCTGTGGATGCTTTTTGTCCTCTACCCTTGATAATGATCACGCGAAGTGTTAATACCACTTTACAATGCTTTGGTAAGGCCACACCTGGAATATTGCATCCAGTTTTGGTCACCACGATGTAAAAAAGATGTTGAGACTCTAGAAAGACTGCAGAGAAGAGCAACAAAGATGATCAGGGGACTGGAGGCTAAAGCATATAAGGAACGGCTGCTGCAATTGGGTATGTCTAGTTTAATGAAGAGAGGGACGAGGGGGGACATGATAGCAGTATTCCAATATCTCAGGGGCTGCCCCAAAGAAGAGGGAGTCAAGCTATTCTCCAAAGCACCTGAAGGCAGGACAAGAAGCCACAGATGGAAACTAAATGAGAGAAGCAACCTGGAACTAAGGAGAAACTTCCTGACAGTGAGAACAATTAACCAATGGAACAACCTGCCTCCAGAAGCGGTGAATGCTCCAACACTGGAAGTTTTTAAGAAGAGACTGGACAACCATTTGTCTGAAATGGTGTAGGTTTCCTGCTTGAGCAGGGGGTTGGACTAGATGACCTCCAAGGTCCCTTCCAACATTATTATTGTTGTTGTTGTTATTATTATTACTATTAATTGGCACCATATATATTTCAGCTCATAAATGTCTGCTCCAATGACGGCCAGAGAATGTTCGAAGCTGCAGCTGTGGGTAGCTTGTTGGCTGGAGGTCCTATCGTTGCCATTCTTGGCATGGTTTACACGGTTGTCATTCTTGGACCAACAGGCTTTCTGGGTTCAGCTATTTTTGTCCTCTTCTATCCCGCCATGGTGAGTAGAAAACTTTCTGCTTAAAAGCCAAATCACTGAGTATTGAAATGGGCCAATATATTGTGAATATTTACAGTCGTGGCGAATATGATCAGGGTGAAGGTTCCTTCTCCGAGCTGGTGGGTTGGTTTCCAAATGTTTTGTTACTAGGCTAGGTAAAATCTTCAGCGGAGTTCAACTGAAGATGTTATCTACCCTGGTAACAAAACGTTGGGAAACCTGGCAGAGGGGGTGGGGGTCAGGTTGTTCACCAAAGCACCAGAGGGAAGGACGAGAAACAATGGTTGGAAACTGATCAAGAAGAGAAGCAACCTGGAATTAAGGAGAAACTTCCTGACAGTGAGGACAATCAACCAGTGGAACAGCTTGCCACCAGAAATCTTGGGCGCTCCATCGCTGGAGGTTTTTAAGAAGAGACTGGACAATCTGTCTGAGATGGTGTAGGATCTCCTACTTGAGCAGGGGGCTGGACTAGAAGACCTCCAAGGTCCCTTCCAGCTCTATTCTATTCTTCTGTTCTTCAACCCACCAGCTCAGAGAAGGAACCTTCACCCTCATTGTGAACATTGTTATTCATGTCACAGAAATTCAAAACACTCTCACAAATAACTGAGAAAAATTAATTGCCTAAGCAGACTATTAGTTCAACAAGGGAATACGGGACAGTGTTTTTGTTTTTTGTTTTGCTTATGTTACCGTATTCAGATGGATTTAATTTTTCTTCACTGTTGTGGTTGTGCTGAAATAGTTTTCAGGCCCCTGCTAGAGAAGCATGCAAGGAGTGTGTGCTTGTAAGGACCAAAATTAAGCTGCCGATCTGCACACCAGCAGGCAAATCTAGTTTTAAAAAAAATATCTCTTCATTCAAGGAAACGCCTGTGAAAATAATACTTTAAGCAACTTTAAGATGGTGGACTTTAATTCCCCAAATCCACCAGCTAGAATGCAAGATGTTCAACTTTCAAACTTCCCTAGCCAGGATGCTGGCTGGGGAATTCTTGGAGTTGAAGGCCATACAAAAAGTATTGTGTATTGTGAAACATTATTCTAGAGCAGTGGTTCTCAACCTGTGGGTTGGGACCCCATTTGAGGTCGAACAACCATTTCACGGGGGTCGCCAAACAACGCAGTCCACCATTTTTTTTCCCTTTTCCTTAGCTGTGCTACTCCCTTTTATTCTATTGGCTTTTGAAAGCCAATAGAATAGACTCTCTTGAATAGAGTCTAATTCTATTGGCTTTCAAAAGCCAATAGGAATTATCCAGGCTGTCTCTGCCCTGCTGAGCCTGCCAAAAGTCCCATTCTGCAAACGGTGCTGCACCAGTTAAGTAGTCCTCGACTTACGACCGGTTGAGTAGTACTCGACTTACGACCGGTTGGGGGTCGCGGCATTAAAAAGGTTGAGAAACACTGTTCTAGAGCAGGGGTGTCAAACTGCCGGCCCTCGGGCCGGACACGTCACAACGAAACCGCACCCACCTCATTGCCAGCCATGGGGGAAAAATTCCGATACGTCGCGCGACGTCACGTGTCGTTGTGAGTTTGACATGTCTGCTCTAGAGTATTGGCTAATTCATTTGATAGATGACGCTTTTCACACCTACAGTGTCCTCAACTTAACGACCACAATTGAGCCCAACATTTCTGTCGCTAAGCGAGACAGTTGTTAAATGAATTTGGCCCCGTTTTACACTCTTTCTTGCCACAGTTCTTAAGTGAATCACTTTCAGTTTTTAAGTTACTAACACGGTTGTTAAGTAAATCTGACTTTGCTTGTCTGAAGGTCACTCAAGGGGATCACATGACCCCAGGACACGGCAACCGTCCTAAATATGAGTCGGTTGCCAAGCGTCTGACTTTTGATCACGTGACCATGATGCCACAATGGTCGTAAGTGTGAAAAACGGTGATAAATCACTTCTTTCAGTGCCGTTGTAACCTTGAACGGCCATTAGCTGAACTGTTTGTAAGTCGAGGACTGCCTATATTGTTCGTTGGCTGAAGGAGCCTGCATCTTCTCTTATGCCAGTTTTTCTCAACCTTGACAATTTTAAGGCATGTGGACTTCAACTCCCAGAATTCCACAGCCAGCGTTGCTGGCTGTGGAATTCTGGGAATTGAAGTCCACATACCTTAAAATTGTCAAGGTTGAGAAACACTGTCTTATGCTGATTTCTTTCGATTCCAGATGTTTGCATCCCGGTTTACAGCGTATTTCAGACGGAAATGCGTGGCTGTAACTGATGAACGCGTCCAGAAAATGAATGAAGTGCTCAACTACATTAAATTCATCAAAATGTATGCTTGGGTGAAAGCTTTCTCTCAGACCGTTCAAAGTGAGTTTTCTGTTTCTTTATTGTCTTGTGTACAAGCCTCCCTTTGGCTTCCTCCGTGCCAGCAAAATGGCCGGACTATATAAAGAGTTTGTATTCTACTGCTGCTGCAGTTTGTCTGAAAGTTGAATCACGGCGACTGGATTTATTTTCTGGCTGGCTTGAGAGGTTTTCACTGGCCATCCAAGCAGCTTTTTCGGTCTCAGCAAGTTGGTTAAGAGAATCTGAGTAAGCCAAGAGTTGTTGGAATGTAAGCCAGCTCCTAAAATTCCTAGGAATGTTTCTTCACCAATCTCATGATTTCTTCCCCAAAGTGTATGGCAATATGTCAGGGAAGATTCTTAGTCATCGAGGTAGAATTATGTAAAAGTTGAGTCATGACAAATGGACTTGTTTTCTAGTTGGTTTTGGACATTTTGCTGCCCACCCAAGCGGCTTCTTCTTGGATGGGCAGTGAAACATCTCAGCCAACTCTACTTTCAGACAATTCTACCTGGATGACTTGAGAATCGTCATCAAGATTTCTTTGGTTTTTCTACTGTTACTACTGTTAAGAAATTAAAAGACACTTGCTCCTGGGGAGGAAAGCTATGGCAAATCTAGACAGCATACTAAAAAGCAGAGACATCATCCTGCCAACAAAAGTATGTATAGTCAAGGCCATGGTTTTCCCAGTTGCAATGTATGGCTGTGAAAGTTGGACCATAAGAAAAGCTGAGCGCTAAAGAATGGTGGCCTTTGAGCTCTGGTGCTGGAGAAGAGAACAGCTTGCCTCCAGAAGCAGTAAATGCTCCAACACTGGAAGTTTTTAAGAAGAGACTGGACAGCCATTTGTCCGAAATGGTGTAGGGTTTCCTGCCCGAGCAGGGGGTTGGACTAGATGACCTCCAAGGTCCCTTCCAACTTTACTACTTATTATTATTATTATTAAGACTCCTGCAAGTTCCTTGGACTGCAAGGCGATCAAACCGGTCAATTCTAAAGAGGTCAACCCTGACTGCTCTTTAGAAGGCCAGATCCTGAAGTTGAAACTCAAATACTTTGGCCACCTAATGAGAAGGAAGGACTCACTGGAGAAGAGCCTAATGCTGGGAAAGATTGAGGGCAATAGAAGAAGGGGACGACAGAGAATGAGATGGCTGGATGGAGTCCCTGAAGCAGTAGGTGTGAGCTTCAATGAACTCCAGAAGATGGTAGAGGACAGGAAGGCCTGGAGGAACGTTGTCCATTGGGTCGCGATGGGTCGGACACGACTTCGCAACTAACAACAACAACTGTTACTACATTTGCATGGCTATCCCAAAGGTGCTTTTTTCAAGAGGCAACGGGACTGTCTTGTTTTTCTTTGAAGATGTTTCACTTTTCATCCAAGAAACTTCTTCAGCTGAAGAAGCTTCTGGGATGAGAAGCAGAACATCTTCAAAGAAAAACAAGACAGTCCAGTTGCCTCTTTTTTTTTTTTTTTTTTTTGTCTTTTTTTTTTTTTTCCTGTTTAAAAAAGGTAGAAGAGCCTTTTTTGTCCATTTGTATATCTAAGACACCATTCCAGTCTCCCATTAAAATCACAGATCTATAGTCCAACAAAGTTATTTTCTGATGTAGTAACCTATAAAATTGCTCCTGTTGCTGGTTTGGTGCATACAACCCCACAATAAGAATTTTCTTGCCATATAAACCAAGTTCAAGCATAACATATCTTCCGTAAGGGTCTGATTCTAACAAGGTAGCGGATAAATTCTGTTTAACATAGATTACCACACCCCCTTTCTTCCCAGGGGCGGGAGATACAAAATGAGATCCCAAGCGAGGATTATTTAAATATTTTTGATCTTTAGCTGTAATATGAGTTTCTTGCAAGCAAATAATATCATTGTTATGTTGTTTCAAATAGTGGTAAATTTTTTTTCTCTTTTGAGGAATGTTTAATCCATTAACATTCCAGGACAGGAGCTTTGCCATCTCCCTTGGCCTTCAGCCTGGAGAAGATCCGCTCAAATTCTGCTGCTGATGAATATGTAGCAGAGCTTTTGGGTCTTGCTCCTCCCACCGGCACTGAAGCAATTTGCTGAGTAGATTCTTCAATTTCTTTTTCTTTTTCTTTTTTCTGTTGTTCTTTTTCTTTACGTTTATGTGCTGCACGGGTCATTCTCTGTTCTTTAACCTCTGGTTGAGACATCCATACCACCTGTCCAGCAGTCATCATCCCTGTACCTTCAGATTTCTGTTCCATCTCTTTATCACTCAAGACTTTATGCATCATGGGCAAAGGAGAGCCTGCTCCCAGGACCGTTTTATAAAATTCCTTAGCTTTAGCAGTTGCCTCTTGAAAAAGCATCTTTGGGACAACCATGACCTGGACGATAGAGGATCTCCATGGACATTTAATGACTAATCATAGATAAAACTGAGCTTGCATTTTTATCGCCAGGCAGGGCCAATTTGAATGCAGACCAATTTTTTTTAAATGTGTAAACCATGCTCCCTTTTGCATTTTCATTTTAGTCGGCTGCAAGTGTGGTTCCTGCAGATGACAAAACTGCGGTTAACATGGCAATTAACTTAACCTTCTGCTAATCACTTTGTCTTTTCTTCTCAGAAATCAGAGAGGAAGAACGCAAAATCCTGGAGCGCGCAGGATACTTCCAGAGTATCACTGTGGGAGTGGCACCCATCGTTGTAGTGATAGCTAGTGTGGTGACTTTCTCTGTTCATATGATCTTTGGCTATGATCTCACAGCAGCTCAGGTAATTTTGGGGGGCAGATGGTGTTCACTTCAGATACAGGAAGGGAATCCTAGTGGACCATCCCTTAAATAGGAGCCAGCAGTGTGTTGCAGCTGCCAAAAAAGCCAACACAGTGCTAGGCTGCATTAACAGGGATAGAATCAAGATCACGTGAAGTGTTAATACCACTTTACAATGCCTTGGTAAGGCCACACTTGAAATACCGCATCCAGTTTTGGTCACCACGATGTAAAAAAGATGCTGAGACTCTAGAAAGAGTACAGAGAAGAGCAACAAAGATGATCAGGGGACTGGAGGCTAAAACATATAAGGAACGGTTACTGGAATTGGGTATGTCTAGTTTAACGAAGAGAAGGACGAGGGGGGACATGATAGCAGTATCCCAATATCTCAGGGGCTGCCATAAAGAAGAGGGAATCAAGTTATTTTCCAAAGCACCTGAAGGCAGGACAAGAAGCAACGGATGGAAACTAATCAAGGAGAGAAGCTATCTAGAACTAAGGAGAAATTTCCTGACAGTTAGAACAAGCAGGGGGTTGGACTAGAAGACCTCTAAGGCCCCTTCCAACTTTTTATTATTATTGTTGTTGTTGCTGTTGTTGTCATTATTATTAATTATTATTGTTATTATTTTGGAAACTTGGGATCGTGGATGCTTTTCTCACATGCTCTGATCCAAATTTGCATACTGCTTTCCTGTGCCATGAAAAGTTGCTAGTGACAGGGTTAGTCCTACATAAAGATGCAGTTAATTATTGTAATGACCTAGGAAATAAACTGAACCTAGTAAAAATAAAAACTCCAGTACAATAGTAAGCTGTGATCAGCATCTGTGGTAGCATTTTGTATTTTTGATTGCAGTAGGTGTTAAGAAAAACTGGTATCTTTGCAGGACCCTGTTTTCTGTATTTTTTATTGTTTGAAGTAGACTTACCTTATGGCTTCTATAATATCTGAAAATAACAAAGAAAGAGCATCTATTTCTGCTAGAGGCATTTCATTGTTGCTCTATATTGATGGAGAAGTTGGATCTTTGTGCCAGAAAATGTAGTTTGGTGTGCAATATTCTTAAATTAAAAAGGAATTGGACTGTTGGCTCTTCAAAAAAAACCTCCTATGCTGCAGTATTCATGTTTCATGAAAATCCTCCATGGGATAGCTGCGTGTCATACTTGTTATAATTGGGGATTAAAACAAGTCCAGCTATGTTCTTTCTCTTATTAATGGTTTTCAGGAAGAATGAAAAACATCTGGGTCACCTGAGTGATATCGGCTTTCTTTTGTTCCTGTTAGCACAGTGATGGCGAACCTATGGCACGCGTGCCAGAGGCGGCACTCGGAGCTCACTCTGTGGGCACGCGTGCTGTCGCCCCAGCCCCGCCTCCCCCCGCAGCCCCCTCCTCACCAGCAGCCTCCCTGGAGGAGAATCGCCCCTGGGTGCGGCCCACACAGAGCAGCGTAGCCAAGGACATAGCCGGGCAGCAGGGACATGACTCCGCCCTCGCACCCCATAGCCTGCAGATGATGCGGGGTGTGGGCGGAGGGCGTGGCTGCCATGGTGCTGCAGGGCTGCCTGGGTGATCTGCTGCGGGCCATGGAGGTGATGCGTGTCCCTGCAGGTGGGCGGGGCAGGGGGTGGGTGGGAGCGGAGCAGGCAGGGTGGGAGGCAGAGTGGGGGCGGGGGGGGGAGTTTTTGGGCACTCGGTCTCTAAAAGGTTCGCCATCACTGTGTTAGCAGTTGATATACTTTCCTTCAGAAAGTATTCAGACCCCCATCACTTTTGTCAATTAGGTTGTGCTGCAGTCTGATTCTACAGTTGTTGAAATTCATTTTTTACCCCGTTGATCTACACTCAGTATCCCATTAATGCCAAAATGAAAATGGCATTTGAAAAATGTCTGTAAATTTATTAAAAAGAAAAAAAAAGCTCTGAAAGGTCACATTGGCATAATTATTCAGATCCTTTGCAACCACACTTGAAATTTAGCCTCCCATTTCTTTTGATCGTTGCTGACATATTTCTACATTGTGATTGGAGTCGACCTGTGGTAAATTAAATTGATTGGACATGATTTGGAAAGGCACACACCTCTCTGTGTAAGGCCTCACATCTGACAATGGGTACTGTTAGCAGAGCAAAAGCTATGAGGTCAAAGGAACTGCCTGTATACCTCAGAGACGGGGTTATTGCAAGGCACAGATCTGGGGAAGGCTATAGTAAAATTTCTGCTGCACTGAAGGTTCCTAAGAGCACGGTGGCCTCTATAATTCTCAAACGGAAGAAGTCTGGCACAACCAGGGCTCTTCCAAGAGCTGGTCGCCTGGTCAAACTGAGCGATCGGGAGAGAAGGGCTTTAGTAAGAGAGGTGACCAAGAACTTGACTGAGCTCCAGAGATCCTATGAGGAGATGGGACAGAGTTCTAGAAGGACAACTCCTCACTGCAGTCTTCCACCAATCTGGGCTTTATGGCAGAGTGGCTAGACCAGGGGGTCTTCAAACTTGGCTGCTTTAAGACTTACGGACTTCAATTCCCAGAATTCCTCAGAATTCAATTTTTTTAAAAAAATAAATTTGCAGGCATTTCTAAAATTATGTTTTCACTTTGTCATGATAGGGTACTGAGTATAGATTTATGAGAGAAAAAAAGAGATTTTCTTTTTTTTTCTTTCTTTTTTTAATAAACAATTTTTATTGGTTTTCCATTTTACACCAACAGAAACTTAAGAGCCAGCGTGTAGATATGGTGGTCAATTACAAAAAAAAAATAACATTATAAATATACAATTCACACAATGTTTCTTAAAATTTCCCTATCTATCTATGTAGAATATTATAATCAAATAGATTCAAATAAATTCATTCATTAATATATCTAAATATAAGTTTCCTTAATCAATAGGAACTTTCAACCGCTCAATATAATAATCAAATTAGTACAATCCTATCACCAATTCATTCATTAATATATCACTATATATAAATTAAATGCTTAAATCAAAACTAACACTCTCTGTTTAAATTATTGTAATATCAATACATTTCTAACACAAATTTTCATTAAAGATATCACTGAATATGAATTTCATTAATCAATAAACATTTGCAAAAGCTCCTTATCTATCCCAAAAATCCTGTTTTAAACTTTATTAATTTTTCAAATATTTAAATTTAAACTAACCTATTTATTTTACTATTCAGGGACCCCAAATTTCTCTTATTTAAACACATTAGCTCCAAAAATAAGTTCTTACATTTCTCAGCTATATTTCTATTCTTTTTCAATAATTCTCCAATTATTAATTCCATCTCGTTCCAAAAAAGAAAAAACAAACAGACACATACACACAGAAAAACCCCACATATTCTTATTATACTACAATATTAAGTTCTAGATCAGTGGTTCTCAACCTGTGGGTCGGGACCCCATTTGGGGTCGAACGACCATTTCACGGGGGTCGCCAAACAACGCAGTCCGCCATTTTTTCCCCCTTTTCCTTAGCTGTGCTACTCCCTTTTATTCTATTGGCTTTTGAAAGCCAATAGAATAGACTCTCTTGAATAGAGTCTAATTCTATTGGCTTTCAAAAGCCAATAGGAATTGTCCAGGCTGTCTCTGCCCTGCTGAGCCCGCCAAAAGTCCCATTCTGCAAATGGTGCTGCACCAGTTGAGTAGTCCTCGACTTACGACCGGTTGAGTAGTCCTCGACTTACGACCGGTTGGGGGGGGGGGTCACAGCATTAAAAAGGTTGAGAACCACTGTTCTAGATCATTATTATGAAATGGTCTAGAAAAAAAAGATTTTCAACAATGAGGCTGCAGCATAACAAAATTGGCAAAAATGAAGGGCGGGGGGGGGGGCTCTGAATATTTTCTGAATGCAATGTAATTATTTATTCTACAGAAAGAGTGCAGAAGTACAGTCAGGTTTTGGCTTTGTCCTCAAAACAGTGACAACGCAAAAAGCTTGGAACTTCCAGAGGAAAACATAATTTCCTTTTCTTGCTTCCTTCAATCCATTTCAATGCACTCTGTAGAATTTTTTATTTTTTTTTTTAAACCTGGATGAATACTATCACTGTTGCCGAATAGCTATAAATTCTTGGATTTACACAGGGCTTCTTACTGCTGCTGCAGTCAAAAATGCTTGTTTCCTTCTGTGTTTCAGGCTTTTACGGTGGTGACAGTCTTCAACTCCATGACTTTTGCTTTGAAAGTCACCCCGTTTTCTGTGAAGTCTTTGTCTGAAGCTTCCGTTTCGGCTGACAGATTTAAAGTAAGTTACCCCTGCCTTGTCGTGTTTTACTATTTGGTTGGGTCCTTTTGCAGATTCTGAAATACTCGCGCATTAAATCTCTTGCTGCCTTCATCGCTCTGTTCTCACCATAAGGAAGGAGCATGATCTAAACACCCTGAAGTTCTATTTGTCAAAGTGGCCATTTTGCAGTACAATAGTAACATCTCTAACGTTAGTAATTGATTGCATTCAGTTGACTACCAAGTCAGAGAGAGGATAGGGCTGCAGGATTTAAATCAATTTGAAGCATGGTAATGAAGCATGATACACACGCATGCAGAACCTCGCAGAATGCAACCTATAGCATGCCTTACGACAGCTTATAATATCAAATTCCTTGGCAGTGATTTTCATTTTTTTAAAAAAAGTTTTCCATATTTGCTTGTCTACAGTAGAACTCCTGTGAGTCGCTGAAGATTTTAGCATGCACAGTTCATTCAGAGGGAAAGCTGGTCTGGCTATTGGGCTTCATCCTTGTCACAGTTACTTTTAAAGTGCATTTCAGAACATAACCTGGAAAATATCAAGAAGAGCCCAACTGAGACGCGTTCTTCAAATTTTCATTTTTTTCCCCTCTCGGTTTCTGAATGTTTGCAGTTCCTCTCTCACTGTGCTTAAACTAGCTAATGTCCAAGGGTTTTTGTTTTTTTTTCACCATAGAACTATGTTATCAGCAGAAGTGTTTGCCTGAGATTGCATGAAGGCATTGTATATATACTTTGAAATGTAAATTGCTTTTAGGTCTGCCATTTGAATGCCCAAGAATTCCATCAAGCAAGCCAATCTTTAGGCCAGTGGAATAATTTTAGTATTCTTGGCGAGAACAACATTAGCGTTTTGAAATACGCAGGATGCTAAATCTTAGTTAAAAGAAGGTAGGGAAAGAGGAATCCTTCAGAGAAAACCAGTAATATTGCCTCTTAAGGCAAAGGCTTATAGTTTGCTTATCATCCGTGGGACATTTCATATATATTTACATTGCTTACTGGTGTACACCGCTTAGAGAGTGCTTGCACTTAAAGCGGTATATAAGTCTCATCAACAAATAAATAAATTTCAGTTCAAGCCCCACAATTATTCCGGGGGATGGGAGTCATTAAAGAAATAAGTCTCTTTGCAAACACTTGATTAATTAACTCAAAATGTGTTTTGGTGTTTTTTTTTTCTGTGTAAACTGTTGAACAAAGACTGCACAATATTTTTGAACGGACGGATGCAGTGGAACACACGACATAGAGGCTCTGGGTTTTTGACGATGCGGTTTTGTCCTCCGTGATAACACACAATCAGATTTGAAAAGTGCCTGAGTTTTTGTTCAGCAGAGAGTTGAGCGTTGTTGGTTTTTTTTTTTTTTTTTGAATCTGGGTCGAGCAGGGGTCTCACCCGTTGACGCTGGCGGTGTTTCCGGCGTACAGAATTTCTCGCCGGCAAAAATGGATCCCGCGTCTTTTAAGTCTCTCTGTCTGAGGACCACTGCATTCGTGGGTGAACCAGGTCCTTGTGAAGGACCTGGCGTTAGTTTTCACTAATGAGCTACCTTTTGCTCTTCAGCTTCCCCGCACTGTATAAGCCTGATGTGTTTTGCTGCGTGAGTGTGCCGTAGACTTGTCCCCCCCTCAGTCTTGACCAGGTGTCTCATCTTTGCACCTCTCTCACAACTCCTATCAGAGTTTGTTTCTAATGGAAGAGGTTCATATGGTAAAGAAAAAACCAGCCAGTCCTCACGCAGCCATACAGATGACAAATGCCACCTTAGCCTGGGAATCCTCCCATGCTAGTGTCCAGAGCTCACCCAAGATGACCCCTAAAATGAAAATGGGCAAGACAGCCATGAACAGGAAAGACAAGAAGAAACTGCAGCAACACGAGGGACGGCAGACCATGCTCACTGAGCAGAAGGGCCATCTTCTGGTGGACAGCGATGACCCCCCGAGTCCCGAGGAGGAGAACCAGCGCATCCAGCTTGGGAACGTCCGGCTGCAGAAGGTCCTTTACAACATTGACCTGGAAATTGAGAAGGTGAGGAAGCACTTCCCTCCTCTCCCCATCTCTCTCTTCCTCTCTCTCTCTCTCTCTCTCTCTCTCTCTCTCTCTCTCTCTCTCTCTCACACACACACACACACACACACACACACACACACACTCTTTCCCTCTCTCTTTCTCTTCCCCCTCTCTCTTTCTCTTTCCCTCTCTCCCTCTTTCTTTCTTTTTCCCTCTCTTTCTCACTCTCTTTCTCTTTCCCTCCCCTCTCTCTCTTTCTCTTTCCCCCCCTCTCTCTTTCCCTCTCTCTCCCTCTTTCTTTCTCTTTCCCTCTCTCTCTTTCTCCCCTCTTTCCCTCTCTCTCCCTCTCTTTCCCCCCTTCTCTCTCTTTCTCTCCCCCCTCTCTTTCTCTTTCCCTTTCTCTCCCTTTTTTCTCTTTCCCTCTCTCATTCTCTCTTTTTCTTTCCCTCTCTCTCTTTCCCTCCCCTCTTTCTCGTTCCCCCTCTTTCTCTTTCCCTCTCTCCCTCTTTCTTTCTCTTTCCCTCTCTCTCTCTCTCTCTCTCTTTTTCTCTTTCCCTCTCTCTCTTTCTCTTTCCCTCTCTCTCTTTCCCCCCCCCTCTCTTACTGTAGTTAGGAAGTGGCATGGCACTCGGGTTTCCACCCCCACTCAAAAGGCTGATTTTTCAACAACGTCCACAAGTCCTAAAACGCCAAGTTTGAAGACCCCTGGTCTAATCTAAGCAGAGCCAGCTATTTGCCAGCTGAAGGAAAGACTGGTAGATAAACATAAGCCTAGGTAAGTAAGCTAGGGACAGGTTTGCCCTTCCGTTGGGAAATGATTTTCAGCACAATGAAATATTTGTCTTCCAGAAAGCTGGGCGCACAGCAGAGATACGCTGGAGCAACAATTTTATCTTGCATTAGTTCTGATAATATTCGGAGGCAGCAATTTCATGCATTTATTTATGCAAACTCAAGCCAGGAGTTTGATAAAGGAAAACTGACTGCTTTCAGTACCATCTTTGGGAATCTGGCTGAGTGCCTGAGTGCAGAGGCCTGAAAAAAAAAAAAATCTCCAATATCCCTTTAGTGCAGTTTTTCTTTCAAAGAGACATTGGCAGCCAGTCATCTGACACCCCTCCCCTCCCCCCCTCCAAAAGCTTTATGCTGAGGGCTGCAGGGAATAATTTCATCACCCACTAATATTATGTACAGCAATTGGATTCCGTTCGATGTTTATGAAATAATTGGGTGGTAAATCGCACTACTTTCTTGTGTGCGTCTTCATGCGCTAATTTTTCTTCCCCTTTTTCCTGGTCCAATCTAGGGGAAGCTGGTTGGTATATGTGGCAGCGTGGGGAGTGGGAAAACCTCACTCATTTCAGCCATTTTGGGACAGGTGAGACACCACGACTCTTTTGATTCTTCTTTCTTCTTTTTGTCCTTTGACTGCGACAAAAACGTTGTGTTCGTTGACCAACGTCTCTGGATTGAATCTTCCTGTCCAGTGGAATCAGGAAGAGAGGATGCGACCAGAGTGACTTTTGGATCCTCAGGACTTGTTGGAAAATTTCCATAAAAAAAAAAATCTACTTTGGATTTTTTGGTCATCCTTTCAGTTGGAAACCATATTAAAGTTGACAGCAAATCAGTTTGTTTTTGCCCCCCAGTGCTGTTTGGCAGGAATAACTAATGGCATTCCATTGTGAAACGCTCCCTTCTTCCAAGATTTGATAGCACAGAGAAGCTGCCTTCCTTTTAAATTGTAAGGAGCAGATTGCAAAGGTGTTTCCAGAAGTTTCCAGCTTCCAGTAGTTTCCACTTCCAGTAACAGCATTATTTAAAGTTCTACTGGCTTAGTGTGCCCAGTTGCACCAGGCATGCGGTAACCAGCCTGCCTAGTCTAGGAGAGGTTTTATTGATGAAGAAAATGTACATGGCTTCCCTCGTGATGACTCCAGGTCTTTTACAGAAATAAAATCCCAAAACAAAACCCAATAAACTCCCAGTCCCCTGGTGACAACCATCAAACCAGCCACTTGATTGGCTCCCTATCACCCTGGGGTCCAAAACTATGTCTTCAGGGGCTTTGGAAAGAGTATCAAGTTGGAGGCCAGTCTTACCTCCGCAGAGATGATGGTCCACATGGAGGGGGCCCCCATGGAGAAGGCTCTTCTTCTTGGTCCCACCACCTTAAGAGAGGGGACCCCTAACATACACTGCCTCTCCCCTCTCTGGTGTGTTGAGTAGATGTAACTGGGAAAAGTCCTTCAAACAACCTGGTCCCAAGCCATGACTTCTTGCTTTCTTGTGAGTCATACACACTTAAAAAAGTGTGGGAGCATCAAACTAAGGCCCAGGTCTACCCTTCGTGTTGATTGGGGAGGCCTCTCTCCAGGCAGAGGAGGTGCCTGGTAACACCATATCCAGGAAAGTGGAGGTCTCCTCAGCCTGTGGTACACGTCACTCTTAGAAGATCTCTAAGCTTGCTTTTTGGACCGAGACGGGGCTTCATCAATCATTTCTTTGAAGGAAGGCCATCTGCAGGTGGCCAATGGTTAGGCTTTCTTGGTGATAGCCCCCTTCAATGGAACAACCCTAATTTCCAGATACCTAGACCTCCACCATCTTTCAGAGCAGTGGTTCTCAACCTTTTTAATGCTGCGACCCCCAATTGGTCGTACGTCGAGGACTACTCAACCGGTCGTAAGTCGAGGACTCCTCAACTGGTGCAGCACCGTTTGCAGAAGGGGACTTTTGGCGGGCTCAGCAGGGCAGAGACAGCCTGGACCATTCCTATTGGCTTTCGAAAGCCAATAGAATTAGACTCTATTCAAGAGAGTCTATTCTATTGGCTTTCAAAAGCCAATAGAATAAAAGGGAGGAGCACAGCTAAGGAAAAGGGGGAAAAAAATGGCGGACTGCGTTGTTTGGCGACCCCCATGAAATGGTCGTTCGACCCCAAATGGGGTCCTGACCCACAGGTTGAGAACCACTGTTTTAGGGCTTCCAAAGAGTTGTAAAGATGAGGCTCCACAAGAATAGCTTTGGGGATGTGGTAGTTTAGCTTCTCTCCATAAATGGGAGGGTGAGAGAGGAAAGAAGAGTCTGAGAGGGAGGGTGGGAATTTATCAGACTTGGAGGGGTCCTTGGTGCTCCCTCAGCTTGGTTGCTTTCCTGCAGACGTTTCTAGCTCTGATGACGTTACCTAGTTTGGCTAACAAAACATTGCGAGCTCAGAGAGCACCAAGGATCCCTCCTTCCAACCCTGAGCTAAAAATATTCTCCTTTATTGATGAGACTTTGAGGCAGTATCTTTGACAGGCCTGTTGCTGCTGTTTCAGATGACTTTATTGGAAGGTAGCATTTCCGTGGATGGGACCTTTGCTTATGTGGCCCAACAGGCCTGGATTCTCAACGCCACGCTGAGAGACAACATCCTTTTCGGAAAGGAGTTTGAAGAAGAAAGGTTGGTTTGCTGGAGTTTCGTGAACTTTTCTCTTGTGATGCAGGTGGGGAAAGGCTGCTGGGTGGAGGCTAGTCCTGAACTGCTTTGCAGCCGTTGTGGACCGATAGTTATGTCCAGGAACAAGATGGTGATTTCCTGTCTTGGCCCCCCTTACTGTGAGCGTCCTGCTTTCAGTCTTCACTGGCTGCACTGAAATAAAACATTGGACCAGGCCTTGTAACAAAAAGCCACAATTTAGTACTGCATTTTCCCGAAAGTAAGGCCTACACCAACAATAAGCCCTAGCTTGATTTTTGAGGGCGGGCCTAATATAAATCCTATCCCAAAAATAAGCCCCACACCCACTTGTAGCCAGGCCTCTCCTTGCCGGCTCACTTCTTCTTCTGAGGCCTCTTCTGCAGCCAGGCCTGCATTTCTCAGTCACGGGGCTTTCCGGAAGGCCTCTGCAGCCAAATAGCTCGGTTCTGCAAGAGCTCAGCAGCTGAGCACCAAGCTATGGGTTCAATCCATAGCTCGCTACTTGGCTGCCTAGGCCTTCCGGAAAGGTCTGACTGCAAAATGCAGGCCCGAATACAGCTGCAGAACTTTGGCCCCAGAAGAAGTGGACCGGCTGGGTGGGGCTGTCGGTGCCGGAGGTGAGGTAAGGCCTACCCCGAAAATAAGACCTGGTGCCTTTTTTGGAGAAATAAAAAATAAGACCCAGTCTTATTTTCGGGGGAAACACGGTATTAAGTACACAAGACTGTGGGGTATGACGGCTCAGTGGATAAAAACACTGAGCTTGTCAGCTGGAAAGCCGACAGCCCAGGTTCGAGGCCTGAGTGCCACATGACAGGGTGAGCTCCCGTTACTTGCCTCAGGTCCTGTCAACCTAGCGGTTCAAAAGCATGCAAATGTGGGTAGATAAAAAGGTACCACTTTGGTAAGAAGGTAATAACCTTCCGTGTGCCTCAGCGGATAGTCGTGCCGGCCACGTGACTATGGAAGTGTCTTCAGACAACACTGGCTCCCTTGACTAAGAAATAGAGATGAGCAGCGCCCCTTAAAATTGGACTTGACTGGACAGGGGAATCCTTTACCTTTACATGAGACTTAGTGAGCCTGAACTAAGCAGTGGAGCCACGTATCTTCCATTCTTCCCAACTGGGAAAAAGGCTTTAAACCCCGATTTTCCCAAATTCCTGGCTTATTAATTCACTACATCCCAGGAATTGTGGTTTTAGCCAAACTGCAGTTGCTTACTAAGCCAGAACCGCAAAATGGAGAGTGCTTTTCAAACATTACGTTTGGGGCACAGATAAGAACTTTGGTGGGAATCAATGAGAATTAATGCGGTGTTGAGTTGAAGGTATTGGATTAGGAGCAAGGAGACTGAGGGTAAAGTGGGCTCTAAACCGCAGAAACCCCTAACTGTGAGTCAGTCATTCTCTCAGCCCAGCCTACCTTGCAGAATTGTGCCGTGTTTAATAGAAGCCTCTAATAAATAAAAAGAGTAAGTACTAAATTAAAATCCAATGAGAAAAGAATTAGGTGTAATATTTAAGACAGAGGTCTTCAAACTTGGCCCTTTTATGACTTGTGGACTTCAACTCCCAGAATTCCTCAGCCAGGCTAAATTTGGCAGGAATTTTCCTCCCTAGCCAGTTAAGAGGATGGAGAAATACATGAGAAATACAAAATTATAACAGAGCATTATGTAAGAGCCAGCCTGATAATTACATCATTCAAAATGCAACTGATGTTAAAAGTCAGTTTTGAGCCAATCACGGTCTTTGTTGCCCATTGTGGTGCTCACCAGGCACATAACTATTTCAAAGCAATTAGTTAATTGGCCTAATAGCCACAATTCTACCTGGGGCAAAACCAGATAAATTTCTAAATATCCCAGTGGGGCAGATTTGTCTGAGATACATTTTCTAAATCTGTCTTTCACTCTTTAAACAGGCCCTGGGGAAATGCTATAGGGGCGGAATTAGTCCCATTTAACTTGGAAATGGTCTCTTTACTGCTTTTTAAAAATATGTATATTTATCTATGCATATATGTATACTGTATATATATATATATATATATATAGGTACAATATGGTGTTGAATGATTGCTGTCTCCGACCTGATCTGGCTATCCTGCCAAACGGAGATCTGACTGAGGTAAGAATCTTGCTTGACTGAGGTAAAAAACTTGCTGAGGTAAGAATTTTGCTTGACTGAGGTAAGAATCTTGCTTGACTGAGGTAAGAATCTTGCTGAGGTAAGAATCTTGCTTGACTGAGGTAAGAATCTTGCTTGACTGAGGTAAGAATCTTGCTGAGGTAAAAATCTTGCTTGCTTCCCTCTACCCATGTGTAGAGGGAAAATGTGTGACATGCTTAGGGGTTGATAAACAGCTTTGCCTGTGAATTTCATTACATCCTTAACTACTTAATATGTCATCAGACTAAAATATGAGACCTGTTTACCTTGCTATGTCATTAATGGTTTCATGGGTTAACGTCAGGCAAGAAAGACCAGATCTACATGTGTGAAGGTCCAATTAAACTAATTTATAGATAACCATGCCTGTGCACAGAAATATTCTCATCTAATGGCCAGCACCTGCTTGGAGTCAAATAAGAGTCAAGGAAATTCAAGGGAAGTTAGACTTCATTTGTTTGTGGCTACATAGGGATTCTAAGCTGATCCCTCTTTCAACTCCACCCCCAGTTTCTGCTACTCCTTCTTTTACAGTTAGGGCACGTCCTGTTGTACTTTGAGGAGAGGTTTCTCAAAACAGGTGCTTTGCCAGCCTACTTTGTGATGGAGATGGGCAGTTTCAAAATTTTTAAATAAATTATGTTCCTGGTGGTACAAAAAGGTAGGTACCTTAAGTGAGGGGTGAGTTTAATAAGGCGTTTATTGCTAAGGAAAGATTATTTTCATGGAAAGAGCAGGTTCTGTCTGTTGTTTCAAGTTAAATTCAATTGATGGAAATATTATAAAGTGCTTTTTGAGCGGCAGTACTCAAACTGTACAATTTCCTCCCAAAGAAGCAAGGGCCAACTCCATCTTTGGAGGTTTTAGGTAATAAAAAACATTCCTGCTTTAAATGTGTTTGAAACCTTTATTTTACTCCTTTTTGCTTTTTAGAAGGACAGTTTCCATTTCATTTCTAATTTCTTAGGGTCAGAAAGTGATTGAAAAGACCCCCCAATTGATAAAATACAACTGAGTGTAGCCTTGGATGTAGTTCCACTTCTCATTTCAGTTTAATTGCAAAATTATCTAACTGCATTAAAATGAGTTGGATGCCCATGCACTGATGATCACTGATGTTCTTTTAAATAGGCATCTGCTGTTTTCTGTTAATTGTTATGTTTCCGTTGTTTTCAAATATGTTAAGAAGCTTTGTCTCAAAAATTCCTTAAACAAGCATTCTTTAAGTAAATGACAGGATGCGTGCATTAAGTAGGCTACGGTACTGGATAGTTTGTTTCTGTAGGAACTGAGCTTTGGATCTTTGCTATCAAATTCAGTAAATGGTTTCCGGTTGTCAACTGTCCAGTTGGCATTTCCAGAAAAAGAAACTCCTGGGATATGATTTTACCAAGAGTATAATACTTTACTGAAAATTTACATTGGCAGAGAAGAAGTGAAACCAGCTCTGGTTTTCCCGCTCAAAAGCTTACTTAATGAAACAATAGTTTCCCTTGCCCCCACCCATTGGGTGTTCACATTATCCAATAGTAACACTTCTTCTTATGGGAAAAGTCCACTTCATCAGTGACCTTGGCTTTATCAGCTCCAAGTTCTCAGAGACGCCTGGTTGCCTAGCTACCATCCCTCCCACTTTTGCATCCCACAACTTTGTCAAACTATGAGCCGAAGAGAGAGAAAGTAGGTGAAAGCGAACCAATATTGACACCGGTAAATTAGGGCTATTTGAATTCTGTTGAATTTTTTGAATCAAATGGCAGGATTCATAAGAAGTTCTGCCGTGCCTTAACCGAGACCCAAACAAATACTTGAACAAGGCATGTTTTATTTAGATCGGTGAGCGGGGCGCAAACTTGAGTGGGGGGCAGCGCCAACGCATCAGCCTTGCCCGTGCGCTGTACAGCGACAAGAGCATTTTCATCCTGGATGACCCGTTGAGTGCCTTGGATGCCCACGTTGGAAACCACATCTTCAACAGTGCAATCCGGAAGCACCTGAGGACCAAAACAGTTGTGTTCATCACACACCAGCTCCAGGTAGGCTGACCGTGTCCTCTTGCTCTGTTCTGCTCGGGAGTTTCTTGGCTGAATAAATGTGGGCAACTGTAACTTTCTGCTGTCCAGAGGAGCTCTTTAATTTAATCAACCTAATTGGGAAATAAAAATACAGAGGATTTTAGCCTAAGTGTATTTGAGAGTCAAAAACAGCCAAAAGTGAGAAGGAAAAGCAAGCCATTTGTTTACTGATCTGCAAAAGGGTATACTCTGCATGTATAGTGCACGCAGGTGGTCCTCAACTTATAGACATTTGTTTAGGCATCGTTTGAAGTTACAGCGGCACTGGAAAAAAAAATGACTTAGGACCGTTTTTCACACTTAACGGCTGTTGCAGCATTTCCATGGTCACGTGATTAAAATTTGGCAACTGGCATGTATTTATGGCAGTTGCACTGTCCCAGGGTCACGTGATCACCATTGATAACCTTCCCAGCCAGCTTCTGACAAGCACATTCAGTGGGGGAAGCTAGATTCACTTGATTACCAATGATTCGGTTAACAACTGCAGTGATTCACTTAACAACCGTGGCAAAAAAGGTCGTAAAAGGGGGCAAAACTCACTTAACCATTGTCTTGCTTAGCAGTGGAAATGTTGGGTTCAGTTGTGGTTGTAAGTTGAGGACTACCTGTATGGACTGTTTATATCCAAATTATGATGGGGTGGAAAGATTTTTTTTTCTCATGTGCTTCCACGTTTAGGAAAATCTAGTAGCTTATTTAGGTCCCAGGGACCGGTTCCGTGGAGAGAGGTTTTTCCACGAACCAGAGAGTGAGTGTTTTTGTGTGCTGCCTGCATCCCACGGATGCGGCTTTGCTTGTTTGTGTGGACCGGTTGCTGGCATGCCACGGCCCAGTACCGGTCCACAGGCTGGGGGTTGGGGACCCCTGATTTAATGAATCTGTGATGCTCTGCTAAAGAGACTCAAGCTAAAGCCGGCTCAAGATGAATGGATACAAATATTGCTTCTGCACATAATCAGAGATGTTACTGATCTTGTCTGCCTTGCAGGGTTGTGACAGTGACTAATATAAGAAAAATGAAAATGGGTGGGATTTAGGGAGGAGGAACTAGTTCATGAGACTTGCATGGTGAATGGCTGGCCGCACCGAATGAACGAACAAATAGAAATATAGAAAACTGACAGCAGAAAAAGACCTCATGGTCCCTGGAGTTTGGCTTTTGAGGAGTTCTTTGTTGTTGTTTTTCACATCTGGGACTGTTGCAGTATCCCCCCGGTCACGTGATCAAAACTGGCCAGAGGGTTGGCAACTGGCATGTGTTTGTGTTAGTTGCACTGTCCCGGCGTTAGGTGGTCACCATTTGTAACCTTCCCACCAGGATTCATGTTTTAATTATTGGTTTTTTTAATTTTTTTTAAATTTTAGTGGCATGATTGGTCCCCCTCACCATGAATGTTCTTCTTCTTTTTATCAGTATCTTGTGGATTGCGACGAAGTGATTTTCGTGAAGGAAGGCTGCATCACTGAGAGAGGAAGCCATGAAGACTTGATGAATCTGAACGGCGACTATGCAGCCATTTTCAATAGCTTGCAGCTGGGAGAAACACCACATATTGAGGTATTTTTTTTTCTGTGCTACGGTTCTTGCCCTAAACAGCAATAAAGTCATAGGTAAATTACCCTAAAGCCCAATAACTTATTATTTATTACAAGCCATTCACATAATAGCAAAATTATTGTCTTGTTGTTAGTTGCGAAGTCGTGTCCGACCCATCGCAACCCCATGGACAACGTTCCTCCAGGCCTTGCTGTCCTCTACCATCTTCTGGAGTCCATTTAAGCTCACGCCTGCTGCTTCAGGGACTCCATCCAGCCACCTCATTCTCTGTCGTCTCCTTCTTCTCCTGCCCTCCATCTTTCCCAGCATTAGGCTCTTCTCCAATTAGTCCTTCCTTCTCATTAGGTGGCCAAAGTACTTGAGTTTCAACTTCAGGATCTGGCCTTCTAAAGAGCAGTCGGGGTTGATCTCCTCTAGGACTGACTGGTTTGAACGCCTTGCAATCCAAGACTCGCAGGAGTCTTCTCCAGCACCATAGTTCAAAGGCCTCACTTCTTTGGTGCTCAGCCTCTCTTATGGTCCAACTTTCACAGCCATACATTGCAACTGGGAAAACCATGGCCTTGACTATACGCACTTTTGTTGGCAGGGTGATGTCTCTGCTTTTTAGTATGCTGTCTAGATTTGCCATAGCTTTCCTCCCCAGGAGCATCTTTTAATTTCTTAACAGTAGTAACAGTAGAAAAACCAAAGAAATCTTGATGACGATTCTCAAGTCATCCAAGTAGAATTGTCTGAAAGTCGAGTTGGTTGAGATGTTTCACTGGCCATCCAAAAAGAAACCGCTTGGGTGGGCAGCAAAATGTCCAAAACCAAGTAGAAAATAAGTCCATTTGTCATGACTCAACTTTTACATAATTCTACCTCGATGACTAAGAATCTTCACTTCTCCAGCACCATAGTTCAAAGGCCTCACTTCTTTGGCGCTCAGCCTCTCTTATGGTCCAACTTTCACAGCCATACGTTGCAACTGGGAAAACCATGGCCTTGACTATACGCGCTTTTGTTGGCAGGGTTATTGGGTAGGCTTGTAATATCTTTTCTAGACCAAGATGGAGACTGGGTAAACCTCTCACTTCCGTAAATTGCCAGCCAGGTTGGTGATAACTGATTATCTTCCTTTTAGCCCTCCGCTTAAAAGGTTCTAGCTGTCATACACCCAAAAGAACAAATGTACAATAAACAATTATTCAAATGAAAATATGGTCCATGTTTTTTCACTCAGTGGCTGGCAGAAAGAGAGGGAAATTTCTATCGAAGTCAGTCTTTAAGAGGGTAGTCAGAATAACAGAATAACAGAGTAGGAAAGACCTGGGAGATCTCCAACCTTTTCGGCTTTGCGGACCAGCAGGGGGGTGGGGATGGTTCCGCGCGAGTGGCGGACAAACACCGCATGCCCAGCTCCATTTGCACAAGCGGTGGGCACACAAACCCGCCGCTCACACAAATGGAGCACGCGCACGCGCACGCACTCACCCGCTGTTCATGTAAGTGGGAATGTGCCCACCGCTTCTGCAGCCCGGTTGTAAAGGTGGGCTGCGGCCTGGAGATTGGGACCTCTGTTCTAGTTCAACCCACTGCTCATGCAGGAAACTCTGTATAATTTCAGACAAGTGGTTGTCTAATCCCACTGTGTTTCCCCCAAAATAAGACCAGGTCTTATATTAATTTTTGCTCCAAAAGACACGAGAGGGCTTATTTTCCAGTTGGGTCTTATATTCGGGGAATATACGGTACTAAATATGTCTATCTGGCTGACGATTTTAACGGGGGCTTCTTTTTGGGATGGGGCTTATCTTACGAGCCTCCTGAAAAAAATCATGCTATTTCCCAGTTGGCTCTTATTTTCGGGAAAACACAGTAGCATACGGGTTCTAGTATATTACAGGGCATCCATTTATGGAGGCTTTAACTAGGCCCTTTCCCTTCTCCTGGGGCATGTGCTTATCATGTTTTCCTTGCAAAGTTGAGGCAGGCTGAATCTGAGTTACCTCCTCTCTCTGTTGCAGGTCAACTTAAAGAAGACCGCAAACAGTTCGTTGAAAAGGCTTCCGGAGAAAGGCACCAAAACGGGATCTGTGAAGAAAGAGAAAGTCGTCAAGAAGGAAGAAGGTACAGGTTGTTATCCAAAAAAACACACGTTTCACTTCTACCCACCTTGTTGTGCGCGCAAGTATTCTGTTAACAATTCAGTAGGTTCCGGATTATCTTGGTGGAACTGAGCTCAGACTGGATCTTGCCTTCTTTCTTTTACCCACAAAGACTAGTGCTAATTTTTGAAGCAACATGCTTCCTCGGTCTTCAAAATGAGCACAGTAATCTAAGCAAGAGTTTAGAATAGTTTTAAGTCGTGTGTAGGAAAATTTAACCGGGGTTTAATTCTAGCCTATTTACAGATTTTGGTTGGCTACATTTTTTTTATTATTTTTTTTTTGCAATTTTACAATAAAATCCCTCTCCCACTACCTCCCTACCCTCCCAGAGACCCTCCCCCCATCTTCCCAGAGCTGAATACAGGGTTAACTAAAACTAAAAAATACAAAACATTTAAACTTAAATAAACCTCAAACAAATATTACATTAAAAAATTTTTTTTAAGTACTTTAAGTACAATATATATATATAGTAAAGAATACTTATTGTCTTAAACTTTAAACATAAATTATTCAAAAGCTAAATAATATCTTTTAATATCATACTTATACTGTATAAAGTTTATCCATCTTTTCTACACCAAGAGATGTTTCTCTTGCGATTGATCTTTCAAATAAGCCGAAATTTTTGCCATTTCAGATAAGTAAGAAACTTTAAAAAACCATTCCTCCAAAGTAGGCAAAAATTCCTTCTTCCAATATTGTCCTATCAACAACCTTGCCGCTGTGATTAAATTTAACATTAAAATAATTTCTTTATCGTCACAATCAACAATAATACCTAACAAAAACAATTGTGGAGTGAATTTTATCCTTCTATTAAAAATTTTTTGAATATTCCAACGGTTGGCTACATTTTGAATGCTATCTGTGTGTATAAAACATTTTCAAGGAACATTGTACAGGTAGCTCTCAAGTTACGAGTGTAACGGAGCCTGCACATTCCACTCGTAACTCCAAAACTCGTAGAGAGAATCTCGTGCCTCGAACGAGATCGCTCCCTTGCTCGTTAAAACGCTCGTGGCTCAAGTGCACACGAGGTATCTGAAGGTGGGGAAGGCCATGGGGGGGGCCTAGTGATGAAACAGACCCCCAAGGCCTCCCCGACCAAAATACCTCATGCTTCCCCCTCCCTTCTTGTCGCACTGGACTCACCTTGAAAAGATCCGTCTCTTCTCTGCCGCGGTTCCTGCTTTTAAGGGACAGGAGAGTCGATGGAAGCCCCTGGGTGCCGTAATATCGCGCGAGTTCAGGCACTGATCCTCTTTCGCAGAGAATGGGAGCCTGAATTCTCGCGCTCTTTGCGGTGCCTGCCTCCTGCTTCCCCCCAACTCCGGAGCCACGTGGCCGCTGCCCCCAGAACGGAGATTTGGGGAGGGAGGCTTCTGCATGCCTCCGAGGGTTGGATCCAGGCCTCGGAAGGATCTTACAAGCCATTTGCGCCAGGAACGGAGGCCGGGCGGGGGAGGCTTCTGAATGCCTCTGGAGGTTGGATCCAACCCTCGGAGGTCTGCTCCAAGCTGTTTGCACCCAGAAAGGAGCTTCCAGAGATTGGATCCAAGCCTCGGAGACACGCAGAAGCCTCCACATGATCACAATTCTGGTGCCTGGCAACCCGCATTGTACTTAACGACGGTTGCATTGTCCCGGGGTCATCAAATCACCGTTGGCGACCTTCCCAGCTGACTTTCAACAAGCAGAATCGATGGGAGAGGCCAGCTGTGCGTAAGGACCACACGGTTCCGCTAACAGCTGCAGTGACTGCTTAAACAACTGTGGCAAAAAGGGTCGTAAAATGGAACGCTTGGCAACTGCCTTGCTTAAAAGTGGAAATCTTGAGTTCACTTCTGGAGGCCAGTTGTGGACCGCCTGTAATCTCGTGTAGATTGGATTTGTTGAATTCTCTCTGCTTAACCTTCTCCTCTGCCCATCCTCCCCCCCTGTGCTTTAGTTCAGCTCATGCAGCTGGAAGAGAAAAACAAAGGTTCTGTCCCCTGGTCTGTTTATTGGGTCTACATCCAAGCAGCCGGAGGCCCCATGGCTTTCCTGACCATCACGGCGCTCTTCGTATTGAATGTGGGCAGCACGGCCTTCAGCAACTGGTGGCTGAGCTACTGGATCAAACAAGGCAGCGGGGTAGGAACAACCAGCATCTTTGCATTTATTTATTTCTTTGATTCCTATAGCCGCCCACCTTGATCCATGACTCTGGGCGGCTTACAATTCAAAACTTAGACAGTGGGGCCTCGGTACTCGGCTGTTTCAACACTCGTCGAATCTGGTACTTGACGCATTTTGATGCAAAAATGTTGTCCCGCTACTCATCGTTTGTCTGGTACTTGACGCCCTGCAAAAGGAAGTGGGGGGGGGACAGCCACAGAGGGCGGACAGGAAGTAAGCTATGCTGGGAAGGTCACTGACATAGGAAAAGGGACAGATAGGAAATTCTTCCCAGCCGAAACAAAGGTTCACATAGTAACTCACATGGTTTGTTTGGTACTCGTCCTTTTTAGTACTCTTTGCGCCTTCCAGAACCAATTAAAGACTCGTACGGAGGTACCACTATATACTATTAAAAAAAAAAAAATTAAAGCAACATTTTAAGCCAATCAAAACAGTAAAAAACATTTAAAGGCAGTAGAGAACCTTAAAACACCTAATTCGAAGTACACACTGGCCCGTTAACAATACAGTCAGGAGGAAGGGCCCTTGGCACATGTGGCTCCCCAGGCTTGGGAGCATAGTAGCCCTGTTCTTGGAGCTTTACAAAAGGCCTACAGGGTTGGGACCGTTCTAATCTCTGAAGGGAGGATGTTTCATAGAGCAGAGGCCGCTGCAGAAAAAGAATTGCCCTTCGTTTAGGGCAGCAGTGGGGAACCTTCGCTCTTTTATGACTTGTGGACTTCAACTCCCAGAATTCCTGAGCCAGCGTGGGGGAACTATGGCCCCTTCATGACTCGTGGACTTCAACTCCCAGAATTCCAGAGCCAGCATGGCTCAGCTTGGAAACCTCTCCCTTTCCCCTCAGCATGGCTGGCTCAGGAATTCTGGGAGTTGAAGTCCACGAGTCATAAAAGAGCCAAGGTTCCCCACCCCTGGTTTAAGGGAAGTTCCAAGATCATTGTTCTGTTTGTAAACAAGGAAGCAAATAATATGTCGTGTGTGTGAATTGTTATTGAACAAACAGTGCAACGGCAACAGTGTGCTCAAGCTAGTATTCTGGTTCTAGCGATTCTCGGATTCTGGAGCTAGTAATCAGTGGAATGGCTTGCCACAAGAAGTGGTGGGTGCTCCAACACTGGAGGTTTTTAAGAAGAGACTGGACAACCATTTATCTGAAAGGGTACAAGTAGTGCTCGACTTACAATAGTTCTTTTAGTGACAGTTTGATGAGTGTTGAAGTCCACAAGTCTTAAAAGTTGCCAAGTTTGGAGACCCCTGGGCAAAATCACGGACAAGATATCATGTGTAGATTTCTTAGCTGCATTTATGAGATGGGCCAACATGTGTCTTATTTCTGTCTTATTCATGAAACTCGTTCTTTTCTATTTTTTTTTTAAACAAACCTAGAACACGACTGTGACGTTGGGGAATGAAACCATGGTGAGCAACAGTATGAAGGATAACCCTCACATGCGTTACTATGCCGGCATTTATGCACTCTCCATGGGAGTCATGCTGATTCTGAAGGCTGTTCGTGGTGTTGTCTTTGTCAAGGTTGGTATTTGTGTAAGGAAGAGAGAACAACACAGTTCTAGGTCGCGTTAACGGAGATAGAATCAAGATCACATGAAACGTTTGTAGCACTTTATATAAGGCCTTAGTACAGTGGTTCTCAACCTGTGGGTCAGGACCCCATTTGGGGGCGAACGACCATTTCACGGGGGTCGCCAAACAATGCAGTCCACCATTTTTCCCCCCTTTTCCTTAGCTGTGCTACTCCTTTTTATTCTATTGGCTTTTGAAAGCCAATAGAATAGACTCTCTTGAATAGAGGCTAATTCTATTGGCTTTCAAAAGCCAATAGGAATTGTCCAGGCTGTCTCTGCCCTGCTGAGCCCGCCAAAAGTCCCATTCTGCAAACGGTGCTGCACCAGTTGAGTAGTCCTCGACTTACGACCGGTTGAGTAGTCCTCGACTTACGACCGGTTGGGGGTCACGGCATTAAAAAGGTTGAGAACCACTGCCTTAGTAAGACCACACTTGGGATATTGCATGCAGTTTTGGTCACCACGATGTAAAAAAAGATATTAAGACTTCAGATAAAATGCAGAGAAAAGCAAGAGATGATAAGGGAACTGGAGGATAAAACACGAACAGTTGCAGGAATTGGGTGTGTCTAGTCTAGTGAAAAGAAGGACCAGGGGTAACATGATAGCAGTCTTCCAATATCTCAGGGGCTGCCCCAAAGAAGAGGGAGTCAAGCTCTTCTCCAAAGCGCCTGAAGGCAGGACAAGAAGCAACGGGTGGAAACTGAGCAAGGAGAGAAGCAACCTAGAACTAAGGAGAAACTTCCTGACAGTTAGAACAATTAATCAGTGGAACAATCTGCCTCCAGAAGTTGTGGGTGCTCCAACACTGGAGGTTTTTAAGAAGAGATTGGACAACCATTTGTCTGAAACGGTATAGGGTTTCCTGCTTGAGCAGGGGGCTGGACTAGAAGACCTCCAAGGTCCCTTCCAACTCTGTTATTCTGTCAGCAAAATAATTCTTTCTTTTTCTCATTCTGCTATTCCAGACAGTAGATTCTTTCCACGAAAGGAGCTGCCTTCATTTCCCGATTTCTCCTTCTATAGCTTGATGTCATCTCATAAATATGGCAGAAGGCAATTGTAGTGTAATGTAGTGTAGTGTAGTGCCCTTCCCCTGCAAGCCCCTTCAGGTCATTTGTGAATTTTCTTTGAAAACTCCGGTGTGCCTGGTTCCAACAGTCCTCTTCTATTGTTGTGGAAAAAACCACGATACTTACATCAGAAGACAAGACCACGAAGGGTTGGAGAAAACAGGCTTTATTTGTGCACAATGGTTCAGAGCATTCACATGACAAATTCTGAACCCTGAGTTACTCTGAGGGTGTCACTTTTATACAGCTTGCCGCCCACGCTTAACCTAATAGATGACTTCTTATCTACCTTTAACACACTAAAAGAGAGAAGTTCATATCTTGAGACAACACACATAGGAAAAAGGAGAAGTTCACACAAACGGTTGTCTTACCACACCTCTCTACACGGGTGCTATCTTACAACATCTGTGACTTGCAGTTGATACTGACACTTCTTGTAAAATGGTTTCTACACAGCATGAACACATCTCTACAATTATGACACACAGGTTATATGATTTAGGTTACATTTCACAGCCAAGCTTAATATTATCTATTAACTATTGTCAGCAACAAGCATTCCTATTAAGATATAGATATATTGAACTTTTTCCTGCCCACCTCACTATGATCACTACAGGGGACATTGCGGGCGTCCTCCAGGCTGCACGACGAACTCTTCCGACGGATCCTCCGTAGCCCAATGAAGTTTTTCGACACCACACCTGCGGGGCGGATTCTCAATCGGTTCTCCAAAGATATGGATGAAGGTAATAAACTAGTAACCTGTTGGTGCTAATACAGGTGGCCTTTGACTGAGAACCATTCATTTAATGACTTCAAAAATACAACAGCACTGAAAAAAGTGACTTGTGACACGATTTTTTAAACCTGTGGCCCCGTTTTCGCACTTACGACCGTTGCAGCATTCCCTACAGTCACGTGATCAAACAGGAAAGCTGTCTTTGGAACGGTGCCAGTTTGTTGGGGATAAAAACCGGAAGAGGGTGTGCTACGTATTTTGTTTTGAATTTCTAGGACAGTGGTTCTCAACCTGTGGGTCGGGACCCCATTTGGGGCCGAACGACCACTTCACGGGGGTCGCCAAACAACGCAGTCCGCCATTTTTTTCCCTCTTTTCCTTAGCTGTGCTACTCCCTTTTATTCTATTGGCTTTTGAAAGCCAATAGAATAGACTCTCTTGAATACAGTCTAATTCTATCGGCTTTCAAAAGCCAATAGGAATTGTCCAGGCTGTCTCTGCCCTGCTGAGCCCGCCAAACGTCCCATTCTGCAAACGGTGCTGCATCAGTTGAATAGTCCTGGACTTACGACCGGTTGAGTAGTCCTCGACTTACGACCGGTTGGGGGTCGCGGCATTAAAAAGGTTGAGAACCACTGTTCTAGCAGAAGCGCAAGTTATAAATCTAAGACATAACGTGGTGAATGAGGTAGACCCATTTGGTCAACTCACTGCTGACTTTTTACTAAAGGAAGGCTAACGTGCAGTTGCATATTGCGCTTAGTGAAAGCCCTTAAAGGTGTTCACCATTTGGGGCAAGACTTCCCGAAATAATGAAATCCAGTAGCTGTTGGCACTTTGGGAAGGGAATCTGGCTCTTGAAGACTTCTGAATAGACAAATTGATGAAAGCAGAGTAGGAGGGCCCTCAGGTTGACTCAGCCTTCCATCCTTCCGGGGTAGGTAAAATGAGGACCCAGATTGTTGGGGGCAATGTAAATATATATATATACATTGCTTACTGGTGTACACCGCTTAGAAAGTGCTTGCACTTAAAGCGGTATATAAGTCTCATAAATAAATAAATACCTGGACTGGCCTTTCCTGAATCTCTCCTGGCCTGGACAAAAGAGGCTATAACAAGGTGTTGTCCCCCCCCCCACCAGCCGTGTTGTGTATATGTATAGGATATTATGGTTATATTTTTATCCCGCTTTCATATAAATAACTAAAGATGGGAAACATACCTCATGCTCCTTTTTCCCCACAACAACAACCCTGTGGTGTGGATTGAGCTGAGAGAGAGTGACTGGCCCAAAGTCAATCAGCCGGCTATCATGGCTAAGGCGGGGCTAGAACTCACGGTCTCCTGGTGATTGGCCCAAAGCCAACCAGCCGGCTTTCATGGCTAAGGCAGAACTAGAACTCACTGTCTCCAGGTGATTGGTCCACAGTCACCCACCTGGCTCTCATGCTTAAGGCGGGACTAGAACTCACGGTCTCCTGGTGATTGGCCCAAAGCCAACCAGCCGGCTTTCATGTCTAAGGCAGAACTAGAACTCACCATCTCCAGGTGATTGGTCCACAGTCACCCAGCTGGCTCTCATGCCTAAGGCAGGACTAGAACTCACAGTCTCCTGGTGATTGGCCCAAAGTCAACCAGCCGGCTTTCATGTCTAAGGCGGAACTAGAACTCAAGGTCTCCTGGTGATTGGCCAACAGTTATCCAACTAGCTTTCAGGCCTAAGGGTGGGGGACTAGAACTCAAGCTGTCCTGATGATTGCCCCAAAGTCACCCAGTTGACTTTCACGCCTAGGGGAGGCCTAGAATTCAGACTCCTCTGGTTCCTAGGCCAGCACCCTCACTATTATGCCTAACTCGGTTGTCGATAGTGTTCACCCTGGTGAGAATTTAAGCCTATGCTAATCGGCTGGGTCTGTCCGTCTCTTCCAGTTGATGTCCGCCTGCCTTTTCAAGCTGAAATGTTCATACAGAATGTCATCCTGGTGTTCTTCTGCGTGGGAGTGATCTCTGGCGTCTTTCCATGGTTCCTAATGGCAGTGGGTCCCCTCGTGGTTCTTTTCACCATTCTTCATGTTGTGTCTAGGTAAGAGCAGCAATTGTTATGGGTCATTTAAGACGTTGTTCACCTAATGAGAAGGAAGGACTCACTGGAGAAGAGGGCACTAGAAAAATGGGATGACAGAGAACGAAGTGGCTGGATGGAGTCCCTGAAGCAGTACGTGTGAGCTTAAATGGACTCCAGAAGATGCTAGAGGACAGGAAGGCCTGGAGGAACGTTGTCCATGGGGTCGCGATGCATCGGACACAACTTTGCAACTAACAATAACAAAGACATTGTTAACCTTGAGAGTCTTCCATAACTTTGTGTTACTTCATTGGTTGCCAGCTGCTTCCAAACCCAATTCGGGCTAAAGCAGGGGCCTTCAAACTTGGCTCTTTTATAACTTGTGGACTTCAACTCCCAGAATTCCTCAGTTAGGCATCCTGGCTGAGGAATTCTGCGAGTTGAAGTCCGCAAGTCATAATAGGGCCAAGTTTGAAGACCCCTGGGCTAAAGCATCCAATGACTGGTTGTTCTCATATTTTTGTTAGACCTTTACTTCCAGTTGGTTGTGGGGTTTTTTTGTACGCAGAGTGTTCATTCGGGAGTTGAAACGACTGGACAACATTTCGCAGTCTCCATTTATTTCTCACATCACTTCAAGCATTCAAGGTCTCTCCACCATCCACGCCTACAATAAAGGAGAGGAATTCCTATACAAGTGAGTCCGTTTCTTTTCTGACGTTCAGTCTTAGTTGGTACAAAACAGACAAGCCAGGATTTTTTTTTTAAAAAAAAGTTGGGTTTATTGCACAAGCCATAGTGGCTTAATTCACTCCGAATGCCAGTTCATGTAGAAATAGTGATAATATTTCAGATGAATTGGTTCACAAGCTGCTCCCTTAATTTGCTAGCAGTCACGTGCATCGTGTTTTGTGAAACCTCTCCAATTCTGGTTAAAAATGAGATACGGGTGGTCCTTGATTTATGACCGCAATTGAGTCCAAAACTTCCATTCCTAACAAGACTGTTCTTAAGTTGGTCCCATTTTACAACCTTTCATGTCACAATTGTTAAGTAAATCACTCCAGTTGTTAAGTTAGTGACAGTTGTTAAGTGACTCTGGCTTCCTCCATTGACTTTCCTTGTCAGAAATCAAATGATGGGATTTACCAGAGGGAATATTTAAAAATTAAACATCGGTTTGAATATGGTTAAAGAAATAGAAAGGCTTTGGATATAAATGAAGATTAGTTTAAGAGGGATGAACCCCTCAAGTAACATAGTATTTTCTTTCTTTCTTTCTTTCTTTCTTTCTTTCTTTCTTTCTTTCTTTCTTTCTTTCTTTCTTTCTTTCTTTTTCTTTCTTTTTCTTTCTTTCTTTCTTTTGTGTTTTTTTTGACATAAGAAATATAAAAATGTTGGGACGGTTTATATATAGAAAAGAAATGTTTTCTCTGTTTTCTTTTTTTTTTAAGATATGAGAAATGTAAAAAATGTTCAGATGGCTTGTATGAGAAAAAAGACTTAAATACTTAAGTGTAATCAGAATGTGTAGTCAGAATGTTTTGAATATTGTGAGGAAAACAAGTTTAAATAAGAATTTTGTAAACAGGATCTGTGACGAAGCAATCGAGATGATCAATTAGAAAAGAAGCTTTATATTGATGTGGTTATTGTTTGCAGAAAGATGAGAAAAATATCTATATTTAATTGTCATTTATTTAAATAATAAGAACTGTATTAAGGTTGGCAAAAGAGAATATTATTGGAAGAAGAGAAAGTCAAGCAAAAGGGGAATCACGTGAACCCCCCCCCCCGGGGGGACACGGCAACCGTCCTAAATACATGGCCGTCGCTAAGCATCCAAATTTTGATCACCCGATCTTAGGGAAGGCTGCAACAATCATTAAGTGTGAAAAATGGTCACTTTTTTTGGTATCGTTGTAGTTTTAGACAGTCACTAAATGAACATGTCATGGTTCTGATAGATGAGACCAGTAGAAATAAGAACTCTGAGGCAATTGCTTTCCTCAAAGAACAATTTTAATGGCTACATAATATCAGCAGGAACATAGGTGAAACCAAAACTAGAAGTCCCCCCCCCCAAAGGTTACAAAGTAAAAGTTAAACTCCCCACCCGCTAAATATGTAATAAATCACATTCTCCAATTAACACCTTTGGCGGCTCTATTTGACCTTGGTTCCCACAGGAAAGTTATTGTTTTGTCTGAAACAGAAGCATGCATTTTCCCTCCACCCAAAGCTGCGGCAAGCCGATAAACGAAGAAAGATGGTTGTGTGACCAAAAGTAGTTTTGTAGGTTTGACAGAACGCCTGTACCTGCATTTTAATTGTAAATATTTTCTGCTTCTAGATATCAGCAACTGCTGGATGATAATCAGGCGCCTTTCTTCTTGTTCAGCTGTGCGATGCGCTGGCTGGCTGTGAGATTGGATATTGTCAGCATCGCCCTCATTATAACCACTGGCTTAATGATCATCTTAATGCACGGCCAAATCCCGCCCGCGTACGCTGGGCTCGCCATCTCCTATGCGGTTCAGGTGAATGCTCCTCTTGTATGTCAAAACAAAGTTGCGTTTTGGAACTCCACAGTGTAAGCTGGGCCCAGTCACAAGGGCGTTGTTGATTTGATTTTATATCACAGTAGTCCTTGACTTACGACTGTTTGCTGGGCCACTGGTCAAAGTTAGGATGGACTTACCTAGGGGGTACTTATGCCCTGGATTCCAAGTTCTGATCGTCAGAGCCCCCCCCAAACACACACCGGCGTGCATAGGACTGCAATGGGCACTTGGCAAGCAGGCTGCATTTACAACCGTTTGCCGTATCTTGTGATTGCGTGACCCACGTTTTACAGCTGTTTGGCTGAAAACTGGCATCTGCTTCCGGTTTTCAGAAAGAACAACCCATAGCAAATTATGGGTTCCCTTAATGACCGCCACAAGAAAAGGTCGTAAAATCTGTAACAACTCTCACAATTTAACGACCGTAATGAGCAGGCTTCATTACGGTCATAACGTGAGGACTACCTAAAACAGTGGTTCTCAACCTGTGGGTCGGGACCCCATTTGGGGTCGAACGACTATTTCACGGGGGTCGCCAAACAACGCAATCCACCATTTTTTTCCCCTTTTCCTTAGCTGTGCTACTCCCTTTTATTCTATTGGCTTTTGAAAGCCAATAGAATAGACTCTCTTGAATAGAGTCTAATTCTATTGGCTTTCAAAAGCCAATAGGAATTGTCCAGGCTGTCTCTGCCCTACTGAGCCCGCCAAAAGTCCCATTCTGCAAACGGTGCTGCACCAGTTAAGTAGTCCTCGACTTACGACTGGTTGAGTAGTCCTCGACTTACGACCGGTTGGGCGTCGCGGCATTAAAAAGGTTGAGAACCACTGACCTAAAGAGACTAACAAGTGGCACCTGTCTGCTTGCTCCTCTGTCCATCAAAAATCCTACGACACTGAAAATAGGTAGTGGGGACACTGTGGAATATTTATGAACATCCTCTGTTAAAATGGCTTGTTTGGAAGAAAAAGTTCCTGTGGGTTAAAAAAATAAAAAACCTCGGAGCTGAGAAAAGGCAGGGATGAGGTGTGGCTGAAGTAGGCAGTAAGGTGAATAAAATTAACTATAGTTTTTGTTCGTGCTGGCTCTTCTCCACGGAGGCAGCCTTGAACGGAACTTGACCACTAAAAAGGAATGGAAAGCCTTGAATTTTATGACACTGCTTTCCTTCTTATTGCGGCGTGGTTCATGATAAAGCCTCACTTCACCACACTCATCCGATGGGATTAAGTTGTTCCATAGAGAATCACTCTCGAGGTTTTCACGGCTAATAAGTTGGTTCATGTATCCTCGTGCTGCAAGTAACAGCGATTCGTTTCCTTCTCAGTTAACGGGACTGTTCCAGTTTACCGTCAGGTTGGCTTCGGAGACGGAGGCCCGCTTTACGTCTGTGGAGAGAATTGACCACTACATCAAGGTATTTAAGATTCTGTCCACTGCCCAATATCTTCCCCAGTGCCCCGCGTCGTCTAGAACAGGGCTTTTCAACCTTTTCACCCACTGTACCACTTTTAGGATATGGCAACATCCGAGTACCACCAGTCGCCTAGCAAGGTGTCAAAAACTTGATGACCGCCCGCCCCAAAAGGAAAAAAGTGATAAAGTACAGGTAGTCCTCGACTTACAACAGTTCGCTTAGTGACTGTTTGAAGTTACAACGGCACTGAAAAAAGTGCCCCCCAAGCCACAGCCGAGCAAGAGAGGCCCGGCGGCGCTCTTCCTCCTGTCCGAGGTTTTCACTGTTGTGAGCATTTCTGTTGAGGATTGGCAGTGGGGGTGGGGTGGGGGGGTGTTTGGTTTTTATTCCCCCCGTCTGCTGGGCGGTTGCAGCAGGTTTTGGTCACTTCACCTGACCCTGGGACACTGTGACCGTCATAAATATGAATCAGTTGCCAAGCATCTGAATGTAAATCACAAGACCCTGGAGATGCTGCAACATTCCAGCTGATCGATGCTTCTTCTGGGCTCAGCAGAAGTGCCAGGATCAGCACCGAGGTCCAGCTGGAGCCTGGAGCTGATCCTGGCGCTTCTGCTGAGCCCTGACAGCCTTGCAGCTCCAGCCATCTCTCGCTCAGGCTTGTGCGGTGCTGCCACCGGTTCAGCTCATTCCTTTCCCCCGCTACCACTTTTCTAGGATAGTCGCGTACCACCTGCCAGCTGCCAATGAACCACAGGTGGTACCCGTACCACTGGTTGAAAAGCCCTGCTCTAAAGCAGGGGTCCTCAACCTGGGCAACTTTAAGTCTTGTGGACTGAGGATTTCTGGGAGTTGAAGTCCACAAGTCTTAAGTTGCCAAGGTTGAGGACACCTGCTCTAGAAAGATGCTCCCTGATTTCTGCCATATATTCTTAAACCATCCAATCACAGGCCGTCTCAAAAGTGCTTTTCCAAAAGGCAACTGGACTTGCTTAATTCTTTCCTTGAAAAACATTTCGCTTCTCCAAGAAGCTTCTTCGGTTCTAACTTCTCCAGACAGTGAACGAATTCAAAGATAAAATCAAAAGGATAGCAGCGAGTGCCATCAACAAGGATAATGGTGTAAAAATCCAAAACGTTCCTGAAGTGCCTACGAGAATCGGTCTTCTGGAACCAGAAGAAACATAATCTGAAACACAAAGGCTAACCTCTCACAGATGAGACGTTGATCAACAAAACAGAGGGAAGTTGATACCTCTTGTAAGAGAAAGATAGTTTGGGCTATTATGTGTGAGGTTCACTCTGCTGAAAAAAGCAGAACAGATGCTTGAGGAATGATTAATATTACATTACACTGCCTTGGTAAGGCCACCCTTGGAATACTGCATCTAGTTTTGATCACCACGATGTAAAAAAGATGCTGAGACTCTAGAACAGTGGTTCTCAACCTTTTTAATGCCGCGACCCCCCAACCGGTCGTAAGTCGAGGACTACTCAAAGAGGTCGTAAGTCGAGGACTACTCAACTGGTGCAACACCGTTTGCAGAATGGGACTTTTGGCGGACTCAGCAGGGCAGAGACAGCCTGGACAATTCCTATTGGCTTTTGAAAGCCAATAGAATTAGACTCTGTTCAAGAGAGTCTATTCTATTGGCTTTCAAAAGCCAATAGAATAAAAGGGAGTAGCACAGCTAAGGAAAAGGAAAAAAATGGCGGACTGCGTTGTTTGGCGACCCCCGTGAAATGGCCGTGCGACCCCAAATGGGGTCCCGACCCACAGGTTGAGAACCACTGCTCTAGAAAGAGTACAGAGAAGAGCAACAAAAATGATTAGAGGTCTGGAGGCTAAAACATTCAAGGAACGGTTGCTGGAATTGGGTATGTCTAGTTTAATGAAGAGAAGGACCAGGGGTGACATGACAGGAGTCTTCCAGTATCTCAGGGGCTGCCACAAAGAAGAGGGAGTCAAGCTACTCTCCAAAGCCCCTGAAGGCAGGACAAGAAGCAACCGATGGAAACTAATCAAAGAGAGAAGCAACCTAGAACTAAGGAGAAACTTCCTGACAGTTAGAACAATTCACCAGTGGAACAACCTGCCTCCAGAAATGGTGAATGCTCCATCACTGAAGATTTTAAAGAAGAGACTGGACAACCATTTATCTAAAATGGTTTAGGGTTTTCTGTTGAGATTGGACTTTCCGACTTTGTTATTCTGTTAATCGTTCCTAGAATGCTGCCCGTAATTGACATCTTTTCTCTTCTCTCTCGGCGATTCCCAGACTCTTCCCCTGGAGGCCCCGGCTCGCATCAAGAATAAGGCCCCCCTTCCAGACTGGCCCCACGAAGGAGAAATCCGCTTTGAAAATGCCGAAATGCGTTATCGTGAGAACCTGCCGCTTGTCCTCAAAAAAGTCTGCTTCACCATTAAACCCAAGGAGAAGATTGGAATTGTGGGGAGAACCGGCTCAGGTAAGGCTGGGGTGCTGCTCTAGCTGCTCCTGTCTAGATTTTTTTTTTTTTTTAAAAAAAAGCTCACTGGAGCCACCTTGTGGGGATTAGAAGTAGTAAAAAAACCCAACTATTTCTGAAGAGGGGGAAAAAAAATTCGCACCTGTATTTCCTGTGCTAAAATAGGTTTTATGAAGATAAAACATCGGATGTTTTTGCATTGACAACAGAGGGAAATGTAGCCATCTTTTACCTTTTGCTTTTAGAGCAGTGTTTCTCAACCTTGACAATTTTAAGGCATGTGGACTTCAATTCCCAGAATTCCACAGCCAGCAATGCTGGCTGTGGAATTCAGGGAGTTGAAGTCCACATGCCTTAAAATTGTCAAGGTTGAGAAACACTGTTTTAGAGTTAGATGATGCTGGGAGGGGGGAGGTGAACGAGAGTCCAGCTAGACATAACAACACTAGAGCTAACCTGAGAATCAAGGTTATTGTAACCAGAGCTGATAAGGAATTGGTGGCTGGAGAACGGGAAAGGAAGCCCCTGCTTCAAGCTAATTGGGGAATGTGATTTATGACTGTTAACTGGAGGAGGGAAATGAGCTTTGATACTATGTGCCCAGGGGAGGGGAATTCAGTTTTTGGCTTCCTGCTGTTCAAAATAAAGATTCTTTAAGGTAAACAATCCCTCTGAAGTTCTTTGAAGAGTTTCATCTGTCGGAACCATGACAGGATGACTAATTCACAGTAACTAGGGTGCATGTCTGCTCAGCCAATGCACAAGTGTTACTTAAGATTTCTCATTGAAGTATCTCCTAAAAACATCAATGAGAGTCTAGATCAGTGGCGGCGAACCTATGGCACGCGTGCCAGAGGCGGCACTCAGAGCCCTCTCTGGGCACATGCGCCATGCCCCGGAGATGGCAACCATCCCTCTTCAACCAGCTGCCCGCTAACTTGCCGAGGTCCCACATAGCCAGATGCATCCCACCACCCATGCAGTCACTGGCCTCTGTGCAGCGCTGATGGTGTCAGGCAGCAGTTACCCCAGCCCCTGCCTCACCTTGCCCTGTGACAATGGCACCCCTGCCCTGCCTCGCCTCGTCCAGCAGGACGAGCCTCTTGCCCACCGCCCCATCTGTCAGAGACCCCCTGGATCTCCCCCAACCTGCCCGGCCCCCACAGACGTCGCTCCCCACGACAACATCGAGGTGATCACGCCCACCTTGGCCACACCCACCCAGTCTGCCATGACCACCACAGCCACGCCCACCCAGTGGGCCCCACCCACCTGGCCCCCGGCATTACATAAGTGGGTTTTGGGTTGCAGTTTGGGCACTCGGCCTCTAAAAGGTTCACCATCACTGGTCTAGATGTCACAGGGCATTATAATGCTGTCAGCAAATGGGCCTTCCGGGTGACTACAGGTCGTCCTGGACTTACGACTGACGTTATGGCAGACTTCCCCTTACAACCTGGTTCTGAACTCAAAACGACAGACTCGGTGGACCGCTGGGTCCTTTTTCTGCCCTCAGCTTTCTATGTTTCTGTTAACATTGGGTCAGTCACGTGGGTGACCCGGTTTACGGCCATCACGACTTAACAACCATTACGGGTGCAAGTGGAGAGCTACCTGCACCACCTTCTCTGTGCTGAGTGTGCACTTAGCGACTGTTTTCGTAGAAGTGTCATTGTAGGATAAGAAAGGAGGGTCTGGTCTTCTCTGGCCACAGAGCAATTACTTCTTCCACTATGCCAGTGTGTGTAGACTCCAGACTCCTGCATAATCATGGATCCCGGGTGTGGGTTTTTTTCTTCTTCTTCTTCTTTCTCTTTGCATTGCAGTTGTTAAGTTAGGAACCTGGTTGTCAGAAGGTCGCAAAAGGGGATCACGTGACACCCCCGGGATGCTGCGGCCGACATAAATACGAGTCCGTTGACAAGCGTCCGAATTTGGATCACGTGACCATGGGGGATGCCGCCACGGCTGCAAGTGTGAAAAAAGGGTCATAAATCACTTTTTTCACTGCCGCCGTAATTTCGAACAGTCACTAAATGAACGGGTCTTTAAGTTGAGGACTGCCTGCATTCCACTGTTCCGAATGTCAGAAAATTTCTCCTTCCTTCCAGATTGAATCTCTCTTTAACACGCTTCTGCCATTTTTTTTTTCAAGCAGCCGCTAAAGAGCTCCTGCGAGAGCAGATAGGCCAGCCTTGCACGTTCCTCAATATGGCAGCTGATGGCGATTTCCCTTGTTTTCTTTCCCCCAGGAAAATCCTCCTTAGGGATGGCTCTCTTTCGCCTGGTGGAGCTCTCGGGGGGCTGCATTAAAATTGACGGAGTGAAAATCAGCGACATCGGCTTGGCAGATCTTCGGAGCAAGCTTTCCATAATCCCCCAGGAGCCAGTCCTCTTCAGTGGCACTGTGAGGTTGGTATAACCGCAAAGCAAGTGAGAGAGAGACAGAGGGAAGGAGGGAGGGATGGAGAGGGAGAGAAAGAAAGAGAAAGAGAGAAAGAGGGAGAGAAAGAGAGGGAGAAAAGGCGGGAAGAGAGAGGAAGGGAGAGAAAGGGAGAGAAAGAAAGAGAGGGAGAGAAAAAGAGAAAGGGAGAGAAGGAGAGAGGGAGGGAGGAGAGGAAGAGAGAGAGGGAAAGGGAGAGAGGATGGGAGAGAGGGGGAGAGAAGAAGAGAGAAAGGGAGAGAGAGAGAAGGAGAAAGAAAGGGAGAGAGGGAGAGAAAGGGAGAGAAGGAGAAGGAGAGCGAGAAGATGGGGAGAGGAAAAGAGAAAGAGGGAGGAGAAAGGAAGGGAGGGAGGGAGAGAGGGAGGGAGAAGGAGAGAGAAGATGGGAGAGAGAAAAAGAGAAAGGGAGAGAAGGAGAAAGAGGAAGGGAGAGAGGGAGAGAAAGGAGGGAGAAGGAGAGAGGATGGGAGAGAAAAAGAGAAAGGGAGAGAAGGAGAAAGAGGAAGGGAGAGAGGGAGAGAAAGGAGGGAGAAGGAGAGAGGATGGGAGAGAGATGGGAGAGAAAAAGAGAAAGGGAGAGAAGGAGAAAGAGGAAGGGAGGGAGAGAAAGGAGGGAGAAGGAGAGAGGATGGGAGAGAGATGGGAGAGAAAAAGAGAAAGGGAGAGAAGGAGAAAGAGGAAGGGAGAGAGGGAGAGAAAGGAGAGGGAGAAGGAGAGAGGATGGGAGAGAAGAAAGAGGAGGAGAGAGAGGAAGGGAGAGGGAGGAGGAAAGAGGGAGAGGAAAGAGGGAGAGGAAGAAGGGATTGCCTCCGGTTAGTCATAATGAAAATGAGTTTACTGGGAAATATAATTCTGAAACTGGCTTCACAGATTGTGCTAAGCCGCAATTTGCTAGACCAAAGTGGATCCACTTTATTGCCTGGCCCTTACAGGCAGTCCTCAACTTACAAGGGTTCATTTTGTGACCATTCAAAATTCCAACGGCCCTGAAAAAAAAAAGTGACTTTAAAACGACCTTTTTTCACACAAGCCTTGCAGACTTCCCCAAGGTCACCTGATCAAAATCCAGACCCTTGGCAACTGGTTCACGTTTACAGGTTGCAGTGTCCCGGGGTCACGTGATCCCCTTTTGCAACCTTTGCCAGATTCGCTTAGCCAACGTGTGGCTAACTTAACAAAACCGCAACGTTTCACTTAAACAACTGCGGCAAAGAACGGCCATAAGATGGGGCAAAACTCAACTAGCAGCATGTCTCTCTCAACAACATAAATTTTGGGCTCCATTGTGGCCGTAAGCTCAAGGACTGTCTGGAGTTCTTGTTTACAAACGGGGGTGGCAGGGTTTATACAACAGGTATTTCTCAGCTTTTTAAGGTCTGTGTGGACTTCAATTCCCAGAATTCTCTATTCTGTGTGTGTGCTCAGTGTGCGCCATTCCAGTCGAAGTCCGTCAATAATTCAGCTAACCGTTCTGCTCCTGCTTCTCCTGCTCACTCCTTACAACAGGGGTCTTCAAACTTGGCAACTTTAAAGACTTGTGGACTTCAACTCCCAGAATGCAGGGCTGGCTGAGGAATTCTGGGAGTTGAAGTCCACAAGTCTTAAAGTTGCCAAGCTTGAAGACCATTGCCTTACAAGACGGAATTGCCCTTGAAAAAGGGCTTAAGTTTCCCGTGGATTATATCTATTTTGATGGAAACGGTTAGTGATTTGCTGTTACATTTTGGCTTCTTCAGATCCAATTTGGACCCTTTCACACAGTACAGCGAGGAGCAGATCTGGGAGACTTTGGAAAGGACTCACATGAAAGACTGCGTAAGTACAAGAACCGGGAGTTAAATTTCCTTTCTGTTCTGCTGCTCCATTGTGGCTATCACTGCACTTTTCCACAGAAAACTGCTGGGCTCTTCAGGGAACACAGATAGTCAGTCACTGTTCTATCCCAGCCTATAGCCGTCCTTGTTAAAGGCACAAGGACCAAACCCCTGTTGATAAAATAGGCTGGAGACTTTAAAACAAAACAAACCCCTTTTAATATAGGTGACAAACCTGCCAAATAGTCCAAAACACAAACAGCAAAACTCAATCCAAAGGAAGGAAATAGTCCACAGGAAACACGATGCAAACAGAAGAGTAGTCACAAGCAAGACGAATAGACCAGGATCCAAAGAAGTATTTTGCAAACGGTTGCCTTCAGCAACCAGCACTGCCCACACCTCCTCTTTTTATACAGCAGTCCCAAGGCGTTGCCTCTCAGTGCCTTCTCCTTTTACTCTGGAGTTGCCGTATTGACTGCTGATTTACTCTAGCTAATTGACGACATGTGCGAGCATCAATTAGCATGTCCATCAGGTTTGAGTCCTCCAAGTCTGACTCATTCTCCTCACACAGCTGAGCTTCATCAGGAACACGACTGGAGGGCTCAGGCTCTGCATCAAACCGTGAGTCCTGTAATTCATCAGAGCCTCCCTCTGCCCCTGATGGCCCTTCAGATGCCTCCTCCTCCACCTCCTCAGATTCCTCAGACTCAGCTGTTGGGAGCACAGACGGCACGGAATCACAACAGTCACTTAGCAACTACTTAAAGTCACTACGGAGCTGAAAAAGAGTGGCTTATATACTGGTCGTCGTACATATGACCTTCACAGCATCCCCGTGCTCATGTGATCGTGACTTGGATGTGTGGCAACAGGCAGGTTTTTTAACAATGGTTGCAGCTTCCCGGCGTCCCGTGATCTCAATTTCTCAGCTGGTTTCCGACAAACCAAATCGGTGGAAGAAGCTGGATTTGCTTAACAATCATGGCAAAAAGATTGCAAAATGGGCGCGACTCACTTAACGACTTAGCTATGGAAGTTCCAGTCCCGATTGTGGTCATCCGATGAGGACTATCTGTACCTTCCACAGGCTGGAAGAGGAGGAGAAGGGACGGAATCAAGAATCTGCAGATAGTTTATTTTTAATTTATTTACTTTTATGGATTAAATTTTTAGGCCGCCCATCTCTCCTATAAAGGGACTCTGGGCGGTTTTTGTTGTTGTTGACTCTTGTTGACTTTTCTTTCTGCAGCTTGTCCTCAGCTTACAAAAGTTCCTTTAGTGACCGTTCGATGTTACAACAGCACTGATAAAGGTGACTTATGACCGCTTTTCATGCTTAACGACCGTTGCAGCATCCCCATGGTCACATGTTCAGAATTCAGACGCTTGGCAACTGACTCATATTTATGACGATTGAAGTGTCCCCGGGGGTCCCGTGACCCCCTTTTGCGACGTTCTGACAAGCAAAGTCCACGGGGAAGCAAGATTCACTGAACAGCCGAGTTACTAGCTTAACAAGCACAGTGATTCACTCAAGAATCGTGGCGACAAAGGTCGTAAAATGGGACAACGTTCACTTAACATCTGCCTTGTTACGCAACCGAAATTTTGGGCTCAGTTGTGGTCGTTAAGTTGAGGACTACCTATATTTCCAAGTAATAAACATATCTCTTTAAAAGGCCTGGGTTAAAAATCATTGGGGCTGAAACCTTCATTATCAGGAATCACTTTCACTTCTGGTGACGTATCAGGTCAAACGTTGCGTATGTTTACACTCTAGAGCAGGGGTCTTCAAACTTGGCCCTTTTATGACTTGTGGATTTCAACTCCCAGAATCCCTCAGCCAGACATGTTGGTTGGGAAATTCCGGGAGTTGAAGTCCACAAGTCTTAACAGCCAGCAGTGAGCCAGCCGTCTGCTGCAGCTGCCAAAAAAAGCCAACACAGTGCTAAGCTGCATTAACAGAGGGAAGAACTCAAGATCACTTGAAGTGTTAATACCACTTTACATGGCCTTGTTAAGGCTATTGCATGTAGTTTTGGTGGGCACGATGTAAAAAAGATGTTGAGACTCTAAATAGAGTGCAGAGAAGAGCAACGAAGATGATTAGGGGCCTGGAGGCTAAAGCATATGAGGAACGGTGGCTGGAATCGGGTATGTCCAGTTTAATGAAGAGAAGGATGAGGGGGACATGATAGCAGTCTTCCAATATCTCAGGGGCTGCCATAAAGAAGAGGGAGTCAAGCTATTCTCCAAAGCGCCTGAAGGCAGGACAAGAAGCAACAGATGGAATCTAATCAAGGAGAGAAGCAACCTAGAACTAAGGGGAAACTTCCTGACAGTGAGAACAATTAACCAGTGGAACTACCTGCCTCCAGAAGCGGTGAATGCTCCAACAAAGTTTTTAAGAAGAGACTGGACAGCCATTTGTCTGAAATGGTATAGGATTTCCTGCCTGAACAGGGGGTTGGACTAGATGACCTCCAAGGTCCCTTCCAACTTTTATTATTATTTTTGTTGTTGTTTCTGTTGTTGTTATTTATCATCATTATTATTATGAATCATCGCACAGTCAGCCAGATGTTCAGACTGGATTTGGCATTTTGTCTACCTATCGAGTCCTTACCCAGGACCTGGGATAGGTAGATGTGGATGTTTGATGTATTACAGATATCGTCGCAGGATGGAAGCAGTTCCTAATAAGGCCACCTTTTGCAATTGACTAATAGCGAATTTGTCAATGCCAATGGTGTTCAAGTGGTGCTCCAGTTGTTTTGGGATTGCACCCAAGGAGCCTATGACTATTGGTACTACCCTTGATTGCTTTTGCCACAGTCTTTCTATTTCTATTTGTAGGTCTTTGTATTTTGTGATCTTCTCCAGCTCTTTCTCTTCTATTCTGCTGTCTCCAGGCACTGCCACATCCACTATCCAGACTTTTTTTGTCTTTCTTTCTTATCGACAATTGTTGTTGTTGTTATTATTATTATTATTATTATTATTATTATTTGCTAAGTTTGGAGACCTTGGCTTAGAGCAGGGGTGGGGAACGATGGTCCCTTTATGACTTGTGGGCTTCAACTCCCAGAATTCCTGAGCCAGCCCACCACCTCTGGCTTAGAACCATGCATTTGACCTTCTTCCATTGCTTTGTTTTCATTTAGATTTCTCAGCTGCCCATGAAACTTGAATCCGAAGTGATGGACAATGGGGAAAATTTCTCTGTTGGGGAGAGGCAGTTGCTTTGCATCGCCAGAGCCTTGTTGCGTCGTTGCAAGGTGAGTTTTGTGTAGGAGGTTTCTGCTACTCGAGAACCCTGTTCTGAAATCCAACCTGGAAAAACAATTTCCCGTAGTTTGTTTCGACTTTGTTCCAAGGACTCAGGTTGATTTCTTCTACCGATCCAGGAGGAAAAACTGTTCAGCTTTTCTGAAGGTTCTCTAGGCAAAATTTCAAAACTTTGTGGGGTGTGTGTGTCCGCGTTGGGGGTAGGGGGGATGTTCTTTAGTATAGCTCACTTACATATTGTTTTTCCTGGCTTTACTCTTTCAAAATTTCTCTGGGTCCTTGAAGGGTAGAGAGCAATTCTGGAGAAAGACGATTGCAGCAGAGAGTTGTCTTAAAATGGTCCCCGTTGTCCTAAGTTTTGTTTTCTTAATTTAAATCAGAAGGATTGTATGTATTCAGGGAAAGGCGCAGGGCACTCGTACATGCTACAGGATTCATTCCTGGCCTACGATTAATGTTGGTTTGATACAACCCTAAATATGGGGAGCCAGTCCAACAGGAGAATGGGAAGAATGTTCTGGGCACTTTTGTAAAAGAAGCAAAAGACAATTAACGTTTGCACTAGGCTTTTGCAAAAGGAAGGATTCCCTCACACGTACGTGTCACGGTTCCGACAGATTTGTTGTTAATTGCGAAGTCGTGTCCGACCCATCGCGACCCCATGGACAACGTTCCTCCAGGTCTTCCTGTCCTCTACCATCTTCTGGAGTCCATTTAAATTGACACCTACTGCTTCAGTGACTCCATCCAGCCATCTCATTCTCTGTCGTCCCCTTCTTCTATTGCCCTCAATCTTTCCCAGCATTAGGCTCTTCTCCAGTGAATCCTTCCTTCTCATTAGGTGGCCAAAGTACTTGAGTTTCAACTTCATTCCGACAGATGAAACTCTTCAAAAGAACTTCGAGGCATTGTTTACCTTAAAGAATCTTTTATTCGAGTAGCATAATATCGGCACTACATAATCAAGCCAAAAACTGAATTCCTCTCCCCTGGGCACATAGTATTAATATTAAAGCACAATTCCCTCCTCCAATTAACAGTCATAAATCACATTCCCCAATTAGCTTGAAGCGGGGCCAATTCTTTATCAGCTCTGGGCTCAATAACCTTGATTCTCAAGCTAAGTTTAGTGTTGTTATATCTAGCTGGACTCTCATTCACATCCTCCCTCCCTTCCAGCATCATCTAACTCTAAAAGTGAAAGGGAAAAAAAAGATGGCTACATTTCCATCTGTTGTCAGTGCAAAACATCCGATGTTTAGCAGTGTTGACAGTACGTATGGAACCGACTATTTGACACAGCAGTATGAGCAGAAAAATGTTTTATAGCACTTGAAAGCAAATGCATTTGTACAACAGTCCCCAGTCCACCATGCAAGCTTATATTACCGTGAATTTATTCTATAGAGGCAGTCCTCGAATTGCAACAGTTCATTTGACAGGATTGAACGGGATTGAACGGGATTGAACAAAGTGACTTATGACCAGTTTTCACACTTAACGACTGTTGCAGCATCCCCACGGTGACATAATCAAAATTCAGACGCTTGGGAACTGATTCATATTTATGACGGCCGCAGCGTCCCCTGGGGTCACGTGATTCCCCTCTTTTGCGACCTTCTGACCAGCAAAGTCAATTGGGGGAAGCCCGATTCACTTCACACCCATGTTACTCACTTAACAACTGCAGTGATTCACTTAAGAACCAGGGTAAGAAAGGTGGTAAAATGGGGCAAAATTCACTTAACAACTGCTTCACTTAGCAGCAGAAATTTTGGGCCCAGTTGGATCGTAAGTTGAAGACTACTCCTATACAGTCGAGTTACGTTGGCAACACCATGAACTAAATCAGGGTAAGCAACCTTGGCTCTTTTATGACTCGTGGACTTCAACTCCCAGAATTCCTGAGCCAGCCATGCTGAGGGGAAAGGGAGAGGTTTCCAAGCTGAGCCATGCTGGCTCAGGAATTCTGGGAGTTGAAGTTCACCAGTCATGAAGGGGCCATAGTTTCCCCATGCTGGCTCAGGAATTCTGAGAGTTGAAGTCCACAAGTCATAAAAGAGCCAAGGTTGCCCATCCCTGCAATAGTAAATAAATAAACAGTGTAAAACAATTAAAAGGTCAAAAACGTCTGGGCGGCTGAAAGTTAAAACATTAAAACTGAGAACGAAATGGATAAAATGAACACACGGAGCTCCATACGTGCTGTTTGGGAAATCCTGGGTATTGAACTCCATACCTGCAGGATAGGGAATTCTGGGATTTGAAGTCCACATGCTTTAAACTAGCCAAAATTGGGAAATTGTCAGCTGCCTTATTATTATTAAGGTCTTATTATTATTCCAGGCTGACCGAGGTTGATGCAGGACAGCTGAGCTTTCATTAGACAAACAAAGATTCCAGGTCTTACTATTATTCCAGGATGACCAAGGTTAATGCAGGACAGCTGAGCTTTTATTAGACAAATGAGAAGAGCTGTATTCTACGACCCCACCCGCACACCCTCAGCCCCTTTGCTTATACTTTCAACATTGTAGGTGTTTCATTTTGTGTCACGCTATCTTTCAGTCCTAATGGAAGCCCAGGGAAAGAGTTGATTGCTACGTTTTTAATGAAGCTCATGCGGTTGTTCCACAGATCTTAATCCTGGATGAAGCGACGGCCGCTATGGACACCGAGACCGATTTACTGATCCAAGAGACAATCAGAGAAGCCTTTGCAGACTGCACCATGCTGACAATCGCTCATCGTCTGCATACAGTTCTGGGCTCTGACCGGATTATGGTACTGACGCAAGGACAGGTAAGCCAGTTGCCAACTTCTTTTTCTTCTAAAAATTACCATGGAGCCGGGAGCCGCTCACTGGGTAGCAAAACTCGGCAGCTCTCGTAAAATGTCAATTCATAGTCAGCCAAGCAATGAAGTATCTTCCTTGTTTGTAATGTAAACAAGGTCTTAGCCAAGACGTTTCTAAAATGATAACTTTCCCGAGAATTATTTGGTCGCCACAATATAAAAAAGATGTCGAGACTGTGGAAAGAGTGCAGAGAAGAGCAACACAGATGATCAGGGGACTGGAGGCCAAAACATACAAAGAACATTTGCTGGAATTGGGTTTGTCTAGGGCAGTGATGGCGAACCTTTTAGAGACCGAGTGCCCAAACTACAACCCAAAACCCACTTATGTATCATCAGGTGCGAGGTGGGTGTGGCCCATTGGGTGGGCGTGACTGCGGTGGTAACAGCAGACTGGGTGGGACTAAAAAGTTCAATCAATCCCAACTTTGCAAGATCTTTTTTTTTTTTTGTGCAAGAAGTTGAAATTGACTGATTGATTGAACTTTTTTTTTTTTTTTTTGTACACGGTGGTGGAGGCCTAAAGCGAAAAGGTTTTATAAAACCCAACTGAAGGCCTAGGACTGGGGTGATGGCGTGCGTGCCCACAGAGTCAGCTCTGAGTGCCGCCTCTGGCACCCGTGCCATAGGTTCACCATCATGGGTCTAGTTTAATGAAAAGAAGGACGAGGGGGGACATGATAGCCGTCTTCCAGTATCTCAGGGGCTGCCCCAAAGAAGAGGGAGTCAAGCCATTCTCCAAAGCGCCTGAAGGCAAGACAAGAAGCAACGGATGGGAACTGATCAAGGAGAGAAGCAACCTAGAAAGAAGGAGAAATTTCCCATCCGTGAGAACAATTAATCAGTGGAACAACTTGCCTCTAGAAGTTGTGGGTGCCTCCAACACTGGAAGTTTTGAATAAGAGACTGGGCAACCATTTGACTGAAGACCTCCAAGGTCCTCTCCAACTGTTATACTGTTATTCAGACAAATCGTAGTGCCTTATGGGTACGTCCTCCTAGTTCTCATGGCAACATTATGGAAATAATGTGCTCGAATGTAGTCTGGATTTCCAGAAGGGATCTGATAGCTTGTGTGAGAGAAAGAGGATGAAGACACTCCTCTTTAACAGTTCCACGGTGCACGTTTTATGTGGCTGGTAGTTTGCTTTGGTTTGTCGAGATTCTGTCTATAAGTGAGGAATAATAAGGACATCGGCTTGGAAGAATCACTAATCTTTCTTGGCTTTTGGAGCCTGGAAAGGATTAGCCATTGCTTTCTTCCAAGATAACAGAATAAGAGAAGAAGGGAAGGGAACCTTGGAGGTCTTCTACTACAGAGGTCCCCAAACTTTTATTTATTTATTTATGAGACTTATATACCGCTATAAGTGCAAGCACTCTCTAAGCGGTGTACATCAGTAAGCAATGTATATATATATATATATATATTTATATTGTCCCCAACAATCTGGGTCCTCATTTTACCTACCCCGGAAGGATGGAAGGCTGAGTCAACCTTGAGCCGGTGAGATTTGAACCGCTGACCTGCTGAACACAGTCAGCTAAAGTGGCCTGCAGTACTGCACTCTAACTGCTGCGCCACCTCGGCTCTTTTGGGCATCGGGGACCGGTTCCGTGGAGAGAGGTTTTTCCGGGGACTGGAGAGTGCGTGGTTTTTGTGTGCTGCCTGCATCCCGCGGATGGGGCTTTGCTTGTTTGTGCGGACTGGTTGCTGGCATGGCGCAGACCGGTACTGATCCACGGACCGGGGGTTGGGGACCCTTGTTCTAGTCCACTGGTTCTCAACCTTTCTAATGCCGCGACCCCATAATACATTTCCCCATGTTGTGGTGACCCCCAACCACTTATACATCACCGGGTGCCAGGGGCGTGGCCAAAGAAAAGGGGGGAAAAATGGCGGACAGCCTTGTTTGGCGACCCCCGTGAAATGGTCGTTCGACCCCAAATGGGGTCCCAACCCACATGTTGAGAACCACTGTTCTAGTCCAACCCCCTGCTCAGGCAGGAAACCCCATACCACCTTTGCAGCTTGGCAACCTGGCTGGGGGGGGGGAAGAGGAGAACCGGCCCTTGCAAGCGGTGGATTGGCGCATGCACGCACGCAAAGCTCCACTTGTGCAAGTGGCAGGCCAGCACGTGAGTGCACTCTTGCACAAGTTGAGCTGCGTGCATGTACCTGCGCCGGGCCACTGCTCATGCAAATCAAGTTGCGCCCGCCTGTCTGCTCGCAGGGCCTAGTTCCGACTAGGCCCGGTATTGGGGCGCGGGCTGAGTTGGGGACCCCTGCCTTATACCATTTCGGAGAAATGGCTATTCAGTCTCTTCTTAAAAACTTCCAGTGTTGGAGCATTTACTGCTTCTGGAGGCAGGTTGTTCCACTGATTAATTGTTCTCACTGTCAGGAAGTTTCTCCTTAGTTCTAGGTTGCTTCTCTCCTTGATTAGTTTCTACCCGTTGCTTCTTGTCCTGCCTTCAGGTGCTTTGGAGAACAGCTTGACTCCCACTTCTTTGGGGCAGCCCCTGAGATATTGGAAGACAGCCATTGTGTCACTCTAAAGGAACTCTAATCCTTTATCTAAAATAAAGGAACAGGATATCTTTGGGTCCCCTTTTTCAACGGTGATGCTACAGGTGGTCCTCGACTTACAACAGTCCATTCAGTAACTCCTACAAGGGCACTGGAAAATGCCAGTTTTCACCCTTACGACCGTTGCAGCCTCCCACCATCACAGTCAATAATTCAGACGCTTGGCAACTGACTCATATTTATGACGGTGGCAGCGTCCCCCGGGGTCACGTGATCCCCTTTGGCGACCTTCCGACAAGCCAAGTGCAGCGTGGGAAGTCAAGATTCACGAATGTGGCAAGAAAGCGGGTAAAATGGGGCAAGACTCACTTAACCGACGGCTCGCTGATCAAACACAAATTTGGGGGCTCAGCTGCGGCCGTTAAGTCGAGGGCTGCCTGTATTTGCCCCCCCCCCCGTGGGTGCATTGCACTTCATGCGCTTTCTCTTCCCTTTTGTTTCAGGTGACGGAATTTGACACGCCGTCGGCTCTCCTGTCCAATGAAAATTCCCGCTTCTCTGCCATGTTTGCGGCTGCAGACAACAAGGTTGCAGTCAAGGGCTAAAAAAAATTCAGGGCAAAGTCACTTTAATAACACGGAGCGTTAATCCTCCTCTGCCTGTGGCAGGGACGTTCCTCCCTCCATATTTTTTTCATGTCTTTCGAGCAGGTTGTCTTTTCACCTTTTAATTTTTTTTAAGGATCGTGGGTCAGGATCGAGTTCTCTCCCTCTCTTTTTTTAGAAAAAAAAATATAGAGTACTGTAAGGAAGATTCGTCACGGTTTTTATTATGGTATTTATTTCGTAGTCTTCTTAACTAATTTTTTTTTTTTTTTTGCTATTAAATGCACTCTTGCAAAAATGGCTCAGAGGGAGCCACCTTATTATTATAAATGTAATCCAGAGGTCTATATTGAAGCTTTATACATGTAGCTATATCTACAACAGAATTCTGTACATAGCCTATATTTACAGTGGAAATGTAAGCTGTTTATTTTATATTAAAATGAGCGCTGTGGTTAATACCAGTGCAAATTCTTTTCTATCCTTTTATTTTTAATTTTTTTGGGGAGGGGTGTACCGTTTTAGTGGGGGTTGGGGAATCTGGCTTGGGCCAGGCTGCACTGGACTCTCCCTGGTGCTGAGGTTTTTTTTGTTTTTTTCCAAACTTGCCAGGGCGGAAGTGAAAGTTTTGTGTAACTCTTCCCTCCGTCTCCCCTTTTTCACCGACCTACGTAAGGCACGTGGGCCCTGACAAGGGCAATCAAGGTCCTTGACAATTGTCAGATAGAAGCCACGGTTTCTCGTGGTACTGGGCCCTGGAGGGGTTTAACGTTCTTCCCCCCCCCTCCCCATGGTGATTTCGTTAGCGAATCCTCAACTGTAGCCGGAAGCGAACAGCCACCACAAAACTCAGGTACCTTTGAACCCAGTGCATTCACCTGGGTGCACACAATGACACTGTCAGTTGTTTGGCTGATGTTGCATCCAACGCACAGTCAAGCCGCTCCCATTTTGCTGTGCAAAAGCACCTCTCTACAGCGTATACCAGGTGGTCTCCAAACTTTAAAACTTGTGGACTTCAAACTCCCAGAATTCCCTAGCCAGCGTGGCTGGCTAGTAAATTCTGGGAGTTGAAGTCCACAAATCTTTTGCGGATTTTTCCCCACCACCACCACCACCCTTCCCTGGTATATAGCATTATTCCCAAGCTAGAGCAAGCAAATCTTTTTTTTAGGCTGGACCCTTCTACTTCCGACAGCGTTTCTCTGCCGAGTTGCAGGCGTTTCGAGATAAATTAGCGTTTGTTTTGGAAAGTTCTCCAGATGCTTTGATATTTTTAAAACCGTTGTTCATTCACCTGACTCTGTATGTGCACAAAATTTTCCTCTTGCCTCCTCGTTAATGGAAATTATGACATCCTCAACATCTTGCAGCTTTTAGCAGGCACCTGATCGGGTTTTGACACTACTGGTGTAGGGAATTTTGTTTTCTAATTGTAAAGAGACCTACCTCAGGTTGCTGGTCCTGTTGTGTTGTACGTTACCATGGTTACTGTACACCATCTGTGTTGTATGGGACCAGTAGCCCAGACGGGCGTGGTCGGTCTTGTAATAGCTGTTTCGATCGGTCAGCACTGCATGTTTGTTGATTTGTTTGTTTTTTGTCCAGGTGGACATTTTATAGCCTTAGCATGTTTGCAAATTGTCTTGTCGAGACGGACATCTGCAAAAAGTGAATAAAAATTATTTTGGTTTTTGTAAAGACGTGTGTGCACTTTCATTATGGAGCAGTGTTGCGTTTCCTCCCACGAAGAAGCTGGGAATGAGCTGTGTACTGTTGCTATTTAAGCAGCCATAATTTAGGAAGCGGGACTGACTCCAGTTTAGCTTAATAGCTTACGTTGTTTTATTTAGCATGCTGTCTTGCAGTTTTCCAAAAGAGATTTCATGCTTATTGCTTTGCGTGAAAATTGAACGATACATTCAATAATCCACAAGTTTTTTTTAAAAAAATTATTCTTTAATCATTTTTCTTAAAGAGTGATAAAAAAACAAAAAAAGAACATTATTGTTCTTACATGCTTACATTATTAAAGAAAAGGGGGGAAAAAAAGAAAAAAACAGATTTAGTAAATCTGTGGATAAATGACCCATGGTTTAAGATGAATGTCTACCATCATCTAGGTCAGCGATGGCGAACCTTTTAGAGACCGAGTGCCCAAACTGCAACCCAAAACCCACTTATGCATCGTCAGGTGCCAGGTGGGCGTGTCCCATTGGGTGGGTGTGTCCCATTGGGTGGGCGTGGCTGCGGTGGTAACGGCAGACTGGGTGGGACTAAAAAGTTCAATCAATCAATTCCAACTTTGCGAGATCTTTTTTTTCCCTGCAAGAAGTTGAAATTGACTGATTGATTGAACCTTTTTTTTTTTGCACATGGCGGCGGAGGCCTAAAGCGAAAAGGTTTTATAAAACCCAGCTGAAGGCCTAGGACTGGGGCGATGGCGCGTGCGCCCACAGAGAGGGCTCCGAGTGCTGCCTCTGGCACCCCTGCCATAGGTTCGCCACCACTGATCTAGGTAACTCTTACTTTTTTCCATTGTTCAAGTAGAATCTTGCTTACACATAGATTAAACCCATCCTTCTGCATCCTGCAATTTGGGAAGTTATCCTCACCATCTAGACATTGGACGAACGTTATTGTATCCCCATTTGATCCTCTCTCAGGTTGCCTGTCTCCATCTCCCTATCCTTCCTCTCCCTTCCTTGTCCTCATTTTATTACCTTTCTCCAAACATGGGCTAGTTTTGTTCTAAAAATCAGGAGGATCACCTTTTCTGACCAGCAGTCATGTAACTGTGAGAGGGACTTTGGAGTCCTGGCGGACGATCACCTGACTATGAGCCAGCAGTGTGCAGCAACGACCAAAAAAAGCTAATTCAATCCTGGGTTGTATAAACAGAGGCACAGAATCAAGACCACGCAAAGTACTAGTACCGCTTTATAAAGCCCTAGTAAGACCAGGCCTGGAATCCTGCAGCCAATTTTGGTCACCATAATCACAAAAAAGATATTGAGAGACTAGAAAACATTCAGAGAAGAGCAACTAAGATGATCAAAGGCCTGGAGACCAAAATGTACGAAGAAGGCTGGGGAACTTGGGTTTGACTAGTCCAGTGGTTCTCAACCTTTTTAATGCCACGACCCCCAACCGGTTGTAAGTTGAGGACTACTCAACCGGTCGTAAGTCGAGGACTACTCAACTGGTGCAGCACCGTTTGCAGAATGGGACTTTCGGTGGGCTCAGCAGGGCAGAGACAGCCTGGACAATTCCTATTGGCTTTTGAAAGCCAATAGAATTAGACTCTATTCAAGAGAGCCTATTTTATTGGCTTTCAAAAGCCAATAGAATAAAAGGGAGGAGCACAGCTAAGGAAAAGGGGGGAAAAATGGCGGACTGCGTTGTTTGGCGACCCCCGTGAAATGGTCGTTCGACCCCAAATGGGGTCTCGACCCACAGGTTGAGAACCACTGGACTAGTCTAAAGAAAAGAAGAAATAGGGGAGACATGATAGCAGTGTCCCGGTATTTGAGGGGCTGCCACAAAAAAGAGGGGGTCAGGTTGTTCACCAAAGCACCAAAGGGAAGGACAAGAAACAATGGATGGAAACTGACCAAAGAGGGAAGCAACCTGGAATTAAGGAGAAACTTCCTGATAGTGAGGATAATTAACCAGTGGAACAGCTTGCCTTCACTGGAAGTTTTAAAAAAGAGACTGGACAATTATCTGACTGAGATGGTATAGGACCTCCTGCTTGAGCAGGGAGCTGGACTAGAAGATCTCCAAGGTCCCTTCCACTCTATTCTGTTCTATTCTAAAACCCACAAAAGTTCATGCTTTTGAACCAAATCGGTTTCAGGTAGTCCTCGGCTCTCGACCGAAACTGAGCCCAAAATTTCTGTTGCTAAGCAAGACAGCTGTTAAGTGAGTTTTGCCACTGAGGAATTCTGGGAATTGAAGTCCACTAGTCTTAAAGTTAGCAAAGTTGGAGACCCCTGTTCTACCAGACTTCTGATTTTTTTTTTTTTTTTTGGCTACCATCATCTAACACTGTCTGGTTCTCTTCTAGTCTCTCTGAATCATTTTTGAAAGCCTCTGGAAATTTGAATTCAGAGTGTTAAGTAGCCTGGAGAGGTTCACAGTAACTTCAAAGGAAGTTGTAACGAACCAGTTATAAGTTGAGGACTACCGATACGACTACAGAACCAGGAAGAAAAGTGACTTGGTTTACACTATTTCCACAACTGATTAAGAGAGTGACTTGGAGAATAAGTCAAAGATCTCTGTGGGTCAGAAGAAGAATGAAAAGAATATAACATTTTTAAAATTTTGTGGATGTTGAATTTAGTACTAAATGGATGGAGTATAGCAGGGGTCTTCAAACTTGGCAACTTTTAAGACTTGCCTGGCTGAGGAATTCTGGGAGTTGAAGTCCACAAGTCTTAAAGTTGCCAAGTTTGATGACTCCTGGAGTATAGCATGCAGCCAGTTTCATTCCTCTCTTTTTCCCTCTCCCTTGCTCTGCTCTCTTTTATCTACCATCACGTGAATAAGTAAATTGCATCTAAACTTCTTTTCATTTTTGACATACGCGGACATACCATTTTATTTTGAATGAAGCAACGTACAGAGATAAAAGATGTAGCTGCGAAAAAAAACTATGGGAATTTATTCAAGAAAATGTTACTTGATATCCTATCTCCTTCCGTGGAAAAAGTACAGCCGTGGTTCTAATACTTGGCATAATACTTGCTTTGGCAGAAACCTCAAGTAACTGCCTACCATCAATTGGGAGGAAATTTTTCCCTGCTCTGCCATGCGGAATTCTTTTCAGCTGTGCAGTGTTTTGTTTGTTTCATTAATTAATTAATTAATTAATTAATTAACTTAACTCACTCATTCAATTCATATACCATCCAACTCACTGTCAAGTGACTGGGCAGCTTATAATATAAAGCAATAATGTAAAGCAATTAGTATGTTTAAAACATTAAGCATTAAAATCAGAACATTCAAAGTTAATGGAAAACTGGATAAAAGGGACCAATAACTAAACAGTGGATGTGGTCTCTCTCCCTCCCTCCCTCTGTTTTCTCAGCACTTCCTCAACATTGCTGGGTCTTTGGTTTGTTTTGTTGAAAGGCTGAGTTTAAGATTGTCTCTTTTCCTTCCCACTTTCTTAGAAGCAGAAAGTCACTGGTCTATCTAATACAGTATTTCTCAACCTTGACAATTTTACGGCATGTGGACTTCAACTCCCAGAATTGAAGAGTTGAAGTCCATGGCTGGCTCAGGAATTCTGGGAGTTGAAGTCCACATGCCTTAAAATTGTCAAGGTTGAGAAACACTGATCTAATACAATGTAATAACAATAATAATAGAAATAAAGTGCATTATTTGTTTGTTTGTTTAGAAAATGTAGAACATAATGCACTGAAATCATCCTGAAAACTCCTCCCCCCCAACAGGTCCATGGAAAAATGGTCTTCCAGGAAACCAGTCCCTGGTGCCAAAAAGGCTGGGGACCTCTGTTCTAATTTACTAACCACCTCCAGAGTGGGAGGCCCCATTGGGCCCCCAAGCCAGTTAGCAAAGCCAGGTTTTCAGGCTCTTTCAGAAGGGGAACAGATCTGGGGGAGGGGGGGGGAACGATGTTTCTGCCAGCCAAAGTTCCTTGACTGAAGGGGTCCATCCCATGTCCCTTCTGCCAGGGAGTGTGGGACGGGCCAATCCCATTGGCTTGAGACAGTTTCTCCAGTTTGTTTGAGGTGTTTCTGGATATGTCTAGTGCCGGGGTAGGCAACCTTGGCTCTTTTATGACTCGTGGACTCCAACTCCCAGAATTCCTGAGCCAGCCATGCTGAGGGGAAAGGGAGAGGTTTCCAAGCTGAGCCATGCTGGCTCAGGAATTCTGGGAGTTGAAGTCCACCAGTCATGAAGGGGCCAGAGTTCCCCCATGCTGGCTCAGGAATTCTGGGAGTTGAAGTCTACCCATCTCCGAGTGGCCAAGGTTGAAAAATACAGGCCTAGGCCAGGGATAGGCAACCTTAGCTCTTTTATGACTCGTGGACTTCAACTCCCAGAATTCCTGAGCCAGCCATGCTGAGGGGACAGGGAGAGGTTTCCAAGCTGAGCCAGGCTGGCTGTGGAATTCTGGGAGTTGAAGCCCACGAGTCATAAAAGAGCCGAGGTTGCCTACCCCTGGGATTCTAGTCTAGAAGGAAAGCACTGCTCCAAGATCTAAGGGGCTGCCACAAAGAAGAAGGGGTCAACCTATTCTTCAAAGCAGCTGAAGGCAGGAAAAGAAACAACGGATGGAAACTAATCAAGGAGAGAAGCAACTTGGAATTAAAAGAGAAATTTCCTGACAGTGAGAACAATTAATCAGTGAAAGTACTTGCCTCCAGAAGCTATGGATGCTCCAACACTGGAAGTTTTTAAGAAGAGACTGGACAGCCATTTGTCTGAAATGGTATAGGGTTTCCTGCCTGAGCAGGGGGTTGGACTCCTGTAGAAGACGTCCAAGATCCCTTCAAACTCTGTTATTTAAAATTGTGGTATCTTGGGGCCTATCCAAAAAAATGAATTTTAATGTAGAGAAAAGCGAAGTTTTACATTTACGCAGGAAAAAAACAACATAAGTACAGATTAGGTGGAACCTGACTCAAAAACAGCAACTGTGAGAAGGACCTTGGAGTCCCAGTGGACGATCACTTGAATATGAGCTAGCAGTGTGCAGAGGCAGCCAAGCAAGCTAATACAATACCTGGTTGTATAAACAGGCATAGAATGAAAATCACGTGAAGTATTAATATCGCTTTATAAAGCCTTAGTAAGGCCACGCCTGGAATATTGCATCCAGTTTTGGCCACACTACAAAAAATACATTGAGACTGGAAAAAGCGCAGAGAAGAGCAACTAAAATGATTAAAGGCCTGGAGACTAAAACATATGAAGAACAGTTGCAGGATTTGGGTTTGGCTAGTCTGGAGACTAGAAGGACTAGGGGTGACATGATGGCAGTTTTCCAGTATTTGAGGGGCTGCCACAAAGAAGAGGGGGTCAAATTATTTTCCAAAGCAACAGAGGGCATGACAAGAAACAATGGAAACTAATCAAGGAGAGAAGCGACCTGGAATTAAGGAGAAACTTCCTAACAGTGAGGACAATTAACCAGTGGAACAGCTTTGCCTTCAGAATTTATGGGCGCTCCATCACTGGAGGTTTTTAAGAGGAGACTGGACAGCCACTTGTCTGAAACGGTACAGGTTTCTCCAGCTTGAGCAAGAAGCTGGACTAGAAGACCTCCAAGGTCCCTTCCAGCTCTATTCTATTCTATATATTTAGAGGTTGTGCTTATTTTTTCTACATGCAAAGTTTGTATTTATTTAAATTACACAATGGGATTACAAAATGTACACAATGCATGGAGTTTGTTATATTGTTGTTCAGTTGCTAAGTCATGTCTGACTGTTTGGGACCCCATGGACCATAGAACTGCAGCACCCCCCCCCCCATGTCCTCCACTGTCTCATGGAGTTTGCCCAAATTCATGTTCATTGCGTCGATGACACTAGCTAAACATCTCATCCTCTGCCATCCCCTTCTCCTTTTGCCTTCAGGCCTTCCCAATATTTCAGCTTCAGCTTCCAGATCTGTCCTTCCAAGGAACAGTCAGATCACATGACCCTGGGAAACTGCAATGGTCACAAACATGAGTCAGTTGCCAAAGGTCTGAATTTTGATCATGTGACTATGGGGATGCTGCAGGGGTCATACACGGGAAAAACAGTCATAAGTCATTTTTTTCAGTGCCGTTCTAAGTTCAAAGGTCAGTAAACAAACTGTTGAAAGTTGAGGTCTAGCGACTTCAATGCTCGGGGAATTCTGAGAGTTGGAAGTGCTCGCATGTTAAAACAGTTTGAGAAACCCAGCTATGGGAGTCACTCCATCATGTTCACGGTCCTTCTTAACAACACTGCAAGTTCTTTAAGGAGAGATTGGGCAACCATTTGCCTGAGACAGTACAGGTAGTCCTCAACTTACGACCCCATCTGAGCCCAAAATTTATGTTGCCAAGTGAGAAATTCATTAAGTGAGTTTTGCCCCATTCTACAATTTTTCCTGCCACACTTGTTAAGTGAATCACTGCCATTGTTAAGTGAGTAACACGATTCTTAAGTGAATCTGGCTTCCCCATTGACTTTGCTTGTCAGAAGGTCGCAAAAGGGGGTCTCATGACCCTACAACCGTCATAAAAGCGAGTCACTTGTCAAGCATCTGCATGTAAATTACATGCCCATGGGGATGCTGCAACGGTCATAAGTGTGAAAAACGGCCAAGTCACCTGTAACTTCAAACGGTCGCTAAGCAAACTGTTGTAAGTTGAGGAATACCTATACAGGGTTTCCTGCCTGAGCAGCGGGTTGGACTAGAAGACCTCCAAGGTCCCTTCCAGCTCCTTCTGGCAAACGAATAGATCCCTGCTCAAAGAAACTCCCCTCCCTGCTCACCTCCTGCGGACCACACGATCCCTCTCCCCCCTCCCCCCCCCGCGAGATCCCTTGGCCAGATCCAAGGAGGGGATCGCTCCTGCCTCCCGGCGCCATGCTCTCCCGAGCGCCGGGCCTCATTCTCTGCGTCTCTCCCGCCCCGAGGCTGAACTCCTCCGGCCACGGGGTCGATAAAGCCCCGGGCCCGGCCCAGCCAGATGTCCCCGTCCAACGGCCGGCCAAGCAAGGCGCGCATCCAAAGGCCGCTCCGGCCGCCCCGCGCCGCTCTCGGGCGCCGCCCAGCGCCCCCGTAGCCTCCGCCGCCGCCGCCAGCCGCACGCAGCGCGCCCCGCTCGGGGCAGGCCGGCTGGGCCTCGCCTCTTCCTGGCGCCGCCGAGCGGCTTCCCGGGCGGCCTGGGTGAATCGTCGGCCGCCGCCGCCGCCGGGCCTCCCTCGCCCGCCGCCCATGGATTTCACCTAGGCCCCATGGCGGCCCCCGAGACGCCCCCGGACGTGGCCTCGGCCTCCAGCGCCTCGCTCTTCCGCCTCCGCCACCTCCGCCTCGGGCTGGACCTGCGGCCCGAGGCCCGCGCCCTGGCCGGCTGCCTGGTGCTGGAGCTGTGCGCCCTACCGGCGCCCGGCGTCGGGGCCGAGGGGGAGGCGGCCGAGGGGGAGCGCCGGGCCCGCCGCGCCCGCGTCCTGGTGTTGGACGCGCACCCGGCCCTGCGGGTGGCCTCGGTGGCTTTCCGGGCCTGCCCGGCCGGCGAAGCCCGCTGCGGCTTCGTCTTCTCCAGCGCCGGCGGCGAGGGCGAGCCGGGCCGGGTCAACCCTCCGCTGGCCCGCCCGTCCTCGGCCCCCGCCGGCCACCCGCACCCGCATGGCCCGCTCAGCAGCGCCAGCGCACTTTCGGCCCTCGGGGGACAGGCGCCGCCGGAGGGGGATCGGCTGGGCCCCGGCGCCTCCCCGGACGCCTCGGCCGAGGTGCCCCCGTTTTGGGGCGAGCCTCCCCCGGCCGGGCCCTGGGCCTGCGCCCCGCTGGAGAGCGCCGAGGCTGCCTCGCCGCCGCTGCCCGCCTTCCCCCGCTCGGCGCCCGCCGCCCGCGCCCCCTGCCCGCTCTTCTTCCGCCTGGATCCCTTCAGCGACTACGGCTCGGCGCTCAGCATCTCCCTGCCGGCCTCGCTGGAGCCGCAGCAGCCCTTCCAGGTCATCGTCCGCTACACGGCCGTGGATGCCCCCGCGGTAAGTGGGGTCTGTTTTCAGCCGCTTAAAGGGAGGACCGAGCGGGGCCGGTTCAATATCTGAGGGGTTGTCTCTGTGGAAGAGATCAGGGAGGTCATCCAGTCCAACCCTTGCTTGGGTTGGGTCCGACTTCTCTTTGAAGAAGAACTCATTGCTTCATGTGGCAGGCTGTTCCACGGGCTCCTTCTGTTGCTTTCCTCTTGTTTCTTCTCCCATTGTTCCTCTTCTCTCCTCCTTTCCCTTGTGTGGTCTTATAATGCCATACTTGGAATACTGCATCCAGTTTTGGTCAACACCATAATAATAATAATAAAAAAGATGTTGATATTCTAGAAACAGTGCAACAAAGACGATAAAAGATGATTAATGATTAAAGATGATTAATGATTAAACCATATGAAGAATGGTTACAAGAATTGGGTATGTCTAATCTAATGAAGAGAAGTATTAGGGGTGACATAATAGCAGTATTTGAGGGGCTGCCACAAAAAAAGAGGTGTGTGTGTTGTCAAACTATTCTCCAAAGCACCTGAAGGCAGGACAAGAAGCAATGGATGGAAACTAATTAAGGAGAGAAGCAACCTAGAACTAAGTAGAAACTTCCTAATAGTTAGAACAATTAATCAGTGGAAACTTTTCCCTTCAGAAGTTGTGGGTGCTCCGTCACGGGAGGGCTTTAAGAAGAGATTAGATAGCCATTTGTATGGAATGGTACAGGGTCTCCAGTTTGAGCAGGGGGTTGGACTATAAGACCTCTGGGTCCCTTCCATCTCTATTGTTCTATTAGAAATCTAACCGTTTTCATATCTATTGCAGTAAACACGAATAGACGCAAATGCAAACCAATGCTCTTAGGCAGTGGTTCTCAACCTGTGGGTCGGGACCCCATTTGGGGTCGAACGATCATTTCACGGGGGTCGCCAAACAATGCAGTCCGCCATTTCCCCCCCCCCCCTTTTCCTTAGCTGTGCTACTCCCTTTTATTCTATTGGCTTTCGAAAGCCAATAGAATAGACTCTCTTGAATAGAGTCTAATTCTATTGGCTTTCAAAAGCCAATAGGAATTGTCCAGGCTGTCTCTGCCCTGCTGAGCCCGCCAAAAGTCCCCTTCTGCAAACGCTGCTGCACCAGTTGAGTAGTCCTCGACTTACGACCGGTTGAGTAGTCCTCGACTTATGACCGGTTGGGGGTCGCGGCATTAAAAAGGTTGAGAACCACTGCTCTTAGGGGTCCTCCATCATTTTTAAGAAGTTAAAACAGCTCCAATGACCAAAAGGTTTTCTGTTCTCACTCATCTTGTGCACTTCTTCTATGGAGGAATACTCCCCCCCAGACCCCCCCTGCAAGCCCTCTTTGGTATTCACCAGAAAAGGATTCCCATGATTTAGCAGCACAGCTCTACCCATTGGGAAAAGCCACCTAAGCCCCAAGCATAGAATCTGGATAGCCAACATTAACAGAGGTCCCATTAAGAGGCTACCAGCTTGGTTAACGAGCAGCCTAAGGAGGATGATTCTTGCAGGAAATAATTACATGATTAATTAACTCCTTTTTTAGGATCCTGTAATCCAGGCATCTCAAACTGCTGGCCCATGGGCGGGATGCATCATACTGAAACCACACCCGCCCCATTGCCGGAAATGGGGAAAAAGTCACGATAGGTTGTCATGTGACGTCGCGAGTTTGACATGCCTGCTGTCATCCCTTAGTTTGGGATAGAGTCGGGGCAACTGGATGGAGCTGAGCATTTACTGGCCAGATGCCCTTCCTGACATCTATGCAGAGTTCACAGCAAATATTTTCTCTTTGCGCCCGGAGAGAGAAATACCTGCCTCTGTCTGGGATTGAACTCTCAACCTTCCGAGTGTGTGTCAAGTGTCTTATATCCCTAAGCCACATGCCACTCTAAAGAAATGATCAAAAAGTTAAAATTAAATAAAAATAAATTAAAGTTAGAAAAACCTCAAAGGGCAGATTCGATGGAGCACTCTTTTTCTGTCGTCAGTTTTCTACGTTTCTCTGTACACACACACACACACACACACACAACAAAGATCTGGGAATGCTAATACAAGCTGGGAGACCCCCCCAAAAAAAGTTGTGAACGAAAAAATCTTTCCTTCCCTGCAGGTAAATCACACCCTCTTTAAAAACAGCAGGAGGCAGAAAGATATAAAGTAGGACAGTCAGTCAGATTGTAGTGAGGCCTAACAAATTCTTTACAGCGGTTTTCACAGTTGAAAATTTGGGGCAGATCAAAGACTCGTGAGTATTGGAACAGGACACGAAACTGGTTGAGGGATATATTAACACTGGACTTAAGAGTTAAAACTTGAACTCTTCTTGCTGGGAATAACGACAGAAAAATACCACAAGGGAACAATCTACCTGCTGCTACACATCCTGACTGCAGCTAGGCTTGCTTTTGCGCAAAAATGGAAGAGCAAGGAAATTCCCACAGAGGAAGAGTTAATACATAAAATATTAGCATGTGCGGAAATGGACAGGCTCACAGTGATATTAAAAGACAAATGTGGATCAGTTTATTATGAAACCTGGGATAAATTTTACCTCTGGAGGAATTCGAAGAGGAAGGTCGGGATTAAAGATGAATGTTAAGATAGAAATAGATGTTATTTTAGAACAAGTATTGTATATAAAACTGTAGATGTACATGTAGAGATGAAGAATTAATTGTAAAAAGTGGAATAATCTGATAAGAATGTATATACTGGAATGTCACGTTGAATCCAATGTTTGTTTTTAACTGTATTATAAATAAAATTTGTAATTAAAAAAAAAAAGAAAATTTGGGGCAGATAACTTGAAAGGGCTTTGGGGGCAGGCGGTTAGAAAGAGGCAGAGAGGCCTATGGGGATTGGGGATCAGGTTTTAGGGTTTATTTGGAATAATCAGCCATTGAGAGGTCACCTTGATTAATCATTGATGACACAGATACTTTCCAAGCAGTGAAACTTTTGACCTGCTACAAAAATACATGGTCTCCCTAAAATTGCTCTCTCTCTCTCTGTCTAAAGCAGTGGTTCTCAACCTTTTTAATGCCGCGACCCCCAACCGGTCATAAGTCGAGGACTACTCAACCGGTCGTAAGTCGAGGACTACTCAACTGGTGCAGCAGCGTTTGCAGAATGGGACTTTTGGCGGGCTCAGCAGGGCAGAGACAGCCTGGACAATTCCTATTGGCTTTTGAAAGCCAATAGAGTTAGACTCTATTCAAGAGAGTCTATTCTATTGGCTTTCAAAAGCCAATAGAATAAAAGAGAGTAGCGCAGCTAAGGAAAAGGGGAAAAAAATGGCGGACTGCGTTGTTTGGCGACCCCCGTGAAATGGTCGTTCGACCCCAAATGGGGTCCCGACCCACAGGTTGAGAACCACTGGTCTAAAGATTGGAAAGTAGCCAATATAATGTCTTAACGGTGAGTTTCAATAGGAACACTAAAATTACAGACTTAACGGTTTCAGGTATAAATTGGTGGAAGCATTTATAAATATAAATTGATCACCCCAAAAAAGGGACAAATTTAGCCAAAGAAGGTTTCATATAGATTCTGCAAACTCACAAGCCTCCCTGGGTAATCTCTCTCTCTCTCTCTCTCTTTTTTTTAAACTACTCAGAGGATAACTTAGCAAAATTTACTTGGGTTTTCCAAAAATGTTCTTTACGAATTTTCTCACCCTCAGCAAACTTGGTTACTAAGGGAGAACAGGGTAAACTTCCTTTGTGTAAAAGTCAGAAAACGGACAACAGGAGAAAAAAATAATTTGGCCCACACCCAGCATGTCAAAAACGAAAGTGCAGTTTAAGTCGGGCAGAAAGGAAGATTGGGCTGAGAGGAATAAGATATACAGTTAGACCTCGATTTACGATCACAGTTGAGGCCAAATTTTCTGTTGCTAAATGAGACATTTATTAAATGGGTTTTGGCCCATTTTGTGACCTTTCTTAACCGTATTTGTTACCTGAATCAGTGCAGTTAATTTAGTAGCACAGTTGTTAGAAGGTCGAAAAAGGGGATCACCTGACCCCGGGACATGGCAACCGTCATAAATAGGAGTCAGTTGCCCAGTGTCTGAATTTTGATCACGTGACCACGGAGATGCTGCAATAGTCGTAAGGGTGAAAAACGGTCATAAGTCTCTTTTTTCAATGCCGTTATAACTTCAAAAGGTCACTAAACAAAGAGTGAGTTGAGAAGTCCTCCCTGTATATTTCAGCAGGGAGAAAATGTATTTAGGGAAGAACAAAAATCCTTTTTTTCCCAGAGAATGTCATATTTTAATTCTGTTTTAGTCAGCAATGTCTGGACTGGCCTTCGGCCCCTCAATTTCCCATTTTTCCAGATGGTTTTAGGGATAAATATATTTTTGTTTCTTCAGAGAAATTCTTTTGGTATTGGCTGAGCCTCTGATCCTTGGAACAACAGATGGAACAATTGACGAATGTTATTTGGAGAAAGCTTTTCCAGTATTAAATTTTTTCCATCATTCAGGGAGTGGAATACAGGTAGTACCGACTCCGGAATTCCTGCTCCTATGCCCGAGAGTTGTTAAGTGGGTTCTGCCTCCATTTTGCGACCTTCCTTTCCATGGTTATTAAGTGAATCACTGCAGTTGCCCAGTTAGTAACACGGTTGTGAGGGGAATCTGCCTTCCCCATTGAACAAGACAATTAAGTGATTTTTTCCCATTTTATGACCTTTCTTGACACCGTTGTTAAGTGAATCACTGCAGTTGTTAGGTTAGTAACACGGCCGTTAAGTGAATCCGGCTTCCCCCATTGACTTTACTTGTCAGAAGGTCGCAAAAGCAGAATCACGTGGCTCCGGGACACTACGACCGTCATAAATGGGAGCCCAGCATCTGAATTTGGATCACGTGACCATGAGGATGCTGCAACAGTTGTGTCAGAAACCATCAGAAGTCACTTTTTTTCAGTCCTATTGTTAACTTCGAACGGTCACAAAACAAGGGGCTGTAAGACGAGGATTTGCCTGTTTTTGATTGTAGTAAATTGCTTCTCAGTCTAAGACACTTTCTCACTAAATATTTGATTGCATGTAGACCTATAAGTAAAAACCACCTTTAGTTAGGTAAAATATTGTGGATATGTGTAGCATTTGCCTGTAACAACAACAATAGTAGTAGTAGTAGTAGTAGTAATAATAATGTTGGAGGGGACCTTGGAGGTCATCTAGCCCAACCCCCTGCTCAGGCAGGAAACCCTATACCAGGGGTAGGCAACCTTGGCTCTTTTGTGACTCATGGATTTCAACTCCCAGAATCCCTGAGGCAGCATGGGGGAACTATGGCCCCTTCATGACTCATGGACTTCCACTCCCAGAATTCCTGAGTCAGCATGGCTCAGTTTGGAAACCTCTCCCTTTCCCCTCAGCATAGCTGGCTCAGGAATTCTGGGAGTTGAAGTCCACGAGTCATAAAAGAGCCAAGGTTGCCTACCCCTGCCCTATACCATTTCAGACAAATGCCTGTCCATTCTCTTCTTAGAAATCTGCTGTGTTGGAGCATTCACAGCTTCTGGTGGCAAGTTGTTCCACTGGTTAATTGTTCTCACTGTCAGGAAATTTCTCCTTAGTTCTAGGTTGCTTCTCTCCTTGATTAGTTTCCATCCGTTGCTTCTTGTCCTGCCTTCAGGTGCTTCCGGTGTTGATATATAATACAATGGGGAAAAAAAAGAATATCCCCTGTTTCAGTGAAATATAGGTGTCCCTGTAGGTCAGGGCAGTATATAATTTGAATTAATAACACTAATAATAATTTAATAAATAAGTGTGCTGAAATTTAGATGCTTTGACACAGAGGAATAGCTGGCTATGAGATGGTCATCTTCCATTTGAGATGAACTGTTATTTGTCTTTCACCGTTAAGTCCTTCTCTATTAGGTGATAGCATTTTACCCATCGTGCCTGAAATAGTTTATATAGATGCATTAAAAATAGAATTTCATGGAACAGCATGCCACCATTTTAAAATATGCCAGCCTTGGCCGGCTTTTCTATTCTCTCTGTCTAGGGGAGATCAAAAAGGCTGCCCTGGGATGGTATATTTTAAGGTGGCAGCATATTGTTACATGAAATTCTATTTTTAATGCATCTATATCAGTGTTTCTCTACCTTGTCTGCTTTCAGATGGGTGGACTTCAATTCCCAGAATTCCTCAGCCAGCCACTGTTCTATATTATCTACTTCAGGCAGGACTGATACTTTATCAATACATAGCATACACTTGGAGATTAATTTTAGAGAGGGTCTTTAAAATGAGGCAAGGAGGCGAACTTGCATCCTATGGTTGTTTGATCTAGTTCAGGGGCAGGCACTGCTATTATGTCCCCCCTCGTCCTTCTCTTCATTAAACTAGATATCCCCAATTCCAGCAACCTTTCCTTATATGTTTTAGCCTCCAGTCCCCTGATCCTCTTTGTTGCTCTTCTCTGCACTCTTTCTAGAGCCTCAACATCTTTTTTACATCGTGGTGACCAAAACTGGATGCCGTGTTCCAAGTGTGGCCTTACCAAGGCCTTGTAAAGTGGTATTAACACTTCACGTGATCTTGATTCTATCCCTCTGTTAATGCAGCCTAGCACTGTGTTGGCTTTTTTGGCAGCTGCAGCACACAGCTGGCTCATATTTAAGTGATTGTCCACTAGGACTCCGAGATCCCTCTCACAGTTACTACTATTGAGTAAGGTACCACCTATACCAGGGGTCTTCAAACTTGGCCCTTTTATGAGTTGTGGACTTCAACTCCCAGAATTCCTCAGACCCCTGACCTCTACTGTGCATTTGGTTTTTCTTGTTTAAAAGTAGAACCTTACTTTTCTTCACCACTGAATTTCATTTTCACTTTTCATAAGTCGAGGACTGCCTACAGCAGAGATCTTTATACTCTGGGTGGCTGTGCTGTGCCCACCCTCCAAAATGACAGAAGAAGCCCTCTTTTTTTTTAAAAAAAAAAGTCTTAAAGAAACACATGCTGTCGGCTTGTGGTTTTTACTCTTTTGACTTGGTTTCCCGGCTTTACCTCTCCAGCAAAAAAGTGCATCAGAATAGAAAATTCATGTTTTTTTTCTCGGTTCCCAGTTCCTGGAAAGATACAGTGAGTGATGCTGATGTAAGAGAAATATCGTGAATGCTGTATATTTGGGGTGTAAACTAGAGATTGTTTGATTTTCTTCTCTTATTTTCTTATATTCTGCCTTTGCATGCTACAGGTCGTCCTTGACTTAACGACCATAATGGAACCCAAAATTTCTATTGCTAAGTGAGACATTTGTTAAGGGAATGTTGCCCCATTTTACAACCTTTCTTTTTTTTTTTTGGCCACATTTGTTAAGTGACTCACTGCAGAGTTAGTCTAGGGCCATGGTGGCGAACCTATGGCTTGCAGAGCCCTCTCTGTGGGCACGCGCGCCATCGCCCCAGTCCTAGGCCTTCAGTTGGGTTTTATAAAACCTTTTCGCTTTAGGCCTCCGCCGCCGTGTGCAAAAAAAAAAAATGGTTCAATCAATCAATTTCAACTTCTCGCGGGAAAAAAAAGATCTCGCAGAGTTGGAATTGATTGAATGAACATTTTAGTCCCAGCCAGTCTGCCGTTACCACTGCAGCCACGCCCACTCAATAGGCCATGCCCACCCAGTTGGCCACACCCACCCAATGGGCCATGCCCACCCAGCACCCGACGATACATAAGTAGATTTTGGGTTGCAATTTGAGCACTCGGTCTCTAAAAGATTCACCATCACTGGTCTAGGGGTAGGCAGCCTTGGCTCTTCTATGACTCGTGGACTTCAACTCCCAGAATTCCTCAGCCAGCATGGGGGAACTATGGCCCCTTCATGACTCATGGACTTCAACTCCCAGAATTCCTCAGCCAGCATGGGGGAACTATGGCCCCTTCATGACTCATGGACTTCAACTCCCAGAATTCCTGAGCCAGCATGAGGAACTATGGCCCCTTTATGACTGGTGGACTTCAACTCCCAGAATTCCTCAGCCAGCCTGGCTCAGCTTGGAAACCTCTCCCTTTCCCCTCAGCATGGCTGGCTCAGGAATTCTGGGAGTTGAAGTCCACAAGTCATAAAAGAGCCATGGTTGCCTACCCCAGAGTTAGTCACACGGTTGCTAAGTGAATCCAGCTTCCCCCTCGACTTGGCTTGTCAGAACGTTGCAAAAAGAGGATCGCATGACTCTGGGACACGGCAACCTTCACATGTGCGAGTCAGTTGTCAAGCATCCAACTGTAAATCATGTGACTATGGGGAGCCTCCAATGGTCATAAGTGTGAAAAGTGGCCATAAGTCCCTTTTTTCCGGTGCCGTTGAACGGTCACTAAATGAGGCATCTTACTAACTGTGTTACTGCAGTCATTTCATTTAACCACCGTGGCAAAAAAAGATGGTATAGTGGGGCAAAAGTTAACTCTCACTTAGCAACAGAAATTTTGGCCTTAATTGTGATCATAAGTCAAAGAGTATCTAAAATTTGCCTTTTTTTTTTTTTTTCTTCCTTATCTATTCCTTCTGTCAGGTCTGGTGGCTGGATCCTGAGCTCACCTACGGCAACACTAAGCCGTTTGTTTTCACCCAAGGCCATTCGGTGTGCAACCGCTCCTTCTTCCCTTGTTTCGACACGCCGGCTGTGAAGTGCACCTACTCTGCGGTTGTCAAGGTAAGACACACTTTTCATAGCCCCTGAATGTGATCAGACCTGAACCTCATGCTCAGTAACGGCCAGAACTCAGCTTGTGATCCAGAAGCCCTGATGACCAGTATCAGGGTTTGTTGTTTTTTGGTTTTTTTTTCTCTCCACAAATCTCCTAATCCCCTTTCTGAATCGCCTCCCTTGGTGGTCATCGCTTCCTTCGGAGAAAGCAAACTCCATAGTGTCACTTGTTCACCAGAGGGAAGGACGAGAAACAAACAGTTGGAAACTGATCAAGGAGAGGAGCAACCTGAAATTAAGGAGAAACTTCCTGACAGTGAGGCCTTTATAAAACTGTAGTAAAAGACCATACCTGGAATACGGCAACCAGTTTTGGTCACCATATCACAAAAAAGATGTTGAGACTTTGGAAAAAAGTTCAGAGAAGAACAACTAAGATGGTCAAAGACCTGGAGACTAAAACATATGAAGAACGGCTGCAGGACTTGGGTTTGGCTAGTATAAAGGAAAGAAGAAATAGGGGTGACATGACAGCAGCGTTCCAGTATTTGAGGGGCTGCCACAAAGAAGAGGGGGTCTAACTATTCTCCAAAGCACCAGAAGGCAAGGCAAGAAACAATGGATGGAAGCTGATCAAGGAGAGAAGCAACCTGGAATGAAGGAGAAACTTCCTAACAGCGAGGACAATTAACCAATGCAACAGCTTGCTGTCAGATGCTGTTATGTGCTCCATCACTGGAGGTTTTTAAGAAGAGACTGGACAACCACCAATCTAAAATTGTGTATGGTCTCCTGCTTGAACAGGGGGCTGGACTAAAAGGCCTCCAAATTCCCTTCTAGGTCTATTCTATTCAACTCTATTATTCTTGTTTTGTTTTGTTTTACAGGCCCCTTCAGGTATGCAGGTGTTAATGAGCGCCACCCAAAGTACCTACGAGGAAGAAGAGGGCATCTACCAGTTCTGCATGGAGTACCCCATTCCTGCTTACCTGGTGGCTTTAGTGGCTGGGGATCTTGTCGCCGCAGACGTTGGTCCCAGGTAAGACACTGTTGTCTGATTGAGCAGGGTGGATGGAGTACAGGGGTATTGCTAGGCTGTTATCTTAACCACCGTGTGCAGTTAGGTGTCGGTTTGCACCTCCGCAGCACAGAATGCCAAATCTGGGCTAGGCGCATTGCGAATTCTGCTCTTTTTCTGCCTTCTTTGCGACAGGAGCAAAGTCTGGGCCGAGCCGTGCCTGTTGTCAACCGCCATCGGCAAACTCTCAGGTCGGGTGGAGCACTGGCTGAGCGCCGCAGAGAGCCTCTACGGTCCCTACATCTGGGGCAGGTAAGCACCTTATAGCATGCATAGGCCTTTGCTGGGGGGGGGGGGAAGGCACGAACAGAAGGAACCAGGAAGGGGAAAATCTACTACCGATGGCAAAATTCAGACAGGAAGGCGGTGCAGAGAGTGGTGAGAATGGCCGAAAAGATCATTGGCAGTTCCCTTCCCTCCCATCCAGGACATAGCGCAGAAGCGCTGCTTGAGCAGGGTCCGCAAGATTGTCTGGGACACCACACATCCTCTTCACGACCTGTTTTCCTTGTTACCTTCTTGTGTCTGGGGGGGGGGGGGGGCTCTGTGGTATCAGAAGCAGAACATCCAGATTCAGTCACAGCTTTGTTCCATACAGTGTTAACCTTGTGAACTCTCAACTCTTCCGTTATGCCTTCAAGATGGACAGTGAATAATATTTATTTGTTACTTATATGTAAAGGGTATAGGTCTATACATATGTTGTATGTAGTATGTTTTAAATGTGCGTTGGGTATGTGCACGTTTGGAGAGGAAGCAACTAAATTTCATTTCTAATGTGTGCCATTGTGCCCACAGGGAAAAAATGACAATAAAGGTTATCTGTGTGTCTGTCTCTCGTCTGTCTGTCTGTCTGTCTGTCTGTGTCTGTCTAGCTGTCTAGCTGTCTAGCTAGCTAGCTATCTCTAGCTATCTATCTAGCTATCCATCCATCCATCTTTCTGTCTCTCTCTCCATATCTATCTGCCTGCCTACCTACCTACCCACCTACCTATATTTCTGTGTCTGTCTCTGTCTATCTGTCTGTCTCTCTCCATCTCTCTCTCCATATCTATCTGTCTGTCTCTCTCGATATCTTTCTTTCTTTCTTTCTTTCTTTCTTTCTTTCTTTCTTTCTTTCTTTCTTTCTTTCTTTCTTTCTCTATATCTGTCTGTCTGTCTGTCCATCCATCCATCCATCCATCCATCCATCCATCCATCTATCTATCATTGAGGCACTCATTCATTTCCCCAAGATAAGCAGAAAGGTGTAGAAATAAGGAATGGTATTATAAATTAATTCTAGAGACACCTAAGAGAGGGAAGTAGAAGAATCATATTTCACATTTAGCCGCAAAATCAGTTTCTTCCTATCATCTTAAGTTACTTGGTTAGGGTTACTAACAGGATGTGGAAGAGAGAAAGGAAACTGTTGGATTATGAGAGATTCTTGACATACAGGAGTTGTTCTCCAATTACATTAACCCCCAACTCTGATCTTTTTAACCCTTCCTTTTTTCTTTTATTACAACTTTTAATACAGTTAGTCCTCAACTTTCAACCATTCATTTAGCGACTGCTTGAAGTTACAATGGCATTGAAAAAAAGTGACTTATGACCGTTTTTCATCCTTACAACTATTGCAGCGTCCCTCTGGTCAAAATTCAGTGATCAAAATTCAGACACTTGGCAGCTGGTTCCAATTTATGGTGGTTGCCGCTGTGTCCCCCAGGTCATGTGATCACCACGTGCGACCTGCTGACAGGCAAAGTCAGCGGGGGGAAGCTATATTCACTTAACAACTGTCTTACTAATTTAACAACTCCAGTGGTTCACTTAACAAGTGAGGCAAGAACGGTCGTAAAATGGGACAAAATTCACTTAACAAATGTCTCAGCAACAGAAATTTTGGGCTCACTTGTGGTTGTAAGAGGAGGTCTGCCTGTAAATTATGGGCAATTTTATTGATGTACATCTGCATTTTTAAGTCTGTCTTTCTGCCTGCCTACCTATATCTGTCTGTCTCTGTCTCTGTCTCTCTCTCTCTCTATCTATCTATCTGTATAAATCTCTATTTCTATCTAATCTATCTATCTCTCTGTATATCTCTCTATTTCTATCTATCTTATCTATCTATATCTGTATATATCTCTATATCTATCTATCTATCTATCTATCTATCTATCTATCTATCTATCTATCTATCTCAAGTATGTATCGTCTATCTATCTATCTATCTATCTATCTATCTATCTATCTATCTATCTATCTATCTATCTATCTATCCATATCTGTATATATCTCTATTTCTATCTTATCTATCTATGTATATATCTCTATTTCTAATCTATCTATCTGTATATTTCTATCTATCTATCTATCTATCTATCTATCTATCTATCTATCTATCTATCTATCTATCTCTATCCTATCATATATCTATCTATCTTTCTCTCTCTATCTATCTATCTATCATCTCATCAATCTGTATCATCGATCATCTATCGCTATCTAGCTATTATTATCTATCTATCTATCTATCTATCTATCTATCTATCTATCTATCTATCTATCTATCTATCTCATGTATGTATCGTCTATCTATCTATCTATCTATCTATCTATCTATCTATCTATCTATCTATCTATCTATCTATCTATCTATCCATATCTGTATATATCTCTATTTCTATCTTATCTATCTATGTATATATCTCTATTTCTAATCTAGCTATCTGTATATTTCTATCTATCTATCTATCTATCTATCTATCTATCTCTATCCTATCATATATCTATCTATCTTTCTCTCTCTCTATCTATCTATCTATCTATCTATCATCTCATCAATCTGTATCATCGATCATCTATCGCTATCTAGCTATTATTATCTATCTATCTATCTATCTATCTATCTATCTCATGTATGTATCGTCTATCTATCTCTATCTATTTATCTATCTATCTATTTTGAGAATTATGACTTGAAGATTCAGAAAGTGATCCGGGTTCTCCCTCCCTCCCTCCCTGCCTCCCCTCGCTTTCAGGTACGACATTGTTTTCCTCCCTCCCTCGTTCCCTATTGTCGCCATGGAGAACCCGTGCTTGACCTTTGTGATCTCGTCCATCTTGGAGAGTGATGAGTTTCTCATCATTGATATCATCCACGAAGTAGCCCACAGCTGGTTTGGCAATGCCGTCACCAACGCCACCTGGGAAGAGATGTGGTTGAGCGAGGGGCTGGCCACTTATGCTCAGCGCCGCATCACTACGGAGACCTATGGTAAGTCCTGCCTGGAGCTATGTATTGCGCCTCCACATTGTGACAGTTGCCAAAGGCCAGCTTTGCGCAGCTTGGATCTTTCTAGAGCAGTGTTTCTCAACCTTGACAATTTTAAGGCATGTGGACTTCAACTCCCAGGATTCCACAGCCAGCAATGGAATTTTTTACATCTTTTTTACATTGTGGTGACCAAAACTGGATGCAGTATTCCAAATGTGGCCTTACCAAGCCCTTGTAAAGTGGTATTAACACTTCGCGTGATCTTGATTCTCTTCCTCTGTGAATGCAGCCCAGCACTGCGTTGGCACAGGATTGGCCCAAGGTCACCCAGTTGGCTTCATGCCTAAGATGGAACTAGAACCCGTGACCTTCCAGTTTCTGGAAGGCTCTTAATAAGATTACGCTTTATACCATTACGCTCTATACGTGCCTGGCTGAGGAATTCTGGGAGTTGAAGTCCACAAGTCATAAAAGGGCCAAGTTTGAAGACCCCTGAGGCAGTTGAACAATTCACCACATCTCAGGAGTTGCTGCTCAAAATGATTTGAAAATGCCTTCTGGGTCTCTTTTTGGGAAATCCAGCATCATCCATCCACTGCATGCTACACTCTGAACAGGTAGTCCTCGACTTATGACCATTCCCTTAGTGACATTCAGAGTTACAACAGAACTGACAGTTTTTCAGACTTAACAGCCATTGCAGCATCCCCCGTGGTCACGTGATCAGAATTTAGACGCTTGGCAACTGGCGTGTATTTACGACGGTTGCTGCGGCCCGGGGTCACGTGATCGTCTTTTGCGACCTTCTGACCAGTAAATTCGGGGAGGGGAGGCCAGAGTCACTTAACAACTGTGTCACTAACTTAACAACTGCAGTGTTTCCCTTAACCACTCTGGCAAGAGAGAGGTCGTAAAAGGGGGAAAGCTCACTTAACCGTCTCACTTAGCAACGGAAATGTTTTGGGAGTTGCAGTCCACACGTCTTCAAGATGCCAAGGGTGAGAAGCACTACTCCGGGGCGTAAGATTCCCTCTGACGGGGATTAATTGGGCTGCCATGATGTCACAGAGGGATGGAGGAGACCAGCAATGGCTGAGCTGCTCAGATCCAGCCAGACAGCAGGCAAGATTGGGTGGTTCCAGGGAATGAGGCCAGAGAGCGTGGATCACAGAAGAGTACGGATCAGATAAAAGCAGGACAATACTTATTATGGAGAGAAAACATATAGGTAGATGCAGGAAGTCACACACATCACACAACCCACCTTGCCTACCCTACAAGGTTTACCTTTGTAGTTGAAAAAAAAAACACCTTCAATTTTTAGGGTATCTGAAAAGACTAGGATTTTTTTTTGAGGTAAGTTAATGCTATTAATGTTACCATGCACTGTGTGGCTTTAAATTAGAAGAAGGCATTTTATTAATCTTTCGGGACATTTACCGCTGGCATACCTATTTAGTTTAACGAGTGAAAAAGTCAGCTTTCTATGTGGAATGAAATTGGCCCAATAAAAGAAAATTTGGTTGCTTGCAAAAGATTGAATTATTTTTAAGAGGTTGTCAAACAAGGCGGAAAAATTTTACATTTGGAGTTTAATATGGATGTTGGCTTGAAACAAATGAAAGTTGAAACTTTGTCAGTGAACAGATTACTTTTAATTTACCTTTTAAGTTAAACCCAGTTTAACAAATAGATCTGATTAAACCTCATACCGTAGGTCTACCTTTACGTCTGACCAATACATAATTAATATATATTGTTATTAATAATAATACCTCCGAATCACAAGACATTGGCTTTATTCTTATTCTTCCCCTCTGCGGTTGGAATAATAAAGTATAAAAGACTAAAAAGAGATTGTCGTAGACGTCCCAGCCTTTGAACTACCCAAGGAACCGAAACAGCAAAGTTTTGCTGTCGGGGGCAAACTTCCATGCCAACCGCCCTTCTTTCCTCTCGCTTCGCCTCTTTTTAACCTCACATGCACCCTACCTTCTGTAGGGGAAGGCAAAAGGCTCGCTCGCCCTCTTGTGAAAGAGGACCTCCATGGTTATGTGTCTCCCACCGCCACCATCGGCTTCCACGCCACATGGTCCCACCCAGCCGATCAAGCCACGCTCTGGCTGCGGTGCTCCGGCGCCTCATGGCTCCTCCTGGAGGAGGCAAATAGCGCCAGAGGGGACCCCGCTTGCACGGTACCGCCAGCGGGGCATTTTCAAAAACAAACGAGGATAGGAAGGGAAACAATAGGAAAATCCATCGAACAAAAGGTGCTGGAACTCTTTTCCGGTGCGTTCTATGACAGTGGTGGCGAATCTATGGCACGGGCGCCGGAGGCGATACTCGGAGCCCTCTTTGTGGGCACACATGCCGTTGCCCCAGCCTTGCCTCCCCCCCATAGCCCCCTCCTCTCCAGCAGCCCCCCTGGAGGAGAGTCGCCCTCAAGCATGGCCCACACAGAGCAGCGCAGCCAAGGACATGGCAGCCAGGCAGTGTAGACAAGACTCTGCCCTCACGCCCCAACGTGCACAGTTGATGCTGCGGGGCGTGTGTAGAGGACATCACCGCCATAGCGCTGCTGGGCTGCCTGGAGGCAGTGGGCCCTGGAGTGGGCCCTGGAGGCGGTGAGTGGTCCTGTGGGCAGGCAGGGCGGGGGATGGGGGGCAGAGCAGGGGCGGGGCAGGGCGGTGGAGTGGAGGCGGGACCAGTTTTTGGGCATTCGGTCTCTGAAAGGTTTGCCAACAACATCTTAGCACAGTGATTCTCAACCTTTCTAATGCCGTGACCCCATAATACAGTTCCCCATGTTGTGGTGACCCCCATGTGGGTGTGGCCACCAATAAGAGGGAGTAGGACAGCTAGGGAAAAGGGAAAAAAATGGTGGACAGCATGGTTTGGCGACCCCCGTGAAATGGTCATTCGACCCCAAATGGGGTCCCGACCCACAGGTTGAGAACCACTGTCTTAGCATGTTATTATGGTTCCGGCTAATGAAACACTTCAAAGACCTTCCAGGCATGGATTTCCCTAAAAGTCTTTTATTGCTTCAAAATGTCGGTAAAGGCATAATGGAAGTTTTATGCTAAGATCTAAATTCTCTTCCTCTGAGCAGTTAAATTATCAGCATGTTCCCTCCCTAAATGAGCTGTCATATGTCACATTATCCAATTAGTGTGAAGGTCAAAGGTTTCCTTCCTCTCTCTTATGCTCTGCATTAACTCTAAAACTACCAGACAGTTCTGCATATTGTCAAAGCAAGAATATACAGTATTTGCAGCGTTGACAACTGTTCGATGCCCCCCCCCCCAAAGCCCGGGGTAGATGTCACATGCTGGAAGACAGAGTCATCTGAACTTCCGCATAATCTGGAAATATTATAGATCTCCGATTAAATTCCATGCATTTGGTGTGTGTGTATATGTGTGTGTGGACAGGTGCTGCTTTTACATGCCTGGAGACAGCCTTCCGCCTTGATGCCCTTCACCGACAAATGAAGCTCCTTGGGGAGGACAATCCTGTCAGCAAACTTCAGGTGAAACTTGAACCAGGTAAGAAGGGAGCTGGGTCTCGCCTTTTAGGAAATTCAGCCTCCTCGAGGTAGCTTCTTCACGGAATCGCCAAAATGAAAGTTGCAGTTTGTCTACCGCCGAAGGTGAAAAAAAAAAAGCAAACAAGGTCTCGTTTCATCATAGCTTATGAGATAAACACGGATTGGCTGGGTTCATAAAGCCTCCTAAAAGAGGGGTCCCCAACCTCCGGGCCATGGACCGCTACCGGTCTGCGGTCTGTTTGGAGCTGGTCTACGCGAGCAGGGTACACCTGAATAGCCCGGGTGGCGGGAGGTCACGCGCAAAGATCAATTTGAGTGAGGGGCCCCGCTACCACTGCCAGCGCCGGTCCACAAAGATGGAAAAGTTGGGGACCGCTGTTCTAAAGCAGGGGTCCTCAACCTGGGCAACTTTTAAGACTCGTGGACTTCAACTCCCAGAATTCCTCAGTCAGCCTCCATTTTGTTTGTTAGATTTAAGACAGGGGTCTTCAAACTTGGCCCTTTGATGACTTATGGACTTCAACTCCCAGAATTCCTCAGCCAGCCTCCATTTTGTTTGTTAGATTTAAGACAGGTGTCTTCAAACTTGGCCCTTTGATGACTTGTGGACTTCAACTCCCAGAATTCCTCAGCCAGCCTCCATTTTGTTTGTTAGATTTAAGACAGGAGTCTTCAAATTTGAACCTTTTATGACTTGTGGACTTCAACTCCCAGAATTCCTCAGCCATTCTTAAAGTTGCCCAGGTTGAGTACCCCTGCTCCAAAGCAAAACCCAGATTCTGATTTTGAAGCTGATTTGTCAGCTCTTTGCCCCTCAGCTTTGCATTTGTCGAATAAGACCCACAGTGATGGGTCTAAAAAGTCCGTTCTGAAGAAAATTACAATTCGAAGAGGATCATGCCCCACTCCAAACATTTCAAGGTAGTCCTGGACTTACAGCCAGTTGTTTAGTGACTGAAGTCTGAAGTTACAAGGACACTGAAAAAAGTGACTTAGGACCTTTTTTTTTCACACTTAAACAACCGTTACAGCATCCACATGGTGAGGTGATCAAAATTCGGACGCTTGGCAACTGATTTGTATTTATGATGGTGACAGTGTCCCCGGGGGTCATGTGATTTCCCTTTTGCAATGTTGTGACAAGCAAAATCAACAACAACAACAATAATAATAAAGTTGGAAGGGACCTTGGAGGCCATCGAGTCCAACCCCCTGCTCAGGCAGGAAACCCTATACCAGTGGTTCTCAACCTTTTTAATGCTGCGATCCCCAACCGGTCGTAAGTCGAGGACTACTCAACCGGTCGTAAGTCGAGGACTACTCAACTGGTGCAGCACCCTTTGCAGAATGGGACTTTTGGCGGGCTCAGCAGGGCAGAGACAGCCTGGACAATTCCTATTGGCTTTTGAAAGCAATAGAATTAGACTCTATTCAAGAGAGTCTATTCTATTGGCTTTCAAAAGCCAATAGAATAAAAGGGAGTAGCACAGCTAAGGAAAAGGGGGAAAAAATGGCGGACTGCGTTGTTTGGCGACCCCCGTTAAATGGTCGTTCGACCCCAAATGGGGTCCCGACCCACAGGTTGAGAACCACTGCCCTACACCATTTCGGACAAATGGCTGTCCAGTCTCTTCTTAAAAACTTCCAGTGTTGGAGCATTCACCGCTTCTGATGGCAAGCTGTTCCACTGGTTAATTGTTCTCACTGTCAGGAAGTTTCTCCTTAGTTCTAGGTTGCTTCTCTAAAATAATAATAATAATAATAATAATAATAATAATAATAATAATAATAATAAGCCTTAGGTGCAATCCCAAAACAACTGGAGCACCACTTGAACTGACAAATTCGCCATTAGTCAATTGCAAAAGGCAGCCTTACTAGGAACTGCTTCCATCCTGCGACGATATCTGTAATACCATTAAACATCCACATCTGTCTATCCCAGGTCCTTGTTAAGGACTCAATAGGTAGACAAAAATGCCAAATCCAATCTGAACATCTGGCTGACTGCAATGATCAATAACAACAACAACAATAATTAAAAAGTTGGAAGGGACCTTGGAGGTCAGCTAGTCCAACCCCCTGCTCAGGCAGGAAACCTTACACCATTTCGTACAAATGGCTGTCCAGTCTCTTCTTAAAAACTTCCAGTGTTGGAGCATTCACCGCTTTTGGAGGCAGGTTGTTCCACTGATTAATGGGGAAGCCAGACTCACTTTATAAACGTGTTACTAACTTGTGACTGTAGCAATTCACTTAACAGCTGTGGCGAGAAAGGTCCTAAGATGGGGGCAGAACTCACTTAACAACTGTCTTCCTTTAACAATGGATATTTTGGGCTCAGTTGTGGTCATAAATTGAGGACCTCCTATATGGCTATTTTCCCCCCTATAACTCTTATCTAAAGTTCTTCCTCTCTTCCCTTTGTTTCCCCCCAGGTGTGAACCCCAGCAACCTGATGAATCTCTTCACCTACGAGAAAGGGTTCTGCTTTGTTTACTATCTGTCTCAGCTGTGCGGAGACCCAACCCATTTCGATGCCTTTCTCCGAGTTAGTACCCTGGTTTGGGCACGGGGGAGGGGGGGAGTTACCTACACCTTCGACTTTGCCAGTGAATCTCAGTTGAATCTGGTCGTTTTCAGCTGAATCCTTCAGAAAAATCAAGACTCCATCCAAAAAACAAGCTTGGCGTTTTAGATCCCAGACACTTGTTTGAAAGTTGCATCCTTACAGGTGGTTCTCGACTTACGACCGCAGTTGAGCTCCAAAATGTCTGTTCCTTAGCGAGGCAGTTGCTAAGCGAATTCTTCCCCCATTTTACAATCTTTCTCGCCACCATGGTGAAGGGAATCTTAACTGCAGTCGTTCAATTAGTAACGCGGTCGTTAAGCGAATCTGGCTTTTCCCCCCATTGACTTTGCTTGTCAGACGGTCGCAACAGGGAATCGCGTGACCGCCGGGGACACTGTAACCATCATAAATAGGAAGCGTTCAAATTTTGATTGCGTGACCGTGGCGATGCTGCGATGGTCGTTAAGTGTGAAAAATGGCCACAGGTCACTTTCTTCAGTCCCGTTGTAACTTTGAACAGTCACTAAACGAACGGTGGTAACTCGAGGACTACATGTAGGTGGAACATACCAGCAAAGTGTCGTGGTGTGTATTAGTCTGGCAAAACCCGGGTAAAACTTTTCTGAGGGTAACAAGCGAACAAGTGTAGTAACATGAACACGGGAAGCAAAAATCAAGAATTCATTAACTCGGGTCTTGAAACTTGGCCCTTTTATGATTTGTGGACTTCAACTTCCAGAATTCCTCAGCCAGGCATGCTGGCTGAGGAATTCTGGGAGTTGAAGTCCGCAAGTCATGAGGCTATAATTTCCCCACGCTGGCTGAGGAATTCTGGGAGTTGAAGTCCGCATGTCATGAAGGGGCCATAGTTTCCCCATGCTGGCTGAGGAATTCTGGGAGTTGAAGTCCACGAGTCATGAAGGGGCCAAGTTTGAAGACCCCTGCATTAACTCATGCTTGGTTGATAGTTGAGTGATCAGGTGGCCTAGAGGTGAAGAAAGTCACCTCCCACTCAGAAGGTTGAGAGGTCAATCCTCTGCAAAGATGGATCTTTCTCTATCGGGACAAAGAGAAAATATCTGTTGCAAACTCCACATAGGCATCAGGAAGGGCATCTGGCCAATAAAGGCTCAGCTACATTCAGTCTTCCCATCCCGAAGCAAGGAATTACCGGGTGGTAAAAAGAAAAGAAAAAAAAAAACTTAGCTAATAGTCACTTCCATGTAGACCTTTTGGCGGCAGTCGGAAAGTGTTTTGTCATTGCCTCCTTTTTTCCAGCTTAAATCTAGAGTTGGGATTTGAGACCTGGTGGTCTCCCATCCGAGAATAAATTAAGTTCAACCCATCTAAGCTTTTTTTTAAAGACCAAGACAGGTTGAGAAGGGTGGTGGGTGCATGTGTACCTGTATATGTGTTTATAATCCTTTTAGTGAGATATGGTTATGTAGCTTTTATAGCACAAAGAGTTTTTCTGCTATTTTTCCTGAAAATGCCTCTCCTTTTCCAGCAGTGGTTCCTAGCTCTATTAGGCCGGAGAAAAGATCTGAGGGCCTCTAATGCAGGGGTCCCCAATCCCCAATCCCCGGACCGTGGACCAGCTCCGGTCCACGGCATGCAGAAATCAGGCCGCACAAACAAGTGAAGCCCCATCTGCGGGATGCAGGCAGCACACGAAACATGGGCCCTCCAGTCTGTGGAAAAATTCTCTCCACAGAACCGGCCTCTGGTGCCCAAAAGGTTGGGGGCTGATGTTCTAGGGCAGGGGTAGGCAACCTTGGCTCTTTTATGACTCGTGGACTTCAACTCCCAGAATTCCTCAACCAGCATGGGGGAACTATTGCTCCTTCATGACTCGTGGACTTCAACTCCCAGAATTCCTCAACCAGCATGGGGGAACTATGGCTCCTTCATGACTCGTGGACTTCAGCTCCCAGAATTCCTGAGCCAGCATGGCTCAGCTTAGAAACCTCTCCCTTTCCCCTCAGCATGGCTGGCTCAGGAATTCTGGGAGTTGAAGTCCACCAGTCATAAAAGAGCCAAGGTTGCCTACCCCTGGCCAAGGCCTAGGCCGCTTCATGACTGGTGGACTTCAACTCCCAGAATTCCTGAGCCAGCCTGGCTCAGCTTAGAAACCTCTCCCTTTCCCCTCAGCATGGCTGGCTCAGGAATTCTGGGAGTTGAAGTCCACCAGTCATAAAAGAGCCAAGGTTGCCGACCCCTGCTCTAGTGCACGTGACGCACGCTTGCTAAAAGCTCTGGCGCATTTCTGATTTTATTTCAGAATTTAGTCTCCTGAATTACTGTGCTATTGCAAAGGACTGGAGCCCGCTGTAATTTAAAAAAAAATATTGTGATGGATGAATGACCTCTAGAAATTTTCCATCAGTGGGATTTACATGTGTCAGAGCGTTCGGCTGGTCTTGATTTATTTAAACCTTGATCATTTTTCCGCTCTCCGTCATTTGTGATATTTTACTTTGTTCTCTAGTGCATTTGTCCTCATTTCTGTTGCTTTTCTGAGAATTTCCACTGGGGGGGGTGTCCCTCCAGTTTCTGTGACCTCGCTCAATCTTGCTGTTTACATTAATTTTGTAACCCGTGTTTCTGCCTGCTCTCTTTCAGACTTATATCGAGAAGTACAAGTTCACAAGCGTTGTAGCCCAAGATCTGTTGGATTCTTTCTTGGCGTTTTTTCCAGACCTGAAAGAACAATGCATTGATTGCAAAACAGGTGGGGAAGAGGACCTTGACAGAATGTAACACACACACAAACACACACACAAACACACACACACACACACAGGCAATCTTAGGAGTGCTGCCCAGATGGGGGAGACAAACTGCAGGTAGTCCTTGGCTTACAACCACAACTGGGCCCAAAATCTCTGTTGTTAGCTGAGACATTTGTTCAGTGAGTTTCTTGCCACACTTGCAAAGTGAATCCTCGCAGTTGATAAGTTGGCAACGTGGTTGTTAAATGAACTTGGCTTCCCCATGGATCGCAAAAGGGGATCATGTGACCCCGGGACACTGCAACCATCATAAATATGAACCAGTTGCTAAGCGCTTGAATTTTGATCACGTGACCTGGGGATGCCCGAAGTTGTAGAAGTTACGGCATTAATTGATTCCAGGTGCACCTGCTGCCTTATCAGCCCCAACACTAGTCGTGTGAAAAACACTTGTCATAAGTCACTTTTTTTCAATGCCGTTGTTCACTAAGCGAACTGTTGTAAGTCGAGGACTCCCTGTAGACAGGCGTGACAGCATACCCAACTAGCCAAGCTGCAAAACACTAAGCCACTTTTAGAGACCGAGTGCCCAAACCGCAACCCCAAAGCCACTTATTTATTGCAAAGTGCCAGGGCCGCATCGGCATTGTGGTGCCCTCGGGGGGGGGGGACGACAGGGAGGCACCTGTGAGTGCCACCTCTGGCACGCAAAAACTGGGGGCGCAAAAATGGGCCTCCGTGCTGCAAGGCGCAAAAATGGCTGCCGCCACGCCGCAGGGTGCAGATACAAGGCGCTGCACCACGTAAGAACGGGGCAGGGCTAGTGAGTATCACGCAGGCACCAGCCCCGCCCCATTTGCAGCACATGCGTGCTCGCCCCGTGCACGCATGCACAATGTTTCCCCCTCCCTTTTCTTCCAGTCCACCAATCGACAATGGTTGGTGACCTCTGCTCTACCACCTCTACTCAAGCTTGCTAGTTGGCTATCGCCTCCTTTGTGCTCGGCGGGGCTCCTGCTCTGGGCGGCGGGGGTGGCCTGATGGACCTGCTGCTGGTGGCGGTGGCACACGTGCCAACAGAGAGGGCTCTGAGTGTTGCCTCTGGCACGCATGCCATAGGTTCGCCACCACTGCGCTAAGCCCACCTCAGGCCTGTTGACTGTGTTCTACAAATGTCAGCTAGATCAGTGGTTCTCCACCTGTGGGTCGGGACCGCATTTGGGGTCGAACGACCATTTCACGGGGGTCGCCAAACAACGCAGTCCGCCATTTTTCCCCCCCTTTTCCTTAGCTGTGCTACTCCCTTTTATTCTATTGGCTTTTGAAAGCCAATAGAATAGACTCTCTTGAATAGAGTCTAATTCTATTGGATTTCAAAAGACAATAGGAATTGTCCAGGCTGTCTCTGCCCTGCTGAGCCCGCCAAAAGTCCCATTCTGCAAACGGTGCTGCACCAGTTGAGTAGTCCTCGACTTACGACCGGTTGAGTAGTTCTCAACTTATGACCGGTTGGGGGGGGGTCGCGTCATTAAAAAGGTTGAGAACCACTGAGCTAGATGATCTGTTGGAGAAAGCTTTCCGTATGAGCCCTGATTGGGAGATCGCACTCAGTCTGCGCACCTGTGGCACGTTTCTCCCAAGTTGATCCTTGTCGGCCAATCTGTTGCAGGGCTCGAGTTTGACCGCTGGCTCAATGCCACGGGGCCTCCTTTAGTCGAACCAGATTTATCTCAGGGATCCAGCTTGACCCAGCCGGTGGAGACGCTGTTCCATCTCTGGACCACGGAGCCTCTGGACGCAGGAGCTGCTGTGGACAGCGTCAACATCGCCGAGTGGCAAACATTCCAAACGGTGCTTTTCCTGGATAGGTTACTGGATGGGTCGCCCTTGCCACACGGTGAGTTTAATTGCCTCGTTGGGTAATGAAGCGTCTGCAAGAAAACAACAAAGTGCAGAGAGCCCCCAAGGACCCCAGAGTTTCAACTCTAAAGTTACATAAATTTTCTTTTTTATAAGTCTGATGGCTGCTCACTTGTCCCCGCTGCTTTGATTATTGGTTATTTCTGGCTGTCCATTGAAGTCAGGCAGGGTGGGCACACTTTAAGTCCTGTCGATGAAGCACTGTCATCTTGCGGGACTGAGATAGCATTCCTTCTCTGAGCTGGTGCCTATCCTGTGGGATGAGATCCATATTGTTTTAGAATCACGGAATAACAGACTTGGAAGGGACCTTGGAGGTCTTCTAGTCCAGCGGTTCTCAACCTATGGGTCGCAACCCCATTTGGGGTCGATCGACCATTTTACGGGGGTCGCGAAACAACGCGATCCGCCATTCCCCCCCAGGGGGCGGCGTGCATAGGGGTGCCGCCGCGCATGTGCGCTGCACATGGGGCTGCGTATGGGGCCGCCGCGCATGGGGGCGCCGCCGCGCATGGGCGGCACGTCCGTGTGACGGGGGTCACCGTCACACGGAGATTGAGAACTGCTGTTCTAGTCCAACTCCCTGCTCAAGCAGGAGACTCTATACCAGGGGTAGGCCAACTTGGCTCTTTTATGACTTGTGGACTTTAACTCCCAGAATTCCTGAGCCAGCCATGCTGAGAGGACAGGGAGAGGTTTCCAAGCTGAGCCAGGCTGGCTCAGGAATTCTGGGAGTTGAAGTCCACAAGTCATGAAGGGGCCATAGTTCTCCCATGCTGGCTGAGGAATTCTGGGAGTTGAAGTCCACAAGCCATGAAGGGGCCATAGTTCCCCCATGCTGGCTGAGGAATTCTGGGAGTTGAAGTCCACGAGTCATAAAAAAGCCAGGGTTGCCTACCCCCTTCCCTATACCATTTCAGTCAAATGAATCTCTTCTTAAAAGCCTCCAGTGTTGGAGCACCCACAGTTTTTGGAGGCAAGTCGTTCCACTAATTAATTGTTCCCACTTAGGAAACTACTCCTTAGTTCTAGGTTGCTTCTCTCCTTGATTAGTTTCCATCCATTTTTTTTCTTTTTCCTGCCTTCAGGTGCTTTGGAGAATAGCTTGACCCCCTCTTCTTTGTGGCAGCCCCTTAGATCTTAGAGCACTGCTATCATGTCCTCCCTCGTCCTTCTCTTCATTAGATTAGGCATACCCAATTCCATTTGAAGGAATGACTTTCCCGAAATTAGTAACATAACAGGCTTGCACCCTTCATGGAGGGAGCATTGTTTTCGTTGAATGGCCTCCAAATTGAATCCCAAGCAAATCAGATAAATGCTCTCCTTCACAGAGGTGATAACCAAGTTGTCTGAATGCTACTCAACCCAGCTGGAAAACATGAATGCTGAGATTCGTATCCGCTGGCTGCAGATCATCGTCCGCAACGATTACTATCCCGACCTTCATAAAGTCCGCCGCTTCTTGGAAAATCAGGTACCAGTTGTTGGGCAGAAAAGCTTCGTGCTGCTCAGGGTGTGAGATTGTGGGCAGGAAAGCAGGTGATACACAAAGGACACAGGAAACTCTGATGCTTGGACTTGGGAATAGATATTTGTCAGGGAATTGGGAGAACCGGTGTCCAAATGGAGTCAGAGACGCTGACAGGACACCAGTTTTATATAAATGTCTATGGAGATTCTCAGTCATCCTGATCATCGTTATCCGAAAGGTGTTTTTTTCATGAGGCAGCTGGACTTTCTTGTTGGGTTTTTGTTTTGTTTTTGTTTTTAATTTTATTTTATTTAAATACAAATAATACAAACATAACACACAGATCTAAATAAAAAACAATATAAAAAAATACAAATACTACAGCAGAGGTTCTCAACCTTGGCAATTTTAAGACTTGTGGACTTCAACTCCCAGCAAAGCTGGCTGAGGAATTCTGGGAGTTGAAGTCCACAAGTCTTAAAGTTGCCAAGGTTGAGAACCCCTGTACCACAGTGCACCCCCACCCCTGAGACCATTTTTATTATCTATATTTCTTCTCCTATAACAACTAACAATGTACAATATATTTCAACTGTGCCCTTATCCCCTCCAAAACAGCCTATATTCTTGAGCAGGTTTATTCCCTTTGCCTTCCACCAAAACTGTTTTTTATAAAATCAATCCCATATTTCATTATAATTATTTACTTTCATCGTCCCTTTTTAAAATTTAATTTCTCTTGTTAATTTATCATTTATTGCCATATTCCATATTTCATTATACCACTCATTTCTTTGAATAACCCAATTCCGTCTCCAATATTTAGCCATCACTAATCTAGCTACTATTATCAAATTTACAATCAATTCCTTTTTTTGCTTCATTTATATCTCGTTTTTCCACCAGTAACAGTAATGCAATCCTCGGTGACGTATCTAAATTTACCTTCAAAAGTTCTCTAATTTCCTTAAACACCATGCCCCATATCTTTTGTGCGCTGTCACAATCCCACCACATATGTTTATATATTCCAATCCCTTTCTCACACCTCCAGCAAATATTTGTATATTTAACATCTATTTGATTTAATTTACGTGGTGTTAGGTACCGCTTCCATAGCACTTTATATCCATTTTCCTTAACTTTTTTAACGTTTTGCTTCTCATCCCAGAAGCTTCTTCAGCTCTGACTGGAGGGTGGGGAATGGAAGGATTTATACTGCTTGCAGACAGCTGGTCATTTGCCTTCTTTCAGAGAGGCGTTGAGGCCACTTGGAGGTTTATCTGTGTCCTCAAAGGTCACCTGAGTGGCGCAAATGGGTGGGGAGCCTTGGAACCGCTGAAAGGGCTGTTGTAGACTGAACAACACCATCTATCTCAGGTCTACAACACAGTCCTTTCAGCAGTTTGGGGAGTATTTCTTTTCTGTTGAGCAGCTTGGGACAGCTGACAGTAATCTTTCTTGCCACAGTGGTTAAGTGAATCACTACAGTTGTTAAGTGGGTAACATGCTTAATTAAATGATTCCGGCTTCCCCATGGACTTGACTTGTCAGAAAGTCACCAAAAGGGATCACACGATCCTGGGACACTGCAACCGTCATAAATACAAGTCAGTTGCCAAGCATCTGAATGTTGACATCATATGAGCATGGAGATGCTCCAACAGTCAGTCATAAGTGACGTTGTAACTTGGAATGAGTCACTAAACCAGTGGTTCTCAACCTTTTTAATGCCGCAACCCCCCAACCGGTCGTAAGTCGAAGGCTACCCAACCGGTCGTAAGTCGAGGACTACTCAACCGGTCGTAAGTCGAGGACTTTCCCTGCCCGGGAGCGCCGCGCATGCGTGATGCCGCCCCCTGCGCCGGCTAAGGCGTAGCTGGCAAGCGGCAGAGATGGCGCAGGCCGACCACCGGCTGGGCCACCAGCTGGCCCAGCCCAAGGGAGGTAAGACACCCGCTGGGCCCCACACGCACCAGCAACCCTCCCTGCGCCTGCCGGCCTCCCACCTCCCACCCCTGGCCCTCTTTTACTTACATTTTTAGTAGTTGCTCAGCAGGGAGGGGTGGAAGCTTCCAGACAGCTCGCCTTCGCAGCAGACAACTTGCAGCACCGTTTGCAGACTGGGACTTTTGGCGGGCTCAGCAGGGCAAAGACAGCCCGGACAATTCCTATTGGCTTTGGAAAGCCAATAGAATTAGACTCTATTCAAGAGGGTCTATTCTATTGGCTTTCAAAAGCCAATAGAATAAAAGGGAGTAGCACAGCTAAAGAAAAGGGGGGAAAAATGGCGGACTGCGTTGTTTGGCGACCCCATGAAATGGTCATTTGACCCCAAATGGGGTCCCGACCCACAGGTTGAGAACCGCTGCACTAAACGAACTGTTGTAAACCAAAGTCTACTTGTATGCTTCCTGGCTTTTCCTTGGGGAGTTCTCCGCTAGGTGGCAGCAGAGAGATTTCTGGGGCCTAGCGGACATTATTGGACCACAGCCCAGCTAGGAAAGCCAGCTTTATGACTGATGGCTATGGCTGATAAGGAACTTTGGTTGGGAGTTTTAGGGGGGAAAAATCAGCCTTTGACTACTTAATCCAGGGGTCTTCAAACTTGGCCTTTTGATGACTCGTGGACTTCAACTCTCAGAATTCCTCAGCCAGCATGCACGCTGAGGAACTCTGGCAGTTGGAGTCCGCAAGTCATCAAAGGGCCAAGTTTGAAGACCCCTGTCTTAAATCTAACAAACAAAATGGAGGCTGGCTGAGGAATTCTGGGAGTTGAAGTCCACAAGTCATCAAAGGGCCAGGTTTGAAGACCCCTGTCTTAAATTTAACAAACAAAATGGAGGCTGGCTGAGGAATTCTGAAGTCCACAAGTCATCAAAGGGCCAGGTTTGAAGACCCTTGACTTAATCTATCCCTGGTCCCAGATTTCTGCTACTACGATGATCAATACGAGACTCTTGGGATGACCCCGGGCTCCTTCTGCTTGTATTATAGATGTCCCGGATGTACACAATTCCACTCTACGAGGACCTCTGCACTGGCACCCTCAAGTCCTTCGCCCTAGAGGTTTTTTTCCAGACCCAGACCCAGCTCCACCCAAACCTGAGGAAAACCATTCATCAGATCCTGACCCAGGGCTTGAACCCGCCGCTTCTTGCCACGACGGACATGGCTGCCATGGTGGTGGACCCTCCGCCCGCCGAGCTCGAGGACAGGGGTGCCCCGCACAATGCCGTTTCTCTCAGGGACGTCAATGTGTCTGCTTAGCTCTCCAGCTCACGCGGGATCTTGGAAGCTGGAAGAGCCAGCCAGAATGGCGAGCTAGGACTGCCCTCTGGCCCTTGGTGCCACTGCTGGGGGGGGGACGGCCAGAGGGGGGCTGGATTATTATTTTTTAAAAAAATTCCTCCCCACGTGTACATCGAGAGTCCTACGTGCCTTCAGGTGCCTGACACCCCCCCCCCCTTAGGCACAGCGAGATATCAGGGATGTATCTTTTTCTAACTCCACGCAGCGACCGGGAGCAAGCGACCGTTCGGCCTCGTTGCATCATGGATGTGGACATCAGATTGATTTTTGTGTCTGCCAACAAAAGCCGCATTTCCAGCACGCGATGAGTTTTTCCTTTGTCGCTCTCCATGCCTGGAAGGGGGCAGAACCTTCACCTGGTCCCAGGCCGTCCACGCACGAAGGAAAGAAAGGAAAAAACTGATCAGGATCATGGTAAATGTTGGAAGGGCGGGATTTGTCCCGTTATACGCCACGGCGCTCGTGACCCGGAATCCTAAAAAACGGAATGTTTTCTTCCAAGCAGCGTCCAGATTTCAGGAAACTGGTGTAAGTGGTTAAGGGTCAGGTATTAAAAAGAGATTGGGCTGAGGGTGTGCTTCTATAGAGATGGGGAGGGGGAGAAGCCAATCCTTGGGGCAGGGGGGTATGGTAGGAACATGGGTGTTAACAGTGCTTTGCTTTCCTTGGAGACCAGCAAGCGCAGTGGTTACAGTGTAGTAGGCACACTCTGCCCAACAGGGATGGGAAAGGCCTTGCAAGATTGCGCCGCGGACGTCAGTGGCCAATCACCAAATGCAGCACTGCGATGTCCTTTTCTTTCCACCAAGGTAAAAGAGGAGTGGTTAATTTTTTGCAAAAAAAAACAACAACCCAACAACACAAAAGCCTGTCCTGAGACTGCTGTAAGCATACTGACTTGTCTTCACATCCTTGCACATCCTTCACATCTGTGGATGGTGCCACTGGTGGTTTCCAGCCCCTTCGTCCAATTTTCCCTGCGCACACAAGCTCACACAACCTTTTTCGTGTGTTTTTACTAAAGCCAACTCTGGGATTTCTTTCTGTGTGTACCTCCCTCGTTCAAGAGTAATATTTATTCTCTGTACCCAGAAAAGATGTTCAGAAACCCCCCTTAGGTACCACTCTTGTGTCCAGCTCTGGCAGAGAGGGATGCCTGTCTCACTGCCTCCTATTTGGGGAAAACTGGTTCCAGAACCACCACGGTGCTTAAATTCTCTGTCTCCAGCCCCCTTCCTTCGTTCCCCCCGAAATATATTTTCCACCTGGAGAGACTTGGGGCTTCAGACAAAAGGAGGAGAAGCAATAACGAAGTCAGACTCCAAAGTTGCTTGACTTGGGCTGCGATCATTTGGCATAGCGGCTCTGGGATCCCTCCGTTATTTGGCAACGCCCGGGGCTCCTGTCTCCCCAGAAGCACCTTCCGCTTTTAAGGTGTTTGATTGGCAGCACTTTTGACACCCGCTCCAGTCCGGCCGATAGACCGCAACCACTACACACTCTGTTATCCTGCATTTTTATTTTTTTTTTCTTCCAGGAGAATGTATGCAACCAGGGTGGAAATCCCTTGGAGATGTACCTGGATGCCTTACAATAACATCACTTATAAATGTTGAATTAAACTAAAGTTTGTGACTTGGGGAGGTTTCGTAATTTTCTCCCCCCCACCCCCCCACCCCCTGGCCATTGATGGTATCCCTAGGACAGTGATGGTGAACCTTTTAGAGACCGAGTGCCCAAAAACTGGCCTTGCCCCGTTCCACCCCCCCTGCCCTACCCCCGCTCTGCCCCCCCACCCCACCTGCCCGCAGGGCCACTCACCGCCTCCAGGGCCCGCCGCAGATCGCCCAGGCAGCCCAGCAGCACCATGGCGGCCACGCCCTCTGCCCGCGCCCCACAGCATCAACTGTGCGCGATGGGCTGTGAGGGCAAAGTCTTGTCTACGCTGCCTGGCTGCCGTGTCCTTGGCTGTGCTGCTCTGTGTGGGCCATGCTCGGGGGCGACTCTCCTCCAGGGGGGCTACTGGTGAGAAGGGGGTCATGGGGGGAGATGAGGCTGGGGCAATAGCACGTGTGCCCACAGAGAGGGCTCTGGCACCCGTGCCATAGGTTCGCCACCACTGCCCTAGGATATGACAAATAGTTTTCGACATACGATCGCAATCAAGCCCAAGCTTTCTGTTGCTAAGCAAGACGAGCTTTGCCCCATTTTACAACCTTTCTTGCCGACGTTAAGTGAATCGCTGCAGTTAAGTTAGTAACCCAGTTGTTAAGTGAATCTGGATTCCCCCATTGACTTTGCTTGTCAGAAGATTGCAAAAAGGGGATCCCACGACGGTCATAAGTTGCCGAAACTGAGCTGCTGCATCCGAGCACACAGAAAGGGTGGGGCTTTGTGTGGCAGCCATCTTGACTTTTGTGACCTCCCATGGGCAGACCCGACACCATATTTGGAAAACTCATTGTGTGACATCTGGTTTTTTTTTCCAACTGCTGTTTCAAAGCAAGCTTTTTAGTAGATTTTTTTCACATGACAATACAGTACACTAGACATGTCAAACTCGCGACGTCGCGCGACGTCTCGGAGCTTTTTCCCCCACTGCCGGCAATGGGGTGGACGCAGTTTCCTGGTGATGCGTCTGGCCCGCAGGGCGGCAGTTTGACACCCCTGCAGTACACAGTGCACATCAGTTGAGGTGTATCCCTGCCTTTGTATCCCAAAAATTTGGATCACCATCATGTAAAGGACCCCAACCACCGTTTGAGGTTAAGCTTCGCCTTCCTTACTGTCACATTTAATTTTGTTGTGAGTTATACAATGACAGTAAAGGTGTTCTCTTGTCACCAGTGTTGAGTGACACCAAATGAGGCGCTAAATCGCTGAGGTGGAAAGGCAGGGCCTGTCAATGACACATTCCCTGTAGACTGATTTTTGTGAGAACCTCTAGTTAAGAGCTTGAACCTCTGGAAAGTGGGAAGCCCAGGTAATGCGTGCACCTGAAAAGGTAAGGGGGAGCAGAAGGAAGAGCATTGATCCACGGAGAGGGGCTATGTGCCCGGTTGCATGCCTGCGTCTTCCCCAATACAGGGAGTCCTCAGCTTACGAGCACAATTGAGCCCAAAATTGTACCTTAGTGAGAAATGTGTGAATTGATTGTTGCCCCATTTTACGACTTTCCTTGCCACGCTCGTGAAGTGAATCACTGCAGTTAAATTAGCGACACCATGGTTAAGTGACTCTGGCTTCCCCATTTGACTTGGCTCGTCAGGAGGGGATCACGTGACCCCGGGACACTGCGACCGTCGTAAATACAAAACAGTTGTCAAGCATCCAAATGTAAATCGCCCGCAGCAGAGGTCGTAAGTGCGGAAAATGGTCATAAGTCACTTTTTCAAGCGCCGTAACTTTGGTCACTAAACAAACTGTTAAGGTAAGGACTACCTGTACTAACATACCTTAGAACAGTGTTTCTCAACCTTGACAATTTTAAGGCATGTGGACTTCAACTCCCAGAATTCCACAGCCAGCATTGCTGGCTGTGGAATTCTGGGAGTTGAAGTCCTCATGCCTTAAAATTGTCAAGGTTGAGAAACACTGCCTTAGAAGATTCTCTGTTCTTAACAAACCTCCCTTCAGAACAGTGTTTCTCATACTCGGCAACTTCGTGATATATAGACTTTGCCTGCCAAATGCGGAGATTCTCAATTGCCCAAGTCATAGTTTGTCCCAAAGATGCTTTTTCAGGAGACGACTGGATTTCCATTGTTATTTTTTTTGAAGATGTTTTGCTTCTCATCCCAGAAGCTTCTTCAGCGCTGACAGAATGGTGGGGAATGGAAGGATTTATACGCCTTGCAGACAGCTGGTCATTTGCCTTTTAGAGAGTCGTTGAGGCCACCTGGAAGTTTTATCTGTGTCCTCAGGATCACCTGAGTGGTGCAAATGGGTGTGGAGCCTTATTGGCACTGTCAAAGGACTCTGTTGTAGACTGGAGATAGGTGGTATCGTATTCCTCCACCTCAACATAGATGACCTCCAAGTGGCCTCAACGACTCTCTAAAAGAATGCAAATGACCAGCTGTCTGCAAGGAGTATAAATCCTTCCATTTCCCCACCATCCAGTCAGAGCTGAAGAAGCTTCTGGAATGAGAAGCGAAACGTCTTCAAAGAAAAAGCAAGAAGGTCCAGTTGCCTCCTGAAAAAAGCACTTTTGGGACGTCGACTGCTAGAGTTCTCAGCTAGCACAGAGTTGAAGTCCACACATCTTAAAAGTTGCCGAGTTCGAGGAAGCCTGCTTTAGAAGCATTCTTGCAAAAATAATGAAACTTTGCCCGGAAACAATTTCTCGAGAAATCTACAATACGGGTAGGCCTCGTGTTACGGCCACAATCGGGGTCAGAATTTCCACTGCTAAGCAAGGCAGTTAATTGAACCCGTTACTTACTTTTAAAAGTTTTTCACCGAAGTTGTTAAGCGGATCAGTGCAATTATTAATTGATGCAGTCATTAAGTGAATCTAGCTTGCCTGATTGTCAGAAGCTGGCTGGGAAGATTACAAATGGTGATCAGTAGATCAAGGGACAATGCAACACCATCAAAAAGACGATACTGGTTGCCAGGCACCCAAATTTAGATCCTGTGACCATGGGGATGTTGCAACAGTGGCAAAACTGGTCATGTGATTTTTTTTCTACACACCTATATATGTGTGGGTGTATATATATATGTATATATGTGTATATCTGTATGTGTATATGTGTATATATATATACATATACATATATATATATATACACACACATACACACACACACACACAAAACCACATATAAAAGTATAGAGTTGAAAACTGGCCAACACCTGGCTTCAAGGAAAATTCAGGAGCAACTGGTGGGGATCGCCACGTGCGAACTAGAAAAAGCAGGAACGGAGGTTGAGACACGGACACCGCCTGCGCCTGCGCACTACGCCCGAATTCAGCCCCTGCAAAGCAAGCGGGGAGGCGGGCTCCTAGGGGCTGCTGGGAGATGTAGTTCTTTTCCTTCGGCAAAGGACGCTGGGGGCCTGGGAGGCTCCTTGCTCCCGCTGCATGCTGGGAACGGTAGTTTCCTTAGTCCCCCAAGGTGGTGCCTTGGACAGATGCGCGTCCGGTGTTTGAGCTCGGCGGCGGCGGCGGCATCCGAGGCTCGGCCGCGGGGCTGGCGCGGATCGGGCCGGCTGGAGAGAGGCGACTCCTCTGGCGCGATTTGGGAAAAAGGTGGGCGTGGGGATGGGGAGGGGGCCGCCAGCTTTGTCTGCCCGTGAAGCTGGAGAGGAGGGAGAAGGGTTACGGGGAAGGGAGGGGTCGAATGAGATGCACGCAGGAGCTTCAGAAGTCGGGGAAGATGCGGGTCCCTAAGAGAGCCTCCTTGCCTAGGAGCAGTCTATCCCTATGGGATGGTGGGATACAACCCTGCCGGGTTCATTCCGTCCCCGTAGCAGAGACGGGATGCGGACCGGAGGGGCCTCGGCCACGATCAGCAGCAGGAGCGCTTGTGACCAAACAGCCCAAGGAAATAACAGAGTAACAGAATAACAAGAGTTAAAAGGGACCTTGGAGGTCTTCTAGTCTAACCCCTTGCTCAGACAGCAGACCCTATACCAGGGGTAGGCAACCTTGGCTCTTTTATGACTCGTGGACTTCTACTCCCAGAATTCCTGAGCCAGCATAGCTGGCTCATGAATTCTGGGAGTTGAAGTCCACGAGTCATAAAAGAGCCAAGGTTGCCTACCCCTGCCCTATACCATTTCAGACAAATGGCTGTCCAGTCTCTTCTTCAAAACTTCCAGTGTTGGAGCGCTCACAGTTTCTGGTTGCAAGTAGTTCCACCGATTAATTGTTCTCACTGTCAGGAAATTTCTCCTTAGGTGGCTTCTCTCCTGGATTGGTTTCCATCTGTTGCTTCTTGTCCTGCCTTCAGGCACCTTGGAGAATAGCTTGACTCCCTCTTCTTTGGGGCAGCCCCTGAGATATTGGAACATGACTATCATGTCAACCCTGGTCCTTCTTTTCATTCAACTAGACGTACCCAATTCCAGCAACTAAATCTGGCTTCTGATTCTGCAGTACAGGGCAGGTTTTCTGCCAGACCCCGGGAAGGAACAGGGCACCTGTGGCCATAGCGGTATGGGTCTTGGTTCATAAATGGCCCAGGTGGCTGCAAGACAGCCTCAGATTTTGAGTTGAGTTGACCCAGCGGTACGGCTTGCCTTCAAGAGTTGTGGGAGCTCCAAAACTGGAGATTCTTAAGAAGAGATCGGACAATGACTTGTCTGAAGTGGTATAGGGTCTCCTGCTTGAGCAAGGGGTTGGACTAGAACAGAGGTCTCCAACCTTTTGGGCACCAGGGACCGGTTCCGTGCAGAAAGGTTTTTCCGCGGACCGGAGGGTGTGTGGTTTTGTGTGCTGCCTGGATGGGGCTTTGCTTGTTTGTGCGGACCAGTTGCTGGCATGCTGCGGATCGGTACCGGTCCATGGACCGGGGGCTGGGGGCCCCTGGACTAGATGACCTTCAAGGTCTCTTCCAACTCTGCTATTCTGTTATTCAGTTGGCTGCTCTGTCCCTGAAGTTGTGAGTCACCAGCTGTGGCTGTGGCTGCATTCCCACCATCATGGGTTTGGCTAGGTCGCTTAAAGATCTGGGAGCCACGTTGGCAGAACATGCACAGTTTGATGATGATCACAACTCCAGCTATTCCTCTCCACAACCAGCCTTTGATTGCTTATGAATTGTGTTTTATCTGTCACCTTTTCTATCTGCTCTATTTGTCGATTAATTAGGATGTAGCTGGGGCGTCCGGAGAGTTTAGCAACTACAGCTGATGAAAAGCGAGGACCGACATGGTAAGCAAATTAGCTGACCTGTATGTATTATTAGAGGATGCAATTAAACCAGTGTAATCTTCAGTGCAGAAGTGAAAAAGCACACGATCCACCTTGGATTAAAACCTAAAATAAATCTGCAGTTTTAAAGGCAATGTCAAGATCATGGTTTACCACCCCGTTTAAATACAAGTAGTTCTCGATTTACAACCACAACTGAGCCCAAAATTTCCGTTGCTAAGTGAGAGTGAGTTTTGCCCCATGGTACGACTTTTCTTTCCACCGTTGTTAAGTGAATCACTGCAGTTGTTAAGTTAGTCACATGGTGGTTAAGTAAATTTATTTATTTATTTATTTATGAGACTTATATACCGCTTTAAGTGCAAGCACTCTCTAAGCGGTGTACACCAGTAAGCAATGTATATATATATTTACATTGCCCCCAACAATCTGGGTCCTCATTTTACCTACCCCAGAAGGATGGAAGGCTGAGTCAACCTTGAGCCGGTGAGATTTGAACCGCTGACCTGCTGAACACAGTCAGCTACAGTGGCCTGCAGTACTGCACTCTGGCTTCCCCATTGACTTTCCTTGTCCGAAGGTTGCAAAAGGGGATCACGTGACCCCAGCACACTGACCGTCATAAGTATGAGCCAGTTGCCAAGCAGCTGATCACGTGACCATGGAGATGCTGCAATGGCTGTAAATGTGAAAAAAGGTTATAAATTACTTTTTTCAGCGCCATTGTTAAGTTTGGTCACGAAACGGACTGTTGCAAGTTGAGAATTACCTGTTTGCTAGAAGGCTTTTGTTAGAGCAGACCAGATTTTTATTTTTAACAAACCAACCAGCCATATTTGTGATGTCACTTTGAAACGAGATGGGCCGCAAATAAATTTAATAAATAAGTTCACATGGAGTTTGTTTCTAATTTAGGTGGGAACAAGGTGCCTTGAACCTGAAAAGTCAGTTTAGGTGCAGGGGTCTTTAAACTTGGCCCTTTTATGACTTGTGGATTTCAACGCCCAGAATTCCTCAGCCAGCCTCCATTTTGTTTGTTAGATTTAAGACAGGGGTCTTCAAACTTGGCCCTTTTATGACTTGTGGACTTCAACGCCCAGAATTCCTCAGCCAGCCTCCATTTTGTTTGTTAGATTTAAGACAGGGGTCTTCAAACTTGGCCCTTTTATGACTTGTGGACTTCGATTCTCAGAATTCCTCAGCCAGCCTCCATTTTGTTGTTAGATTTAAGCCAGGGATCTTCAAACTTGGCCCCTTCATGACTTGAGGACTTCAACTCAGCATGCCTGGCTGAGGAATTCTGGGAGTTGAAGTCCACAAGTCATAAAAGGGCCAAGTTTGAAGACCCCTGGCTTAGTGCAATGTTTCTTAAACTTGGCCATTTTAAGATGGGAGGACTTCAATTCCTAGAAGCCCCCATTGTTGGTTGACAATACTTAGTTTGAGAAATGTTGATTTTGAGGCCAGGCCCACCACCACCGATAGGCCTCTTTTCTGAAACATCTCTCGTCTTGTGGTGTGGAATTGTGCAGCTTAATTCTTTTGAATGATATTTTTCCTTAAATATCACCGGTACTAAGTATGGCTATTTCAAGGTTGGCCTTCTCTTTGAAATTGCATCCTCCTTTTTTCCTCTGTCCTTTATAAATTATCCTATGCTTTGTTCGGTTAAAAAAAAAAGCACATTTTAAATATGTAGAGAAGAAGAAAAATGAAATATAACTGCAGGTTCTCATCTTTTTTTCACCCCTATTCTATGTTGGCTTATTCAAAAACTCTCTCCTTCTCCCTTTGCTGCTCTCTTTGGCTTTTTTCCAGCTGTGCCTCCTTTCTTCAAAGCCGCCATTTTAAAGCGGTTTCTCTCTCCTGGCCTGTTTTGCAGATTTAAGTCAGATCCCCATTGCCTCTGATGGGGCTGCAGGTCCTTGCAGATTTGTAAAAGATGCTGGGAGTCGGGATCTCGGCAGATCGGAAAGGAGACTTGTACAAGGACTTGGCGTTTCCGGCTAGTGACGATTCTCTGTTTTTCAACTGTTCTACTCCGTTGGCTCAGTTCAAAGGAGAAATTTATTGGCTGAGACCCCAGGTTTGTTTTTGAAAGTCAGGGTGGGTGAAAGTAGCGCTTTCCTATCTAGACAGCTGTCCAAAAGCAGATTTCCATATTTTAGAAAGCAGAAATGAGATGCACGCCTGCAAAGACCTTCCCATATATAGGTAGTCCTTGATTTAGGACAGGGGTCCTAGCGCCACAATGGAGCCCATGATTTCTGTTGCTAAGTAGACGGTTGTTAAGTGAATTTTGCCCCATTAATAATAATAATAAAGTTGAAAGGGACCTTGGAGGTCCTCTAGTCCAACCCCCTGCTCAGGCAGGAAACCCTATACCAGGGGTAGGCAACTTGGCTCTTTTATGACTTGTGGACTTCAACTCCCAGAATTCCTGAGCCTGCATGGGGGAACTATGGCCCCTTCATGACTTGAGGACTTCAATTCCCAGAATTCTTGAGCCAGCATGGGGGAAATATAGCCCCTTCATGACTCGTGGACTTCAACTCCCAGAATTCCTGAGCCAGCATGGGGAAACTATGGCCCCCTCATGACTCGTGGACTTCTACTCCCAGAATTCCTGAGCCAGCATAGGGGAACTATGGCCCCTTCATGACTCGAGGACTTCAACTCCCAGAATTCCTGAGCCTGCATGGGGGAACTATGGCCCCTTCATGACTTGAGGACTTCAATTCCCAGAATTCTTGAGCCAGCATGGGGGAAATATAGCCCCTTCATGACTCGTGGACTTCAACTCCCAGAATTCCTGAGCCAGCATGGGGAAACTATGGCCCCCTCATGACTCGTGGACTTCTACTCCCAGAATTCCTGAGCCAGCATGGGGGAACTATGGCCCCTTCATGACTTGAGGACTTCAGCTCCCAGAATTCCTGAGCCAGCATGGGGGAACTATGGCCCCTTCATGACTCGAGGACTTCAACTCCCAGAATTCCTGAGCCAGCATGGGGGAACTATGGCCCCTTCATGACTCGAGGACTTCAACTCCCAGAATTCCTGAGCCAGCATGGGGGAACTATGGCCCCTTCATGACTCGAGGACTTCAATTCCCAGAATTCTTGAGCCAGCATGGGGGAAATATAGCCCCTTCATGACTCGTGGACTTCAACTCCCAGAATTCCTGAGCCAGCATGGGGGAACTATGGCCCCTTCATGACTCGAGGACTTCAACTCCCAGAATTCCTGAGCCAGCATGGGGGAACTATGGCCCTTTCATGACTCGTGGACTTCAACTCCCAGAATTCCTGAGCCAGCATGGGGGAACTATGACCCCTTCATGACTCGTTCAACTCCCAGAATTCCTGAGCCAGCATGGGGGAACTATGGCCCTTTCATGACTCGTGGACTTCAACTCCCAGAATTCCTGAGCCAGCATGGGGGAACTATGACCCCTTCATGACTCGTGGACTTCAACTCCCAGAATTCCTGAGTTAGCCTGGCTCAGCTTGGAAACCTCTCCCCTTCCCCTCAGCGTGGCTGGCTCAGGAATTCTGGGAGTTGGAGTCCACGAGTCATAAAAGACCCCAGGTTGCCTGCCCCTGCCTTATAGCATTTTGGACCTTTCTTCCCACAGTTGTTAAGGGAATTGCTGTGGTTGCTCCGTTAGTTACACGGTCGTTAAGCGAATCTGCCTTCCCCGTCGACTTTGTTTATAAGAAGGTTGCAAAAAGGGATGGCACGACCTCAGGACATTGCAACCATCATAAGTACGAGTCAGTTGCCAAACGTCTGAATTTGGGTCACATGACCACGGGGGGAGGCCGCAACAGTCGTCAGTGTGAAAAATGGTCATAAGTCACTTTTTTCAGGGCCGTGGTGACTTCGAACGGTCACTAAATGAACTACTGTAAAAAGGGAAGTTTGCCTGTAAAGCAGAAAATCTTCAGGGGAATTCTAAGTGCGTTTGATTGAACATGGTGATAACCTTACTATTTACCAGAATTCAATCTTCCTAGAATTTCCAGCTCAGGAAATTCCCCATCTCCATTGTAGACATTTATAAACAACTTTCTCTCCAGCTGGAATGCTAGATCCATCTTGGTTCCCACCGTCATGCTTTTACTGGGCTAGTTTCTTGTTTTAATAGTTTGATAGTTCAACTGCGTACATACATCTTCACCTCTTGGTCAGCTTTTTTTTAAAAAAAAAAACGCACATTGGATGATGAAAATACTCTGAGAACGCAGTTGTGGGAGATGAATGCCATTGTTATTTCATCTCTTTATTTATAAAATGTATGGGCTGCCCCATTCTAAAGAGACAATGAGTGGTGTATATAAAAACAATAGTGCAGAAGTCAGGGCAGTGTAACAATACAATAAAAACCAATCTTTCTTTGCACCATTAATAACTGTCGATCAGTGGTTTTCAACCTGTGGGTCGGGACCCCATTTGGGGTCGAACGACCATTTCACGGGGGTCGCCAAACAACGCAGTCCGCCATTTTTTCCCCCTTTTCCTTAGCTGTGCTACTCCCTTTTATTCTATTGGCTTTTGAAAGCCAATAGAATAGACTCTCTTGAATAGAGTCTAATTCTATTGGCTTTCAAAAGCCAATAGGAATTGTCCAGGCTGTCTCTGCCCTGCTGAGCCCGCCAAAAGTCCCATTCTGCAAACGGTGCTGTTGCACCAGTTGAGTAGTCCTGGACTTATGACCGGCTGAGTAGTCCTCGACTTACGACCGGTTGGGGGTCGCGGCATTAAAAAGGTTGAGAACCACTGTTCTAGATTTAGAGTCCCTGGGAGTCAGGTGCCATATAAATTTAGGAAGGATGAAAGAGGGGAAGGGAGGAGAGGGTCAGAGGGAGGAAAGGAGGGGAGGAAGAGATGGAGGGAGGGAAGGAAAGAAGGAATGGGAGGGAGGGAGAGAAGAGAGGGAGGGGAGGAATGGTGGGAAGGAAGGAATGGGAGGGAGGGAGAGCTGGAGGGAAGGAAGGAAGGAATGGGAGGGATGGAGGGAGGAAGGGAAAAGGGAGGGAGGGGATGGAGGGAGGGAGAAAGGGATGGAGGGAGAAAAGGAGGGGAAGAAGAGATGGAAGGAAGGAATGGGAGGGAGGAAGGAAGGAAGGAGAGGGAGGAAGGAAGGAATGGGAGGGAGGGAGGAAGGAAGGAAGGAGAGGGAGGAAGGAAGGGAGGGAGAGCTGGAGGGAAGGAAGGAATGGGAGGGATGGAGGGAAGAAGGGAAGAGAGGGAGGGAGGGGAGGGAGGGAGGGAGGAGGCAGGGAGGGAGGAGAGGGACGGAGGGAGGAAGATATGGAAGGGAATGGGAGGGAGGGAGGGAGGAAGGAAGGAGAGGGAGAAAGGGAGGGGAGGGAGAGATGGAAAGAAGGAAAGGGAGGGCGGGTGGGAGGGAGGAAGGAAGGGAGGAAGAATATTGCAAACCTAGCGCGTTTCCTTTCTAAAGTCCCTTCTTCTCCCCCATCAGGAGATCTGCTCTTCACCTCGATTATTTTCAGACAATCAACATGAATGGCAGGTCAAGCAAGGCATGCTGGGGGATTGCTGGTTTCTCTGTGCCTGCGCCGCTCTGCAGAAAAATAAATACCTGCTAACCAAGGTAAAGACTCTCCCGCCACACGGGGTGCACGTCACTCAGAAGGCGAGATCTCTGAGCGAAACCTATTGCATCCATTCCGTTTTATTTCGCCGTCACAAAACCTGCCTCCCTGCACCCGAGGCCTCGCCGAAGCCGCAGCTACGCAACCAAGCGAAACAATTCAAATTAAGCGAAAGCGTGCATTCCCTGGAAGATTTCTGGAGCTGGAGCAGGAGGAGAATGTTTTGGGGGGAAAACATCCTCCTCCCTGGATCCTGCTCTATGTGCATTTTCAAAGGCCCTCTGCCCTCCCTAAGGACTAGAACCTTGGGATATTCAGAAAGGTTGGATGGCGTAGGAGACTGATGGCTGTTTCGACCAATAGTCTTCGTGCCAACGAGCGGTTTCTTCTCTTATCCCAGGTTATCCCTCCAGGTCAGCCCAGCTGGAAGGATGAGAAATACCGAGGATGTTTCACCTGTCGCATCTGGCAGTTTGGCCACTGGGTGGAGGTGACCATCGACGACCGGCTGCCTTGTCTGGGGGGCAAGCTCTGTTTCTCGCAGTGCCAGACGGAAGGCGTCTTTTGGCTCCCCCTGCTGGAGAAAGCTTACGCCAAGTACGTGTGATAATAATAGTAGTAGCAGTAGTAGTAGTAGTAATAATAATAATAATAATAATTTAAAATGATAAAATTAAACTGCTCTGGGACTTCAGAATTCAAACAGACAAGCACCTGCAACATAACACCCCAGACTTAACAATTGTCGATAAGAAAGACAAAAAAGTCTGGATAGTGGACGTGGCAGTGCCTGGAGATAGCAGAATAGAAGAGAAAGAACTGGAGAAGATCACAAAATACAAAGACCTACAAATAGAAATAGAAAGACTGTGGCAAAAGCAAGCAAGGGTAGTACCAATAGTCATAGGCTCCTTGGGTGCAATCCCAAAACAACTGGAGCACCACTTGAACACCATTGGCATTGACAAATTCGCTATTAGTCAATTGCAAAAGGCGGCCTCACTAGGAACTGCTTCCATCCTGCGACGATATCTGTAATACCATCAAACATCCACATCTGCCTATCCCAGGTCCTGGGTAAGGACTCGATAGGTAGACAAAATGCCAAATCCAGTCTGAACATCTGGCTGATTGTGCGATGATCCATAATAATAATAATAAAGTTGGAAGGGACCTTGGAGGTCATCGAGTCCAACCCCCTGCTCAGGCAGGAAACCTTATACCATTTCAGACAAATGGCTGTCCAGTCTCTTCTTAAAAGCTTCCAGTGTTGGAGCATTCCCCTCTTCTGGAGGCAGGTTGTTCCACTGGTTAATTGTTCTAACTGTCAGGAAGTTTCTCCTTAGTTCCAGGTTGCTTCTTTCCTTGATGAGTTTCCATCTTCATTCCGATCACAGTTAGTCCTTGCTTTACGACCAACAGCTGAGCCTGAATTTTCCTTTGCTAAGCAAGACAGCCATTAAGCTTGCATGCTCAGGGGGTTGGAATAGAATAGGGCTTTTCAATCTTTTCACCCGTTGTACCACTTTTAGGATATGGCAGTATCCGAGTACCACCAGTCGCCTAGCAAGGTGTCAAAAACTTGGTGACCCCCCCCCCAAAAAAAGAAGGAAAAAAGTGATAAAGTACAGGTAGTCCTCGACTTACAACAGTTCGCTTAGTGACTGTTTGAAGTTACAATGGCACTGAAAAAAGTGCCCCCCAAGCCACAGCCGAGCAAGACACCTGCCTGCCCGCCCGGCGGCGCTCTTCCTCCTGTCCGAGGTTTTCATTGTTGTGAGCATTTCTGTTGAGGATTGGCAGCGGGGGTGGGGTGGGGGGTGTTTGGTTTTTATTCCCCCCCCCCCCCGTCTGCCGGGTGGTTGCAGCAGGTTTTGGTCACTTCCCATGACCCTGGGACACTGTGACCGTCATAAATATGAATCAGTTGCCAAGCATCTGAAAGTAAATCACAAGACCCTGGAGAGGCTGCAACATTCCAGCTGATCGGCACTTCTTCGGGGCTCAGCAGAAGTGCCAGGATCAGTGCTGCTTTCCAGCTGATTGGTGCTTCTTTGGGGCTCAGCAGAAGCGCCAGGATCAGTGCTGAGCTCCAGCTGGAGCCTGGCGCTGATCCTGGCGCTTCCGCTGAGCCCTGACAGCCCTGCAGCTCCAGCCGTCTCTCGCTCAGGCTTGTGCGATGCTGCCACCGGTTCAGCTCATTCCCCTCCCCCGCTACCACTTTTCTAGGATGGTCACGTACCACCTGCCAGGTGCCAATGTACCACAGGTGGTACTCGTACCACTGGTTGAAAAGCCCTGGACTAATTGACCTCCCAGGCCTTTCACAGCTCTATTCGGATGGATGGATGGATTTTTCTGACTTTTTTTTTAACCGCAGTTGTTAAGTGAATCGCTGCAGTGGTGAGGTTAGTAACACGGTCGTTAAGTGAATCTGACTCCCCCCCATTGACTTTGCTCGCCAGAAGCTGAGCACCGTTGCCGTAACTGGCTTTGTGACCGTTGTAGCGTCCCTGGGGGGGGTGGTGTCGTGCGATCGCCATTTGTGACCTTATGACGAGCAAAGTCAACGGGGGAAGCCGGGTTCGCTTAACAGCTGGGTTCCTCACTTAACGACTGCAGGGATTCCCCGAACCACTGTGGCAAGAAAGGTCATGACATGGGGCAAAGCTCACATCGCAAGTGTCCCGCTTTAGCCACAGAAATCTTGGCCTCAATTGTCGTCGTAAGTCGAGGACTCTCTGTACAGCCCGAGAAAGGAGGGAAAGTCCCTTTTGAGCTTCTTCATCCCTGCTCTGGGCTACACTGAGAGCCGTGGAGGCGCAGTGGTTAGAACGCAGCGTTGCAGGCTGACTCTCTGCCCATTGCCAGGAGTTCGATCCTGACCGGCTCAAGGTCGACTCAGCCTTCCATCCTTCCCAGGTCTGTAAAATGAGGACCCAGATTGTTCTGGGGGGGGGAGCGGCATATGCAAGTAATGCAAGTAATGCTGACATTGTAAACTGCTCAGAGAGTGCTGTAAAGCACCGTGGAGCGGTGTATCAGTGCTATTGGTATTGCCCTTCCTTCCTTCCTTCCTTCCTTCCTTCCTTCCTTCCTTCCTTCCTTCCTTCCTTCCTTCCTTCCTTCCTTCCTCCATCCATCTATCCATCCATCCCTGCCTCCCTCTCTCCTCCCTCCCTCCATTCCTCCCTCCTTCCCTGCCTCCCTCCTTCCTTCCCCCTCCCTCCCTCCCCTTCCTCCTTCCGTCCCTGCCTCCCTCTCTCCTTCTTCCCTCCCCCCTTCCTGCCTCCCTCCCCGGTTCCTTCCTCCCTCCCTCCCTCTCCCTTCCTTCCTTCTTTCCACCCTCCCTCCCTCCTTCCCTCCCTCCTTCCTTCCTTCCCCCTCCCTCCCTCCCCTTCCTCCCTCCGTCCCTGCCTCCCTCTCTCCTTCTTCCCTCCCTCCCCCCTTCCTGCCTCCCTCCCCGGTTCCTTCCTCCCTCCCTCCCTCCCTCTCCCTTCCTTCTTTCCACCCTCCCTCCCTCCTTCCCTCCCTCCTTCCTTCCTCCCCCTCCCTCCCTCCCCTTCCTTCCTCCTTCCTCCCTCCCTCCCACCCTGCCTCCCTCCTTCCCTCCCTCCTCCTCCCTCCCTTTCCCTCCCCCCTCCCTCCCTCCCTCCCTCCCTTCCTTCTTCCCAGTGGTTAGAATGCAGTATTGCAGGCTAATTTGCTGCCCACTGCCAGCAGTTCGATCCAAACCCGCTCCAGGTTGACTCAGCTTTCCATCCTCCCGAGGTTGGTAAAATGAGGACCCAGATTGTTGGGGGCAAGAGGCTGACTTTGCAAACCGCTTAGAGCAGGGGTCCCCAGTCCCCGGTCGGTGGACCGGTATTGGGCCGCGGCATGCCTGCAACCGGTCCGCACAAACAAGCAAAGCCCCACCCGCGGGATGCAGGCAGCACACAAAAACCATGCACTTTCCGGTCTGTGGAAAAACCTCCCTCCACGGAACTGGTTCCTGATGCCCCCAAAGTTGGGGACCTCTGGCTTAGAGAGTACCGTAAAGCACTGTGAAGCAGTATAGAAATCTAAGTGCTATTGCTGTGATTTTTTTTCCCCCTTGGCTGCATCTCTTTGTCTCCCGTCTCCCAAGGTCATCCCCACATACCGTGACAACAGGTGTTCGGCTCTTTCTGCTTTCAGGGTTCACGGATCTTACGAGCAGCTCTGGGCAGGCCAGGTTGCCGATGCCTTAGTTGACCTGACCGGAGGCCTTGCAGAACGCTGGTCGCTCAAAGACCTGAGCCAAAACCCAGAACGCGAGCGGGCCGGCAAAGTCCTGGAGAAAACCGTGTTCAGACGGTTCATGGACCTGAAGGAGAAAAGTGTCATGAGCTGTTCCGTCTTCAGTTCACGGCAAGGTAGGGGAAGGGGAGAATTTTACACAGCCGCTTCCGTCTCATCGTTCTCCCGTGGGAAGGTTTCATTCCGTAAACTGTCTCTAATTTCCCTCAACCATTAACACAATACACCCCTGACTTAGAAATAATAATAATAATAATAATAATAATAATATTTCAAGGAGATTCATTATCACCATTACTATTTTTTTATTGCACTGTTTCCTCTGTCAACAATACTGAATAACTCAGGACATGGCTATCAAACATCAAAAACATCTGCTAGACTATCCCACCTCCTTTACATGGAGGATCTGAAGCTGTATGGAAAAACATCATCTGAAATAGAATCGCTGCTCAACACTGTCCGTATATATAGCCAAGATATTGTGATGGAGTTTGGCTTGGACAAATGTGCCACACTTACTATCAAACAAGGAAAAATAATGAAAACTGAAGGAATCAAGATGCCCCACGAAAATAACATTAAGAGTCTGGATTAGGAAGAGTACTACAAATACTTGGGTATCCTTCAAGCTGACAACATCAAGCACACTGAAGTCAAGAACAAGATTAGAGGTGAATACATCAAGAGAGTGAAGAAGATCTTAAAGTCCAAACTCAATGGAGGAAATACCATAAAGGCAATCAACACCTGGGCAATTCCAGTCATTAGGTACACAGCTGAATAGTGGACTGGACTCAAGCAGAACTAAAAGCAATGGATAGGAAGACCAGAAAAATAATGACAATGAATCATGCCCTTCATCCACGCAGTGACATTGATAGACTTATCTACCAAGGCAAATAGGTGGGCGTGGAATGCTACAAGTACATCAGATGGTTGAAGAAGAAAAAATTGCTTTGGAAGAATATCTGAAGAACAATGATGAAGATGCACTGAAATTAGTATATCAGGAAGGCTTACTAACTACTGGAGAGACCAAACTGGCCTACAAGAAAGACCAAATGAAGAACAGAATAGACGCATGGGAAGACAAAGCACTACATGGCCAATACATGAAAAAAATAGCTGGGAAAGCAGATAATAATAAAACCTGGCAATGGCTAAGAGCAGGACAATTGAAGAAAGAGACCGAGGGACTAATTCTGGCTGCACAAGACCAAGCCTTAAGGACAAATGCATACAAAGTCAAAATTGAGAAGACAGCAACAGACAGTACGTGCCGCCTATGCAAAGAAGCTGAAGAAACAGTGGACCACTTGGTAAGCTGTTGCAAGAAGATTGCACAAACTGATTACAAGCAGCGGCATGACAAAGTAGCAACAATGGTGCATTGGAAGATCTGCAAAAAATATCATTTGCCTGTAAGCAAAAACTGGTGGGATCATAAAATAGAGAAAGTCATAGAAAATGATAAAATTAACTGCTCTGGGACTTCAGAATTCAAACAGACAAGCACCTGCAACATAACACCCCAGACTTAACAATTGTTGATAAGAAAGACAAAAAAGTCTGGATAGTGGACGTGGCAGTGCCTGGAGACAGCAGAATAGACAAGAAAGAACTGGAGAAGATAACAAAATACCAAGACCTACAAATAGAAATAGAAAGACTGTGGCAAAAGCAAGCAAGGGTAGTACCAATAGTCATAGGCTCCTTGGGTGCAATTCCAAAACAACTGGAGCACCACTTGAACACCATTGGCATTGACAAATTTGCTATTAGTCAATTGCAAAAGGCGGCCTTATTAGGAACTGCTTCCATCCTGCTACGATACCTGTAATACCATCAAACATCCACATCTGCCTATCCCAGGTCCTGGGTAAGGACTCGATAGGTAGACAAAATGCCAAATCCAGTCTGAACATCTGGCTGACTGTGCGATGATCAATAATAATAATAATAATAATAAAGTTGGAAGGGACCTTAGAGGTCCAGTGTTGGCGCATTCATCGCTTCTGGAGGCAGGTTGTTCCACTGGTTAATTGTTCTCACCATCAGGAAGTTTCTCCTTAGTTCCAGGTTCTCTCCTTGATTAGTTTCCAGGTAGTCCTCAATTTTCAACCATTCATTTAGTGACCGTTCAAAATTACAGCCGCGCTGAAAAAAAGCAACTTATGATCATTTTCACACTGATGACCTTTGCAGGATCAGAATTTGGACGCTTGGCAACTGACTCACATTTATGACGGTTGCAGCGTCCTGGGGTCATCTGATCCCCTTTTGCGACCTTCGGACAAGCAAAGTCAAATGGGGAAGCCAGATTCACTTAAAACAATTGTGTTACTAACTTAACAACGGCAGCGGCTCACTCAACCACTATGGCATGAAAGGTCGTAAAATGGGACAGAATTCACTTAGCAACCGTTTTGCTTAGCAATAGAAATTTTGGGTCTCCGTTGCGGTCGTAAATTGAGGACTACCTGTCATAAGCTCAGTAAAAAGAGCAGATGGAAAAATCTTTTCCTCAGACGTCCTCAAAATCTCCAAATAAGTTACCCAGACTTAATTCAGACATCAAAAAAGATCTGTAAACGCAAGTAAGCTGAATTAAAACTGTCTCCCAGGTTGAACCACACAATCACACAACCACAGAATGAACATCGCAGACGACACTCAAACTCCTTGCCTCAGAAAGGACCACGTTTCCGTAAAAATGTCTAATTTCTGGACCCCATTTGTAAGGCTTATATTCTGCGCTCTTGAGATAAACCAACTGCTTTCCGGGCAGCGTGTCGATGCCCTTTTTGCAACACCTCCTTTGCTCGGACCGGGACCCACAAATGCCTGGCACGGTCCCACCGAGCAGGGCAGACCAGGAAATGGCCAGGTGATGGAGACCCATCATCCCTGAAGCCACTCCCCCTCTTTGAAGCCCCACCCACCACCCTCACCTACCTTCCCAGGAGCTGCTGAGCCTAATGAAAGCTCTCCGAAATGGGATGAAATGGTGGTTTACCACGTTATCTTTTTTCTGCCCTTCAGGAACCAGCCAGCTGGGGGAATTCCACGCCTTCATTGTGGTCGACATGCAGGATCTTTCCAAGGTGTCCAGGAAAGAGACAATCCTGCTGCGGATTCGGAATCCCTGGGGGAGGCGCTGTTGGAAAGGCCCCTGGAGGGAAGGGTGAGTGGACCAGGTGTTGACTCCAGCATCTACAACAGTGTTTCTGTCAAACCCGCCCCTACTTAAATCTTTAAGTAAAAACGATCCTTTGCACCATCCGTTGGGAAAGGAATAGTTTTAATTAGAAGTCAAATGCATTGCGATCAAGCGTAGCCAGAAACTTTTCCCTCCCCTAGTTGCCTCCCATCGCTAACACACACACACACACACACACACACACACACACACACACACACACACACTCTCATCACCAATCAGGTTCAACAAGATTTTTTCAGAACGGTCACATCAAACGCAGGTTGGTATCTGTTGTGATTCTGTGCCAGCCTGTGATCCCAGTAGTTGAGTCTGAGGAATCGGAGGAGGAGGAGGAGGAGGAGGGGCCTGGAGAGCCATCAGAGTCGGAGGGAGGCTCCGATGAGCTGCAGGACTTACAAACTAATGAAACCTGCTCCTTCCACTCGTGATTCAGCTGAGAGCCAGCTGTGCTGGGAAGCTGAGTCGGACTCGGAAGAAGCACAGCTGGAAAACCTCAGAGACGCTCATAAACGTAGGCAGGTCACACGAGTAGGACAGAGGGAGGCAATAGGGCGACTCCAGGGGAAGAGGAGAAAGCAATGAGAAGCCACGCCTTGGGGGCTGCGTAACAAAAAGGGAATGTGTGGGCAAGGCTGGTTGCTGAAGGCAACCATTTGCAAAGAACTTCAGAGTCAAGAGATCACGGTCTGTTTATTTTTGCTTGTGAGTTATTTCCTGTTTGACTCATGCTCCGTTCGTTTTGCTTTTGGACAAGATCTCCATTGGAAAAGTGTTCTGTTGCTTTGGTTTTCTGGGACAATTATCAGGTCTGTAACTCAAATAAAAAGGGTTTATTTTCCAGTCTACTGTTAAAAGAGGGGTTGTCTTTGTGAAGTAACAAGGACATAAGTAGGCTGGGACAGAACAGTGTCCAACTGCCTTCTTCTCCCAGCCGGATGACCTTGAGGCAGCATCTCAGGGATATACGGCTGTTACTTTCATTTCCCCCCCAAGCATCCTCATTCCCACCCACCTTCCCCAGAGTTCACTGCAGATTGTCACTGCACGGTAGCGAAGCACAAGCAAGCATAAGGTGGCAGCTGACAATTTCCCAATTTTGGCTAGTTTAAAGCATGTGGACTTCAAATCCCAGAATTCCCTATCCTGCAGGTATGGAGTTCAATACCCAGGATTTCCCAAACAGCACGTATGGAGCTCCATGTGTTCATTTTATCCATTTCGTTCTCAGTTTTAATGTTTTAACTTTCAGCCGCCCGACGTTTTTGACCTTTTAATTGTTTTACACTGTTTATTTATTTACTAGTGCAGGGGTGGGCAACCTTGGCTCTTTTATGACTCATGGACTTCAACTCCCAGATTTCCTGAAACAGCATGGGGGAACTATGGCCCCTTCATGACTGGTGGACTTCAACTCCCAGAATTCCTGAGCCAGCATGGGGGAACTATGGCCCCCTCATGACTCATGGACTTCAACTCCCAGAATTCCTGAGCCAGCATGGCTCAGCTTGGAAACCTCTCCCTTTCCCCTCAGCATGGCTGGCTCAGGAATTCTGGGAGTTGAAGTCCACGAGTCATCAAAGACCCCAGGTTGGCTATTCCTGACCTATTGAATTTATTTGCTGCCCATCTCGTAACAAACGATTCTGTATAGCTTCGAGATGACTCTGGCATATTTATGATATTGTACAATATTTACAGTATTGCAAGCTGCCAAAACCGGTTCATTTTTTTGTAACCGTATTAATATTCACTGTGGTTTTTTTGGTCTTCAGAGGTCCAGGGTGGAGTCAGCTAGATCCAGTGGTGGGCGCTGAACTTTTATCCCAGCTACAGGAAGGAGATTTTTGGGCTGAAGAAGAGGAATTTTTCACGGAATTTGACGAGGTCATCACCGGGTATCCGGTCACGGAAGAAGGACAGCTTCAGAGTCTTTACACAGGTAGGTGGTGCTGGAAAAAAGCCAGTTTTTAAAGGGAAAAACCCTTTTGCAAAATACAAGGACAAATAATCCTTGACTTATAACAGCTCATTTAGTGACTGTTCGAAGGTACAACTGCATTGAAAAAAGTGACTTATGACTGTTTAGATAGATAGATAGATAGATAGATAGATAGATAGATAGAGAGAGAGAGAGAGAGAAAGATAGGTAGGATAGAGATAGATAGATAGATAGATAGATAGATAGATAGATAGATAGATAGTGATAGAAAGATAGGTAGGAGATAGATAGATAGAGAGATAGAGATAGAGAGATAGAGAAAGATAGGTAGGATAGAGATAGATAGATAGATAGATAGATAGATAGATAGATAGATAGATAGATAGATAGATATAGAAAGATAGAAAGATAGGTAGGAGATAGATAGATAGATAGATAGATAGATAGATAGATAGATAGATAGATAGATAGAGAGATAGATAGAGAGATAAGTAGGATAGAGATAGATAGATAGATAGATAGATAGATATAGAAAGATAGAAAGATAGGTAGGAGATAGATAGAGAGATAGAGAGATAGAGAAAGATAGGTAGGATAGAGATAGATAGATAGATAGATAGATAGATAGATAGATAGATAGATAGATAGATAGATAGATAGATAGATAGACAGACAGACAGACAGATAGGTATAGATGATAGATAGATTGAAAGAGAGAGGTAAAGATAGATGATAGATAGATAGATAGATAGATAGATAGATAGATAGATAGATAGATAGATAGATAGATAGATAGATAGATTGTATTAGTTTTTATAGGGTTAGGAATAAGGTGGGTCAGGGTTAGGGTTGGGATTTGGGTTAGAGTTAAGGTTAGGGTTGGGGTTGGGGGTTTTCCAAATAACATTTTCAATATTTAGGAAACAGCATAATGTCTGGGTTCATGTGTTTAACAAACAATAATAGCTGTAGTTAATTATCATAAACAAGATGTTAATTCATCACTCAATAGCCGCCTTCTTGCTAATATATATATTCAAAATTACATATCACATTCCTTTCTCTCTAACCCGTTTTTCTAGCCATTGGTAGAAATTATCCCATGTTATAAAGTACACCGAGTCTTCTTTCTCTTTAATCTCTAAAGTCAATCTATCCATTTCTGCACACTCTAGAAGAGTGATGGCGAACCTTTTAGAGACCGAGTGCCCAAACTGCAGCCCTAAACCCACTTATTTATTGCAAAGTTGCAGGGCTGCATCAGCATTGTGGTGCCCTCGCGGGGGGGGGGGGCATGGGGGCGTAGTCCACTGGGTGGGCGTGGCTGCAGTGGTCACGGAAGACGGGGTGGGCGTGGCCAGGGCCAGAGCGGTGGGTACCAGTCCCTCGCCATCTCCAGAGCATCCCTGGGGGGGGGGGCAACACCGCTTGCTCACTCACTTCCTGCCCTGTCCCTTCCAAATGCCACGTACTCACTACTCTGGCAAACTCTGCTGGGGCAACGGTGCGCGTGCCCACAGAGAGGGTCTGAGTGCCGCCTCTGGCATGCGTGCCACAGGTTCATCACCACTGCTCCAGAATTTTCTTAATTAGTATGTCAACGCTGCAAATATTGTATATTCTTGCTTTTGACAATATGCAGAATTGTCTGGTAAATATGGGGTTAATAAAGAGCAGAAGGGGCGTTGGGGGTAAACCCCCGGGAATGAAAGAGGAAGAAAACATTTGACCTTCATACTAATTGGATAGTGTGAGATATGAGGGCTAATTTAGGGAGGGAACATGCTGATAACTGCTCAGAGGAAGAGAACTTAGATCCTAGCATCCCTCCATTGTGCCTGTGCGGACATTTTGTAACATTAAAAGACTTTTAGGAAAATAAATGCCTGGAAGTTCTTTGGAATGTTTCATTAGCCGGAACCACATCATAGTACTTCTTCAGCTGGTAAGTTTTCATTTTTCCAATGTTGGGCAAATACAGTTCTTGCTGCTGTTTGTAGGTGTAGTATTAAATATCTGCAGTCTTTCTCCTAATTAGCTCCTATTATTCCTAGCAAAACTTATGACTGTTTTTCACACGACCGTTGCAACGTCCGTGTGGTCACACGATCCAAATTCAGGCACTTGGCATACTGACTCATATTTATGACAGTCGCAGTCTCCCGGGATCGCGTGATCCCCTTCTGACCAGCAACGTTCATGGGGAAGCCGGATTCACTTTACAACCGTGTTTCTCACTTAACAACTGCAGGGATTCGCTTAAGAGCGGTGGCAAGAACAGTCGTAAAATGGGGCAAAATTCACTTAGCTACTGTCTTAACCTTTGGGCTCAACTGTGGTCATAAGTAGAGAACTTCCTACAGTTGAATAGCCAAGATGCAGCTAGGGGAAGGTTTCCAAAAAACGTCTCTTGCCTCAGATCTTTCTTTCTGCACATGCTCAGAGTTCACGAAGAGAAGGGTGGTCCGAGAAGGGTCACCTCGGCCTCATGTTCAGATGTTGCTAGGCAGAGCCTCCTTGTTCCTTCTCCTTTTCTTAAGGACTATCTGTAGTCCTCAACTTATGACCACAATTGAGCCCGAAATATCCATCTCTATGTGCGACATTTGTTAAGTGCAGTTTGCCCCTTTTACGACCGTTCTTGTCACCGTTTTTAAGCAAATCACTGCAGTTGTTAAGTGAATAAGACAGTTGTTAAGGGAATCTGGCTCCCCCCCGTTGACTTTGCATGTCAGAAGGTCCCAAAAAGGGATCACGTGACTCTGGGACGCTGCGACCGTCATAAGTATGAGCCCATCTGTCAAGCCTCCGAATGCTAATCACGTGACCCCTGGGGGAAGCTGCAACGGTCGTAAGTGTGAAAAGCGGTCGTAAGTCACTTTTTTCAGTGCCGTGGTAACGTCAAACGGTGACCAAACCAACGGTTGTAAGTTGCGTACGGCTTGTGTAGGGTTTCCGGCTTGAGTAGGGGGTTGGACCGCAGGATTTCCAAGGTCCCTTTCAGTTCTTTTGTTCTGCTATTCTGTTTCTGCTTACCCCAATCAAAAGCCGCGTGGGTCTCAAGCCGCAGCAGCAGAGTCGTGACGCGTATCCTTTCCCCCCCCCCCGACAGACAAAGTGCTCAGCCACACGCAGAAGCTGTACGGATCCTGGGTGCGAGGGCAGTCGGCCGGCGGTTGCCGTAACAACAGCACCTTCCCCACGAACCCCAAATTCTGGCTGAGAGTCTGTGAGCAGAGCGAGGTCTGCATCGCCCTCCTGCAGAAGCCCCGGAAGCACAGCGCAGATTGGGCCGGCAGGATTCGCGCCTGGCCTCGCCTCCCGGAAGCGGATCCCTCCTTGGTGGATAACGTCCGAGGGAAGAATTACCACGCCCTGGGCTTGCACATCTGGAAGGTAGGAGAGATGAGCCGGGCCTACAGGTAGACGAGCCCTTTCGGAGTTTTTTTTTTTTTTTGTCCCCCGGGAAGTAAGATTCTAGTCCTCAAGATTTCTGAGAGAAATGAATCTCTCTCTGTGGCGTGAAGCTCTCGGTTGGCCTTTCCGGTTTCCGGAGGAAATGGGAATAAGATTGTTGTGATGTCTCCTGGAGCTTCTGTCTGAGGCACGGCTGCCACCAAACCAGACAGTGAGGCGGTTTGTTTATTTATTTATTTTATTTATTTATGAGACTTATATACCGCTTTAAGTGCAAGCACCCTCTAAGCGGTGTACACCAGTAAGCAATGTATATATATATATATATATATTTACATTGCCCCCAACAATCTGGGTCCTCATTTTACCTACCCAAGAAGGATGGAAGGCTGAGTCAACCTTGAGCCGGTGAGATTTGAACCGCTGACCTGCTGAACACAGTCAGCTAAAGTGGCCTGCAGTACTGCACTCTAACTGCTACGCCACCTCGGCTCTTGTTAAGACAATGTCAATCGTGCCTCTGTTAAAAAGTGGCCAGAACAGAAGGAGAAAGACACGCAGGAAATGCAGGTGCTGGTTTGCACGCTTCACTAATAAATTTTACTTTTTCTTATAAGTGGGTAAGTGAACTGGAGGACTTGACTAATCAAATGAATTTTGCAGCCCAGGAACAACTGAATCTAGTTATATGGTTTGAGTTAAGCTGATCCAAAGCTACCTAAGATGCACAAAGTAACTTCAATCTTCCAGGCTGCGGGTGGGGTGGGGGGCAGGAGAATAAAAAAAGTCAAGATGGCTCCAAAGCGCCTGAAGGCAGGACAAGAAGCAACGGATGGGAACTCATCAAGGAGAGAACCAACCTGGAATTAAGGAGAAACTTCCTGACAGTTAGAACAATTAACCAGTGGAACAACTTGCCTCCAGAAGCGGTGAATGCTCCAACACTGGAAGTTTTTAAGAAGAGACTGGACAGCCCTTTGTCCGAAATGGTATAGAGCAGTGGTTCTCAACCTGTGGGTCGGGACCCCATTTGGGGTCGAACAACCATTTCACGGAGGTCGCCAAACAATGCAGTCCGCCATTTTTTTCCCCCTTTTCCTTAGCTGTGCTATTCGCTTTTATTCTATTGGCTTTTGAAAGCCAATAGAATAGACTCTGTTGAACAGAGTCTAATTCTATTGGCTTTCAAAAGCCAATAGGAATTGTCCAGGCTGTCTCTGCCCTGCTGAGCCCGCCAAAAGTCCCATTCTGCAAACGGTGCTGCACCAGTTGAGTAGTCCTCGACTTACGACCAGTTGAGTAGTCCTCAACTTACGACCAATTGGGGGTCGCGGCATTAAAAAGGTTGAGAACCACTGGTATAGGGTTTCCTGCCTGAGCAGGGGGCTGGATTAGAAGACCTCCAAGGCCCCTTCCAGCTCTATTCTGATTGATTGGTTTTGAAAAAAAAAGTGCAAAGAAGAGCAACTAAGATGACTTAAAACCTGGAAACAAAAACATAATAATAATAATAATAATAATAATAATAATAATAATAATAATAATAATAATAATAATAATAATAAAGTTGGAAGGGACCTTGGAGGTCATCTAGTCCAACCCCCTGCTCAGGCAGGAAACCCTATACCATTTTGGACAAATGGCTGTCAGTCTCTTCTTAAAAACTTCCAGTGTTGGAGCATTTACTGCTTCTGGAGGCAAGCTGTTCCACTGATTAATTGTTCTCACTGTCAGGAAGTTTCTCCTTAGTTCTAGGTTGCTTCTCTCCTTGATTAGTTTCCACCCGTTGCTTCTTGTCCTGCCTTCAGGTGCTTTGGAAAATAGCTTAATTCCCTCTTCTTTATGGCAGCCCCTGAGATATTGGAATACTGCTATCATGTCCCCCCTTGTCCTTCTCTTCGTTAAACTAGACATACCCAATTCTAGCAACCGTTCCTTATATGTTTTAGCCTCCAGTCCCCTAATCATCTTTGTTGCTCTTCTCTGTACTCTTTCTAGAGTCTCAACATCTTTTTTACATCGTGGTGACCAAAACTGGATGCAGTATTCCAAGTGTGGCCTTACCAAGGCATTGAAGAGTGGTATTAATACTTCACGTGATCTTGATTCTATCCCTCTGTTAATGCAGCCTAGCACTGTGTTGGCCTTTTTGGCAGCTGCAGCACACTGCTGGCTCATATTTAAGTGATTGTCTACTAGGACTCCGAGGTCCCTCTCACAGTTACTACTATTGAGCATGGTGCCACCTATGCTGTACTTGTGCATTTGGTTTTTCTTGCCTAAATGTAGAACCTTGCTTTTTTCACCATTGAATTTCATTTTGTTAGTTAGTGCCCAGTGTTCAAGTCTGTCCAGATCCTTCTGTATCTGAAGCCTGTCTTCTGGAGTGTTGGCTATTCCTGCCAGCTTGGTGTCATCTGCAAATTTGATGAGTTCCCCATCTATCCCTTCATCCAAATCGTTGATGAAGATGTTGAAGAGTACTGGGCCCAGAACAGAGCCCTGGGGCACCCCACTACACACTTCCCTCCATATAGATGCAGTTCCATTGAGGACCACTCGCTGAGTACGGCCGGTCAGCCAGCTACGGATCCATCTGGTGGTGGTTCTGTCTACCCCACATTTTTCTATCTTGTCAAGTAGTAGGTTGTGATCTACTTTATCAAATGCCTTACTGAAGTCCAAGTAAATTATGTCCACAGCATTCCTCTGATCCACTAATTTTGTCACTTGGTCAAAGAATGCAATAAGATTTGTCTGGCATGATCTATTTTTGACAAACCCATGTTGGCTTTTAGTAATGACTTTGTTTGCCTCTAGGTGTTCGTTGATTCGTTGTTTGATTATCTTTTCCAGGATCTTCCCAGGTATTGAGGTCAGGCTGATAGGTCTGTAATTTCCTGGATTCATTTTTTTTCCTTTTTTGAGGATGGGAACTACATCAGCTCTTTTCCAGTCCTCTGGTAGTTCCCCTGTGTTCCAGGATCTTTGAAAAATATAGTTCAGTGGCTCCGATATCACATCTGCCAGTTCCTTGAGAACTCTGGGGTGTAATCCATCTGGTCCTGGCGATTTGAACTCATCTAGGCTGGACAGGTGCTCCCTAACCATTTTCTTGCCTATCTTAGCTTGTGTTTCTGTTTTGTTTTTTATGGCACTATTTTTGATAGGTTGGTCTGTTTTTTCCCTTTGTGTAAAGACAGATGCAAAAAATGAGTTAAATAGTTCTGCTTTCTCCCTGTTGCTTGTCACCTTCTTGCCACTTCCACCCACTAATGGACCAATCATTTCCTTCACTTTTTTCTTGTTTTTTACATGTTGAAAGAAGCTTTTTTTGTTATTTTTGACTTTGGTCGCAAGCCTTAGTTCATTTTGAGCCTTGGCTTTCTTCACTTCATCTTTGCAGGCTCGGGCTATTTGCTGATATTCTGACTTAGTTATGTTCCCCTCTTTCCACTTTCTGTACTTGTCCTTTTTATCTTTCAATTTGTCAGAGAGTTCTTTATGCAGCCATGCTGGTTTCTTTTGAGAGCTGTTATTTTTCCTCTTTGTTGGTATTGTTCTAGACTGTGCTTTTATTATCTCATTTTTCAAAATTTCCCAAGCTTCTTGAGTTGTTTTCCCCTTGAGGATTCTCATCCATGGAATCCTTCCCAAGCCCTCTCTAAGTTTATTGAAATTAGCTCTCTTGAAGTCCAAGACTCTAGTTTGACTGTGTTCTATTGGTTGTGCTTCTATAATGTTGAATTCTAATATTGCATGATCACTTCCTCCAGGGTTCCTATGGCTTCAACACCGTCTATCATTTCATCTCTGTTAGTGAGAATTAGATCCAAAATGGCTAATCCCCTAGTTCCCTTCTCTACTTTTTGGGAGACAAAGTTGTCTGCTAGGTTTGCCAGGAACCTGTTTGATCTTCCACTTGGTGCGGAGTTTGTCTCCCAGTTGATGTCAGGGTAGTTAAAGTCCCCCATTACTATTGTGGTGTGCTTCCTACATACCTTAGTTAGCTGACTAGCAAAAAGTTCATCTATTTCCTCTGTTTGGTTGGGTGGTCTGTAGTATACACCTATGGCAATGTCATTTCCCCCCCCCTTTTATATTGACCCAAATGCATTCAAGAGAGTTTTTATCATTGTTGTACTCTATTTCTGTGGAGATGTAGTTATTTCTTATATAGAGAGCAACTCCACCTCCTCTTTTATTTGGTCTGTTTCTTTTAAATAATTTAAATCCCTCTAGCTGTGTGTTCCATGTGTGAGTTTCATCCCACCATGTTTCCGTAATGGCAACAATATCGTATCTGCCCTCGTTAACCTGAATTTCTAGTTCACCCTGTTTGCTGTTCATACTCTGTGCATTGGTGTATAAACATTTGAGTCCTTTGTGGGTGGCCCTGTGTTTCCTTTCTACATAACCTGTGTGGTGCCTGAGTTCCCCTATTGTCTTACCACCTATTTGGTTAGTGCACTTTATGTGGCACTCGCTATTAGAGGCTTCATTTTGATTGATAGCAAGGTTGGTATTCTTGTCCACACACACATCTATGCTACATGCACTGATAGCCCTATAGTTTTTAAATTGCCGGGGACAGGGTTGTTCCGTATCAATTAACTCCCTGTCCCCGCTGTTTAGTTTAAATTTCCCTCCAGAAAATCTGTGAATTTATAGCCGAGTAACTCAGTCCTTTTTTTGATGGATGCAAACCATCTCTTTTGTACATCTTTTGATTGGACCAGCTACTGACATCGTGACTAATATATCCGAAGCCTTCCCCTTTACACCACTCCTTTAGCCACATATTGAATTGTGCTATGCGCTGGCCTTTTCCGTTTTGCTCCTTATACACTGGTAAAACCTCTGAGAAAGTATGAAGAACGGTTGCAGGAACTGGCTATGGTCAGTCTTTAGAAAAGAAGGACTAAGGGGGACATGAGAGCAGTCTTCCAGTATTTCAGTGGCTGCCACAAAGAAGAGGGGCGGGGGTCAACTTATTCCCCAAAGCGCCTGAAGGCAGGACAAGAAGCAACGGGTGGAAACTAAGCAAGGAGAGAAGCAACCTAGAACTGAGGCGAAATTTCCTGACAGTGAGAACAATTAACCAGTGGAACAGCCTGCCTCCAGAAGCAGTAAATGCTCCAACACTGGAAGTTTTTAAGAAGAGACTGGACAGCCATTTGTCCGAAATGGTATAAGGTTTCCTGCCTGAGCAGAGGGTTGGACTAGATGACCTCCAAGGTCCCTTCCAGCTCTGTGATTCTGTTCCACGTACTCCCTCAACGTCCGGCCACAACTGAGCCAAACATTTCTGTGGTTAAATGAGACATTTGTTAAATGAGTTTTGCCCCATTATACAAACTGTCCTTGACAGAGTTTTTAAGTGGATCACTGCAGTTGTTAAATTTGTAGCCTGGTTGTTACATGGATCATGGCTTCCCCACTGACTTTGCTTGTCAGAAAGTCATAAACGGTGACCACAGGACCCTGGGGGACACAGCAACCATCATAAATATTAACCAGTTGCCAAGCATCTGGATTTTGATCACATGCTCATGGGGATACTCCAAAGATTGTAACTGAAAGATGGTCATAAATCACTTTTTTCAGTGCTATTGTAACTTTGAACGGTCACTAAATGAACTGTTGTAAGTCGAGGACTATCTGTATTCTGTTATCTACTTCTTAGCTGCCCCCTATCCTGGGCAAATCATGGCTTTACTCCACCCACAAATTTTGCCAAGTGGATGCCTTTTCTCCTTGAAGCGGTGTGGTCTGCCTTGTAAAATTGGAGACGCGGCAAGTTGGACTGTTGCTCGCATTAAAATTAAATGGTGCTGAACAACAAATCCTTTCCCCCCACCCTTCCTTAATGGATTTTTTATAGGAAAATAAAATGCCTAAAGGACCAGGGGAAGCGTCCAAAGAATGCGATGTCATTTGGGTCTCTCCTAAACTTCCTTGCAAGACTTTGGCTTGTGATTTGACTGGCGATCTCCACACACTCAGCAGGAAGCTAGCTTGTGCGGTATTTAATTTGGGGAGTTTTTTTTCATAGAAAAGGTTTTTCTGTACCACCCACTAACTTTTCTCTGAAGGTGGCAGGTCGCCAACTTAAAAGATCCCCCCAAAATGCAATCCATCAGATTATGCATCTCACTAGAACAGCATACCATAAGAAAGGCTGAGCGCCAAAGAATGGAGGCCTTTGAACTCTGGTGCTGGAGAAGACTCCTGCGAGTCCCCTGGACTGCAAGGCGATCCAACCGGTCAGTCCTACAGGAGATCAACACCAACTGCTTTTTAGAAGGCCAGATCCTGAAGTTGAAACTCAAGTACTTTGGCCACCTAATGAGAAAGAAGGACTCACTGGAGAAGAGCCTGATGCTGGGAAAGATGGAGGGCAAGAGAAGAAGGGGACAACAGAGAATGAGGTGGCTGGATGGAGTCACTGAAACGGTAGGTGTGAGCTTAAATGGACTCCAGAAGATGGTAGAGGACAGGAAGACTTGGAGGAACGTTGTCCATGGGGTCGCAATGGGTCGGACACGACTTCGCAACTAACAACAACAGAACAGCATAAGAAAATTAAACCGACATATTAGGTGGTCCAATTCGTTTCGTGCCCGTTTGAAGTTACAACAGCACTAAAAAAAAACAATTTGTGACCGTTTTTCATACGACCGTTGCAGCATCCTCGCGGTCGCGGGAACTGGCTCATCTTTAGGACGGTCGCAGTGTCCCGGGCGTGTCACATGATCCACTTTTGCGACCTTCTGACAAGCAAAGTCAATGGGGCAAGCCAGATTCGCTTAACAACCAGGTTACTAACTTACCAACTGCAGGGATTCACTTCACAAGCGTGGCAAGAAAGGTGATAAAACGGGGAGCAAACTCCCTTAATAAATGTCTCACTTAGCAACAGAAATTGGGTCTTAAGTCAAGGCCTGCCTGCACATCTCTTCCCTCTCACCTTTACAGTTCAAGAAACTAGGGAAGGATTCTTCCGAGATGCTTCTCACATCCCTTTTCCTTCTGTGGGCTTAGCTGCCTCTTATCTGACCAACTGTTCTGTCCCAGCCTAGGTGAGTCCTTGTTAATGCACAAGGATCAACCCCTCTTTTAACAAGTAGGCTGGAAATGCAGGGAAAACAAACCCCTTTTATTAGTTAGGTACAGACCTGCAAAATGTCCCCAAAGCAAAGGCAAACAAAACACGATGCAAACGGAGAATTGTCCAAGGCAACCAAACCACGATTCAAACGGAGAATTGTTCACAAGCAAGGCAAACAAAACAGGATTCCATGAAACTTGAGTCCTTTGCAAATGGTTGCCTTCAGCAACCAGCACCGCCCACATCTTCCCTTTTTATTATGCATCCCCCAGGCATGGCTTCTCAATGCCTTCTCATCCTCCCTTGGAGTCGCCCCATCGCCTCCCTCTGTCCTGCTCTTGTTGCCTGTCTGCGTTTATGAGCATCTATAATGTCTTCCAGATGTGAGTCCTCAGAGTCTGACTCAGCTTCCCCGCACGGCTGAGTCTCAGCCTGAGCACGATTGGAAGGGCCAAGCTCTTCATCAGAGTGTAAGTTCTGGAGCTCATCAGAGCCTTCCTCCGACTCTGATGGCTCTCCAGGCCCCTCCTCCTCCTCCTTTGGTTCCCTGGACTCAGCTGCCGGGTCCAGTGGCTGGCATGGACTCACAACACCATCGGGGACCCTGATCTTGGAGGAAACATAACTCCATCCAGTGCAAGACAAACTCCAACACAGTTGGAAAAACTACAGTGGCCTCCATCCATCCGCCATCTCCAGAAGCATCCAGGGCTGCTGCTTCAGTGAATGCATGGTTGATCATGGTCTCTTTCATTCTGGAGATTCTTAGTCATCCAGGCCACGGTTGTTCCAAAGGTGCTTTTTCAAGAGGCAGCCTTTCTTGAACTCGGCAACTTTTAAGATGTGTGGACTTCAACTCTGTGCTAGCTGGGAATTCTAATGGTCAAACTCCCAAAGGTGTTTTTTTTTTTCAGGAGGCAACTGGACCTTCTTGTTTTTTCTTTGAAGAAGTTTCGCTTCTCATCCAAGAAGCTGCTTCTGCTCTGACTGGATGGTGGGAAATGGAAAGATTTATACTCCTTGCAGACAGCTGTTCATTTGCATTCTTTTAGAGAGTCGTTGAGGCCACTTGGAGGCTTATCTGTGTCCTCGGGGTCATCTGAGTGGTGCAAATGGGTGTGGAGCCTTCTTGGACTTGCTGAAAGGACTGTGTGTTATAGACTGGAGATAGTTGATGTCACTGCTCAGATGATCTTTGTGTTTCCAAAGAATGCTTTGGTGACAAAGCTGGATTGGAATTCAGCACCAAAGTAGCTTTTGCAAAGTTGAAAGAGCTCCTTGTATTCCCGATGTACTTTGAAAATCCAGTGTCTGGGTTTCTCAATTTGTAAAGCGACGCGAGCTTTCCCTCCTACATACAGGTGGTCCTCGACTTGATTTAAAGTCTAACCAGCTTGTATAATGTGAGATGAATGATGCAATGTTAGGAATGACTCAGCAGGAGTCTGTATCCCTTTAAGAACTTGAGTATAAAAGGGAAGGCCTTGCTGGAGTCTCTCTCTCTCTCTCTCCCTCCCTCTCTCTCTCTCTCTCTCTCTCTCCCCCTCCCTCCCTCCCGTTTTCTGCTGTAATTGCTGTGTGTTGGAGTTTGCTGTATCACCATGTGTGTGTAACAACAACAACAACAACAACGTTGGAGGGGACCTTGGAGGTCTTCTAGTCCAACCCCCTATTCAGGCAGAAAACCCTATACCATTTCAAACAAATAGCTATCCAGTCTCTTCTTAAAAACTTCCAGTGTTGGAGCATTCACCGCTTCTGGAGGCAGGCTGTTCCACTGGTTAATTGTTCTAACTGTCAGGAAGTTTCTTGTTAGTTCTAGGTTGTTTCTCTCCTTGGTTAGTTTCCATCCGTTGCTTCTTGTCCTGCCTTCAGGTGCTTTGGAGAATAGCTTGACTCCCTCTTCTTTGTGGCAGCCCCTGAGAGATTGGAAGGCTGCTATCATGTCTCCCTTAATCCTTCTCTTCATTAAACTAGACAAACCCAATTCCAGCAACCGTTCCTTATCTGTTTTAGCCTCCAGTCCCCTAATCATCTTTGTTGCTCTTCTCTGCACTCTTTCCAGAGTCTCAATATCTTTTTTACATCGTGGTGACCAAAACCGGATGCAGTATTCCAAGTGTGGCCTTAACAAGGCCTTGTAAACTTCATGTGTATTTTGTTACTAGTGTATATTTGTAGATAGTATATGATAAACCACCCTTTAATACAAGCCACTGTTTACTGTATTTATTCCTGGGTTTACCTCAGCGTGATAAGACCGTGCATGCTCTGGCACAGCTCTCTGCTGCTCTCTTGCCTTCCAGATTGAGAAGAAGCAGTTCAACCTTCCCAAGACCCTCTCGGCTCCCCCAGTTGTGAGCACGGCCTGTCATTCCTTCAACCGAGAGGTACACCTCCGTTGTGACCTGTCTCCTGGATACTACCTGGTGGTGCCCAGCACTTTCCTGAATAACACTGAAGGGAACTTCCTGCTCCGGGTCTTCTCCAGCGGAAGAATTTCTCTCAGGTACCCCCCCAGGGTGGGCGAGGGCGGAACTGGGAAAGAGGCAGGCGGACCCTTGAATCGGGAGAAGCTACAGGCAGGTCCTCGGCTTGCGAGCACAACGGGGCCCGAAATTTTAGTGGTTAAGTGAGACATTGGTTTCGTCCCATTTTACGACCTTTCTCGCCACAGCAGTTAAGGCAAATCCCTGCATTTCTTAAACCAGTGACACGGTTGTTAAGCGAATCCGGCCTCCTCGTTGATGGTTTCTTGTCACAAGAGGAGGTCACAAAAAGGGATCACATGATCCCGGGATACAGCAACCGTCACAAATAGGAATCAGTTGCCACATATTTGATCACTGCTGCAATAGTTTGTAAGTGTGGGGGGGAAAGGCCGCAGGTCACTTTTTTCAGTGGCGTCCGTGGTCACTTTGAACGGTCACTAAATGAACGGTTGTAAATCAAGGGCTCCCTGTACAGTAACTCTGACAAGAAAAGCCTCATAGTAGATAAACTTTTTTTCATAATAATAATAATGATGATGATGATGATGATGGAAGGGACCTTGGAGGTCATCGAGTCCAACCCCCTGCTGAGGCAGGAAACCCTACACCATTTCGGACAAATGGCTGTCCAGTCTCTTCCAAAAACTTCCAGTGTTGGAGCATTCACCGCTTCTGGAGGCAGGTTATTCCACTGGTTAATTGTTCTAACTGTCAGGAAGTTTCTCCTTAGTTCTAGGTTGCTTCTCTCCTTTTTTTTTTTGTAAAAATTTTTATTTTCAATTTTACAATACATAACAATCTTACAAATTACCTCAGATAAAAAATAAAACAAATTGATACACACCACATTCGGTCTTGCCCGCCCATTTCCCCCCAAACCGCATCCCACCTGAAACCAACTTACTTCTTTCCCTCTTTTTCTTCACTCACCCCTCTCCTCCCTCACCTCCACCTTCCTACTTACTTCTCCCCTTCTTCTTCTCCCTCTTGATGCGGTCCAGGGGAAATGCCCGAGCAGTTCCTCTCTCAAAATTAAAACATTAATATTATACACAATAAGACTATTTCTACTTTATCTGAACTACTTATGACAGTTGCAATGTCTCGAGGGTGACGTGATCCCCTTTCACAACCTTCTGGCAAGCAAAGTCAATGAGGAAGCCAGATTCACTTCACAACTGTGTTACTAACTTAACATCTGCAGGGATAAGAAAGGTCATAAGATGGAGACAAACTCACTTCATAACTATCTTGTTTAGCCATAGAAATGTTGGGCTCAGTTGTGGTCATAATAATAAAGTTGGAAGGGACCTTGGAGGTCATCTAGTCCAACCCCCTGCTCAGGCAGGAAACCCTATACCAATGGTTCTCAACCTTTTTAATGCCGCGACCCCCAACCGGTCGTAAGTCGAGGACTACTCAACTGGTTGTAAGTCGAGGACTACTCAACTGGTGCAGCACCGTTTTCAGAATGGGACTTTTGGCGGGCTCAGCAGGGCAGAGACAGCCTGGACAATTCCTATTGGCTTTTGAAAGCCAATAGAATTAGACTCTATTCAAGAGAGTCTGTTCTATTGGCTTTCAAAAGCCAATAGAATAAAAGGGAGTAGCATAGCTAAGGAAAAGGGGGAAAAAAATGGCGGACTGTGTTGTTTGGCGACCCCCGTGAAATGGTCGTTCGACCCCAAATGGGGTCCCGACCCACAGGTTGAGAACCACTGCCCTACACCATTTCGGACAAATGGCTGTCCAGTCTCTTCTTACAAACCTCCAGTGTTGGAGCATTCACCGCTTCTGGAGGCAGGTTGTTCCACTGGTTAATTGTTCTAACTGTCAGGAAGTTTCTCCTTAGTTCCAGGTTGCTTCTCTCTTTGGTCAGTTTCCATCCGTTGCTTCTTGTCCTGCGTTCAGGCGCTTTGGAGAAGAGCTTGACTCCCTCTTCTTTGGGGCAGCCCCTGAGATATTGGAACACTGCTATCATGTCCCCCCTCATCCTTCTCTTCATTAAACTAGACATACTCAATTCCAGCAACCGTTCCTTGTATGTTTTAACCTCCAGTCCCCTGATCATCTTTGTTGCTCTTCTCTGTACTTGGTCTCTTGCCAGTGAGATCAAGCTGTCTGTGCTGGACAACACCATCCACGAAGAATTCCCGGGAGGCGAGTGGGAGACGGCGCAGCTGGAGGGATCGTGGAAAAAAGGCCACAGTGCCGGAGGCAGCCGGAACTTCCCTTCCTTCCATACCAATCCTTGCTTCCCTTTGTCGGTTCCTGCCGGGTTGGGACAAAGAAGCATCAAGGTCTCTCTCCATCAGCACTGCCCGGATAACAAGTGCCGTCCAATTGGGTTTCATATCTTCCAGGTAATATTTAGGTTCACACTCGCTGATTGAATCACACCAGCGTCCGCCCCACAGGGGCTTTTTTTCAGGAGGCAACTGGACTCTCTTGTTTTTCTTTTGAAGGCGTTTCGCTTCTCATCCCGGAAGCTTTTTCAGCTCTGACTGGATGGTGGGGAATTGAAAGATTTATACTGCTTGCAGACAGCTGGTCATTTGCCTTCTTTCAGAGAGTCGTTGAGGCCACTTGAAGGTTTACCTGTGTCGTCAGGGTTACCTGAGTGGTGCAAATGGGTGTGGAGCCTTCTTGGAACGGCTGAAAGGACCGTGTTGTAGACTGGAGATAGATGGTGTCATATCCCTCCCCTCTGTTGAGAGAGGGCTGTTCAAGTTTGACATAGGCCTCCAGGTGGCTTTAACGACCCTCTGAAAGAATGCAAATGACCAGCCGTCTGCAAGGAATATAAAGAAGCAAGGAAGCTTCTTCAGCTCTGACTGGATGGTGGGGAATGGAAAGATTTATATTGCTTGCAGACAGCTGGTCATTTGCCTCTTTTCAGAGAGTTGTTGAGGCCACCTGGAGGTTTTATCTGTGTCCTCAGGGTCATCTGAGCATTGCAAACAGGTGTGGAGCCTTCTTGGCACTGTCGAAAGGACTCTGTTGTAGATGGGAGATAGATGGCATCGTATCCCTCCCCCTCAACATAGATGACCTCCAAGTGGCCTCAACGGCGATTCTCAGTCGTCCAGGTCATGGTTGTCCCACAGGTGCCTTTTCAGGAGGCAACTGGACTTTCTTGTTTTCCTTTTGAAGACATTTCGCTTCTCATCCCAGAAGCTTCTTCAGCTCTGACTGGAGGGTGGAGAATGGAAGGATTTATACTCCTTGCAGACAGCTGGTCATTTGCCTCCTTTTAGAGAGTCGTTGAAGCCACTTGGAGGTTTACCTGTGTCCTCAGGATCACCTGAGTGATGCAAATGGGTGTGTGGAGCCTTCTTGGCTGCAGGATGTTTTCTGCCCTTTGTCCCTTCACTGTTGAAGACGCGCACACAGGCTGTTGGGGATGAGTCCACGTTGTCCGCATCTCAAACTGAAGCGCAAATGGTTTCCCATAGTCTGCAGTGTTTCTCGAAATCCATTCATGTTCCTGCACCATTTGAAGGGTGTTCCTCCCAAAGTGCACAGCTAAATGTCTATCCTGCATCCAAGAAGGCTCCACACCCATTTGCTCTACGCAGGTGATCCCGAGGAGACAGGTCAACCTCCAAAGGGCCTCAACCAAACTCTAATACAGTGGTTCTCCACCTGTGGATCGGGACCCCATTTGGGGTCGAACGACTATTTCACGGGGGTCATCAAACAACGCAGTCCGCCAATTTTTTCCCCCTTTTCCTTAGCTGTGCTACTCCCTTTTATTCTATTGGCTTTTTAAAGCCAATAAAATAGACTCTCTTGAATAGAGTCTAATTCTGTTGGCTTTCAAAAGCCAATAGGAATTGTCCAGGCTGTCTCTGCCCTGCTGAGCCCGGCAAAAGTCCCATTCTGCAAACGGTGCTGCACCAGTTGAGTAGTCCTCGACTTATGACCGGTTGAGTAGTCCTCGACTTACGACCGGTTGTGGGTCACAGCATTAAAAAGGTTGAGAACCACTGCTCTAAAAGAAGGCAAATGACCAGCTGTCTGCAAGGAATATAAATCCTTCAATTCCCCACCATTCATCCAGTCAGAGCTGAAGAAGCTTCTTGAATGTGAAGCAATACGTCTTCAAAGAAAAACAACAACAAGAAAGTCCAGTTGCCTCTTGAAAAAAGCATCTTTGGGACAAACATGACCTAGATGATTGAGAATCTCTATGGAGATACACCAGTGTCTCTCAACCGTGGTCACTTGAAGGTGTTCTGGACTTCAACTCCCAGAATTCCCCAGCCAGCATGGCGGTGTTCGTCATAAACATGAGACAGTTGCCAAGTATCCAAGTTTTGATCACATCACCGTGGAGATGCTGCCGTGGTCGCAAGTGTGAAAAATGGCCGTAAGTCACTTTTCTCAGCGCTGTCATAACTAAATGAATTGTTTTAAGTCGAGAACTGCCTGAGATTCGCGAACCATCCCATAATCTGGACTTTTCTACTTTGATTCCTCTTCTCCTCAGCATCCTCATCTTTGTTATGGGGAAATACTTGACTGCCCTGTGCACAGGTATTGGTCTGTTTATTCAGACATAACAACGAAACATGTAATCTGTGGTTTTCAAATCAGTTTCGAACCAAGGCTTCAAACCCGGAATGCTAGCTATCTGTGGCCAAGATCTGAGTTCGAGTTCTAAGTCAACCCACCCTTTGATGGAAGGGGTGTCGATGTATTTTATAAGTGTATGGCACCTACAGAGTCATGCAGTCACTGACATATACATTTAGTTTAAATAAAGCATCAGCAAATACACACACACACACACACACACACACACACACACACTCTCACTCTCAACTTACGAACACAATTGAGCCCAAAATTTCTGTTGCTAAGCGAGGTAATTGTTAAGCGAGTTTTGCCCCATGTTACAACCTTTCTTGTCACAAGTGTTAACTGAATCGCTGCAGGTGTTAAGTTAGTAACGTGGTTGTTAAGTGAATCTGGTTTTCCCCATTGAGTTTGTTTGTCAGGAGGTTGCAAAAGGGGATCACGTGACCCCCTGGACAATGCAACAGTCATAAATATGAACCAGTTGCCAAGCGTTCAGATTTTGATCATGTGACCTTGGAGGTGCTGCAAAGCCTAGGCCAGGGGTGGGGAACCTTGGCTCTTTTATGACTCGTGGACTTCAACTCCCAGAATTCCTGAGCGAGCCATGCTGAGGGGAAAGGGAGAGGTTTCCAAGCTGAGCCATGCTGGCTCAGGAATTCTGGGAGTTGAAGTCCACCAGTCATGAAGGGGCCATAGTTCCCCCATGCTGGCTCAGGAATTCTGGGAGTTGAAGTCCACAAGTCATAAAACAGCCAAGGTTGCCTACCTCTGGCCTAGGCCTAGGCCGCTTTATGACTCATGGACTTCAACTCCCAGAATTCCTGAGCCAGCATGGCTCAGCTTGTAAATCTCTCCTTTTCCCCTCAGCATGGCTGGCTCAGGAATTCTGGGAGTTGGAGTCCACGAGTCATCAAAGAGCCAAGGCTGCCTAATATATTAAGATAAAACTATAATAAAATCACGATAATATGGAGCCATAGAGATGTTATAGTTCTTTAATTATAAAATAATTATATTTTTATTTATTTTTTTATTTATGCTTATAATATAATTACACTTACTTTATTACATAATTATAAAGTTATAAAGGCCGTGGATATCCGAAACATAAAATGAGATTATAGGGAAGACTTTTTTTTATTCCTTCTCAGGTTCCCAGTGACAACAACCGGGTGAAAATGCCTTCCACAGCTTTCCTGCAATTGGAGCCGGTAGTTAGTTGCGTGCCTCATTGCTACTCTCAGGAAATAAGTCAGACCTGCCGGCTGCCTTCAGGAAATTACGCCATTGTCCCCTCCACGTACTTGCCTGACACGGAGGGCAGTTTCACGGTGATTGTAGCACGGAAGATAGACAGGTGAGGAGAAAAAAAAAAATGCTTCCTAGCCACTCAGCCATCCAACCTTCTTCAACCATATCTGGCTGCAACTCTTCAGAATTTCATCCAGCCAACCTGGCTGAGAATTTAGGGGATTTTAATTCCAATTTTTTTCTGGAGCACAGCAAGTTGTTTGAAAGCCATTCTAGATCAGAGTTTCTCGGCCTTGGGAGCTTTTAATGTGCATGGACTTTGTCTACCTGCAGGTTGGCTAGGGAATTCTGGGAGTTGCCCAGAATTCCCCAGCCAACCTGCAGGTAGACAAAGGATCTCATTTGATTCTACCCCTGAACAGGAGATTGGACTTGAGGACCCCACTGGGCCTTTTCAAGCCTTAGCTGAGGTATTTGTCATAATCCCTCATTTGTACTTAGTGGATGGATGGACAGATGGAAGGAAGGAAGGAAATTGTGTGAGTGGATGGATGGATGGGAGGAAGCAAGGAAAGATGGATGGAAGAAGGAAGGAAGGAGGGGGAAGAGGGAAGGAAGGAAGAAGGGGGAGGAAAGGAAGGAAGGGTGGATGGAAGGAAGGATAGGAAACAAGGAAAGAGATGGATGGAAGAAGGAAGGAAGGAGAGAGTAGATGAATGGATGGGAGGAAGCAAGGAAAGAGATGGAAGAAGGAAGGAGGGAGGGAAGGAAGGAAGGAAGGAAGGAAGTAAATTGAGTGGATGGATGAATGAATGGGAGGAAGCAAGGAAAGGATGGATGGAAGAAGGAAGGAGAAGGAAGGAAGGAAGGGGAGGAAAGGAAGGAGAGGAGGAAAGAAGGAAGGAGAGTGAGTGGATGGATGGATGGGAGGAAGCAAGGAAAGAAAGATGGATGGAAGAAGGAAAGGAAGGAGAAGGAAGGAAGTGTGATTAGATGGATAGGTGGATGGATGGGAGGAAGCAAGGAAAGAGATGGATGGAAGAAGGAAGGAAGAAAGGGAGGGAAGGAAGGAAGGAAGGAAGGAAGAAAAGAAAGATGGATGGAAGAAGGAAAGGAAGAAGGAAAGAAGGAAGTGTGAGTAGATGGATAGGTGGATGGCAATGACATCCTAAGAGATCATCTTTAGTGCTCCTAAAAAAAATCGCCACTTCCTGCATTTGAACATCGGAGCTGTTATCCTGCGTTCTGCTCTGTGAAGATCCAATGTCCTTTTTCTGCTCTTAGTAATGAAGAAAAAGCCTGAAGCTCCGAGGGATTCTCCAGGGAAGCCCCTGATAGGCCCCATTCTCTGTTTTTGGCTCTTCTCACAAAATTGTGTTTGCTTTTATACAGGAAGAGCATTTGGAGCAAGGAGACTTTGGGGCAAAGACTGCAAGAGGTGAGCCCTTCCTTTGTTTGGGATTTGGCAGCGTGCGGTTCCACCCAGGCAATTTTATCCTTCCAAAGAAAACAACATGCTTGACCGCATTAAGTAACCAAAAAAGTCATTTACCAAAGAGAAATTTTTTTAAAAAGATCAGCAAAGATCAGAATAATAGCGGGTGGGAAAAGGAAATTACAGGCATGTCGAGAAGGGTGCAGCTCCATTGCCACTGTGTTAAAAAAACTGTAAGAGAATAATAATTTTTTTTTAAATTTAAATTTAAATTATTTAAAAGCGCTTCTTTCAAGCCCCCTCCCCCAAAGGACATTTCCACTAGGCCAGGGGTAGGCAACCTTGGGTCTTTTATGACTTGTGGACTTCAACTCCCAGAATTCCTGAGCCAGCATGGCTCAGTGTCAGAATCCAATTATATTTCATCTTTAATTATCAAACATAGAAACTCCCAATTCTGCCTTCTCTGGATTCTGCCATAAGAGGGAGAAAAGGGGGAGAGCAAAGGGGCTTTATGGCCCTCACTTCCTTCAGCACACTTCAAAGGACTGAATGTGTGTTTATTGTGGCCTCTAAGCGTTAACATATCAAAGAAGAGTAATTGCCTTTCATGTAGTTATCTGAAGTCTCCATCCAGACGGAAGAAGAAAGGGGATGGAATTGTGATACTTGAAACTATCACTGGAAGGGGGGTTGATTGGGTGGGACTACTGGGGAACCCCTTAAAACCTTGAATGGGAGAGCTTGAACCCCAAGTCCTGTCTAGCATGCCTGCAACCATTTTCTCTTAATAAAGGATTCCTGTTGGAAGAGCTATTCCAAGAGTTCTGTCTTCTTAAGATGCAAAGTGGGGTGGGTCCTTACATTAGACAGGACTTGCAAAATTAATCCACCTGGAAGGTAGACCCTTGCCGGGGGATTTTGCAAAAATTTACCATGTCAGACAACGAAGCAAGAGAGGGAGAAAACTCCCTGGAAAGAGAGCCGCTGACCCAGTTGGAACCTTGCCAGATGTTGGGATCCGAGAGGCCAGATTTCTCAGAAGAAGAAGTGGTGGAGACACAGGACCACAAGCCTCGCTGGTCGATGGGCGTTGGAAAGAAAAGCGAGTGGGGAAAGGAATCAAGAAAAGTGACCCTGAGACGGGGAACCAAGCAACCAGAATGGAAGCAGGAGATGGAGAAATCCCTGCACGCAAGTGAAGAGGGAGGAAGCTGTATGCCGTACTCAGACTGGATCCTAGAGAGAGCTATTGACCTGATGAAGAGAACTCTCAGCTCCCTAGGAGAGGAGATTCCTGAGCCCTACGCCCGCCCCAGTTCCTGGAGCCACAAAGGGAGAGACACCGAGGGGGACGTGGAACCTGCAACCCCAGGGACATTTACTGATCCAGGAGCTCCCACCCCCTACCGGACCACAGATGGAAATCTGGACGGAAGACACTACCACCCACAATGGAGGCACCGATCCATTCCAAGACGTCCACCGTTGGAGGTGAAATTCAAAGGGGAGCCAACACGCTTGGGGTTTTTCCTAACCCAAGTCCTCAGCTACATGGAGGAATATGGGCAGGACATCCCCAGCGACAAAGCCCGCATCCGGATCGTGCAATCTGCCCTGGATGGACCAGCTGCAGATTGGGTGGTGAACCTGCATGACTCCAATGCCCCAGAACTCAGTAACTTCAACCGTTTCATGTCCTCGTTGAGAAGACGATTTGAAGACCCCCTGGCTGATCGCAAAGCCCGTGAAAGAATAACAACGATGAGGCAGGGCAAACGCCCAGTGGCTGAGTATACACAAGAATTCCGAGCCATTGCCAGCAAACTGAATTGGCCAGAAGACATCCTCCTTGGCCGTTTCAAAGACGGACTAAACTATGATCTATATGATGCTTGCCTGCCCCGAGGAGACCCACATCGACTTGAGGAATGGTACGTCTTGGCAGAGGAAGCAGAGATCGACATATTGAAGAGGCATCGCCGAGGAAAACAATGGAGCCGCCCCCCGCCTGAGCTGACACACCAACCGGTGAAATCATCGGATACAGCCAAGAAGCAGATGGGGTGTTTCAAGTGCGGAAGAGAAGGGCATCGAGCTGTAGAATGCCGCTCAAAGGCCCCCCAGCACAACCCAGACAGATCCCCAATCAACAAACCCAGAGGGTATTCAGCTAAGCCAAAAGAAACAGCCATGAAAATGATGGAAATTGCAGAAAACCCCACCTCTGCTCACCAAGGGGAAAGAACTCCAGCCTACACCACAGGGACGGTGGATGCCTCAGATGACAGCTCGGAAGGCGAACCCCTGGTAAGTGGACGCATCACACCCATCTTCAAAACAGTGACTATATTAATCCCCCCCATGCCCGAAGCTGTGAAGGTGAAAGCCTTAATAGACTCTGGCTGCACCCGCTGCCTCATTAGCCCAACACTAGTGGGGAATCTGGGCATCCCATCCAGGAGACTGGAACAACCAATCTCATTTGGCCAGCTAGATGGATCCATAGCAGGGGGGGTGCCAGCTACCCTAGCCACTCTGCCAATACACCTCTCCCTGGGCAACCATGAAGAGGACTTAACGTTTGTGGTGACCCCAGGTATGGAATGCCCAATGATTCTAGGGATGGAATGGTTGAAAAAATGGAACCCCTGGGTAAATTGGAGGACGACAGAAATCAAATTCCCGAAGGGGGACCCTATGGACTTAAAACCCCAAGAGAGGCTACCAGAATCAAGAATAGAAAAAGCATCCATAGGAGAGGAAAAAAGATTAACAGAAATACCAGAGGAATATGGGGACCTTGCTGAAGTCTTCAGTGAGGAGAGGGCGAATGAGCTTCCCCCCCACCGACCCACAGACTGTACCATTGAATTCAAGCCTGGGGCAAAACTCCCGAAGCCCAGATTATACTCCATGAGCCCAAAGGAGAAGGAGGAAATGGAAAGATTTATAAAAAAAAACCTGGAGAGAGGTTTCATTGAACCAGCTAAGCCTAAAGTGGCTGCCCCGGTCCTTTTTAGAGAGAAGAAGGATGGCTCTTTACGTTTATGCGTGGATTATAGGGCCCTGAATACAATCAGTGAAAGCAACCTATACCCGCTGCCCCTCATGAAAGACATGCTGTCACACCTATCGAAAGGGAAAATTTTTTTCTAAACTAGACCTTAAGGGAAGCTTACTATCGCGTGAGAATCAAGGAAGGGGACGAATGGAAGACTGCATTTAACTGCCCCATGGGGTGCTATCAATTCAAAGTCTTGCCATTTGGATTACAAGGGGGCCCTGCAGTCTTTATGCAATTAATCAATGACGTTCTAAGGGAGCACCTGTTTAAGGGGGTCCTTGTTTACTTGGACGACATTCTTATCTTTACCGAAACAAAAGAAGAACACGTCAAACTTGTCAGAGCGGTTTTAAAGAAGCTGCGAGCCGCTCACCTATATGCCAAACTCTCAAAATGCGAATTCCACCAGGAAAGGATAGACTACCTAGGCTATCGCATATCCCCACAGGGCATTGAAATGGACCCAGAGAAGGTCAGAGCAGTATTAGAATGGGCACCACCCCGCACAAGAAAGCAACTACAAAGTTTCCTGGGCTTTGCAAATTTTTACCGCCAATTCATCCCCTCATTTGCACAGATAGCCTTGCCCCTCACCAACTTACTAAAAACGAAGGGAACATCCTCAGTAAAACCTAGCCAGCCACTAACATGGACAATGGAGTGCCAAGCAGCGTTTGAGAGACTAAAGAGACTTTTTTCTGCCGAACCAGTACTAAGGCACCCAGATATGGACAAGCCCTTCATAATACAGGCAGATGCAAGTGATGTGGCAGTGGGGGCTGTGCTATTACAAGAAAATGATGATGCAGTATTGCAACCCTGTGCATATACATCTAAGAAACTCACGGAAACAGAACAGCGCTGGCCCGTATGGGAGAAGGAGGCTTATGGGATACGTTGGGCATTACTCACGTGGCGACAGTTCCTGGAAGGCAACAAAATCCCCTTCCAGGTATGGACTGATCACAAAAATTTAGAAGCCCTGAAAACTTCCAGGAAACTCAATCCCAAACAAGCCCGCTGGTCCCAGCATTTTCACCAATTCCAATTTAAGCTCAAACATTTACCAGGAAGAAAGAACTTCCTGGCAGATGCACTATCTCGCATGCCCCAATATAACAGCGCACGAACCACAGACTCTAGACCAATAATGGCAGAGTCACAACTGGCAGCGCCAGTAACCACAAGAACCCAAGCCAAAATAAAACCACAACTGGACAGCCAAACTGGGATTGAATTCAGAAAAAGTTTGGAAACAGATGATTGGTTCCAGAAAAACAAACATGTGTGCACAATGAGAGACGGATTGCCTTGGGTAGGGGAAAAGTTATATATACCAACAACTCAAAGACTAACTTTCATGCAACTTTGCCATGACACAAAATCAGCAGGGCATTTTGGATTTGTAAAAACTTTACACTTAATTAAACGGCAATTTTGGTGGCCATCAATAAAAAAGGACATAGAAAGTTATGTTGCCAGCTGCCCAACCTGTGCATCAGCAAAGAGGTTGCAAGGGAAATCGCCAGGGCTGTTACAACCAGTGGCAAGTCCCTCAGCCCCCTGGAGGGAAATAGCCATGGATTTTATAGTGGAATTGCCAGAAAGCAATGGGAATACTGTTATCTGGACAGTCACGGACTTATTTTCCAAACAGGTGCACTTTATCCCTTGCCAAAAGATTCCCACTGCAAAGGCCTTAGCAAAACTTTTCATCCAGCACATTTACAGATTGCACGGGGCACCCCAACGCATCATCTCTGATAGGGGAGTGCAATTTACGTCTGCATTTTGGAAGGAATTTTTATCCCTCTTAGGGACCACTCAGGGATTGACATCTAGCCACCACCCTCAAGGAGATGGACAAGCGGAACGGTGCCAGTCGGTACTTGAGCAATATTTGAGATGTTTTTTAAATTTCCAACAGAGTGATTGG